TAACATTAATATTCAAAATTGAATATTAATACAAACAGATCAATTATAAAATAAATAGAAATTTACATTAATATTCAGAAGTGAATATTAATACAATATGATCAATAATGAAAATAAATTGAAATTAACATTAATATTCAAAAACGAATATTAATACGATATGATCAATTATTAAATAAATTCAAATTTACTTTAATATTCAAAATTGAATATTAATACAAAAAGATCAATTATAAAATAAATAGAAATTTACATTAATATTCAGAAGTGAATATTAATACAATATGATCAATAATGAAAATAAATTGAAATTAACATTAATATTCAAAAACGAATATTAATACAAAAAACCGAACATACAAATCAAATAGAAATTTACATTAATATTCAGAAGTGAATATTTATGTGAAAACACCATCAATATAAATCATCAGGCCATTATAAAAAATTGTTATATATCCTTAGCAACTATATTGATCTTCGTATTAATATCAAAAGATGGAGCCACTAACAAAAAGTATAACAAAAAGAGAACAAAAATATACTTTTCAAATTTTGTTTCTCAATTTTCTTTAACAATATGAATTTTAAAGTTAAACACATAAACATAAGAAAAAACAATGAAATTTTTGAAAATTTTATCAAAAAAACACTTAACGAAGATCAAACAATCTACTGTATATGTGAAACTCCTCAAAAAAGTTATATTAGTGCCAATGATATCAACATTTTTGTAAATGGAAGTGTAGCAATAATAACAACAAATGATGTGATAGCAGAAAAAATAAAAATTAATATACCGGATATTTTAATAATCAAAAACAAGACAAACAGTGTTATCATAATGGCCATTTACCTTAGAACATGGTTAACCCAAGAACTAGAAATAAAACTAAGTGAAATCAACAGAATTCTCAATCTATACAACAACTATCCGTGGATTGTATGTGGTGATGTTAACTGGTCATCAAATTTATGGTCAACGAGAAATGGTGTTGAAAAAAATCAAAATCTCAAGATTGAATTTGAGAAAATACTTAGAACTCATGGTCTAAAACCTGTTCATACTGATCTACAAACAACAATCAATGTAGCTGATCATGTAATTGACGTTATTCTCTACAATAATAAACTGAAACTCAGAAAATCGTCAACAGAATTGATACCAGGAACAGATCATCTACTCCTTGAAGCGGATTTCAAATCACTTGAAAAAGTTAAAGAAAAACAACTAAAAGTTATGGTAATTGGTTCATGGGACTTACCTAATCTCAATTTACAATTGCAATCTGGTAAAATGGACAAAGAAAATCCCCTCATAAAAGCTTGTCATGCAATCAAACATTTTCCAGATAATCATGGAATCTGGAAAATCAAGAAAAAAAGAAAAAATCAATTACAAAGACTAAGAAACATAAGGAAAAAACTTATAAAAAAGAAGTATAAAACATCAATTGATGAAGCTAATATTAAAAAGCTTAACAATAGAATACGAACCAAGATCAAAAAATTCAATATAAACAAAATTTTGAGAAACAATAAATCAACAAAGAAAATTTGGCGAATCATCAATGAACACATTCTGATGAAAAACTCAACACAACTAAATTTTAACAATGAAACCACGAAAAAATGTTTTCATGAAATAATCAAAACATTTACCAACCAAAGACCCAAATATGTTGACTCTCCAAAAACTATACCTGGCAGACTAACGATAAAAGAAAAATATCAAATAAGCAAACTCAAATTCAAAACATCTTCAGTTCAAGCTGACAACTTTACACCATATACATGGACAAAATTTTTTCACAGAAATTTTGAAAAAATCATGGAAGTCTTACAAAAAATTTTCATGATCTCACATGTACCAAACATTTTAACAACCTTAGGATGTATGCTTATTCCAAAAGCAAATGGAATTAATATTCGGATGGTCAAATCACCTTGCTTTCTCTTTAAAATAATTGATACAGTGATAAGCAATAGACTTCAAGATGCTCTACCTAACTTCCTACTTGAGAATACTCAATTTGCATATCAATGTAATAAATCAAGAGAGGACTTTGTGGCTGCCATAATTTTTGATGAAAAATTCATGATATATGATATAATATCCATAGATGTGTCGGGTGCTTTTGATAATGTTAACATCAACATAATTAGAAAAAGACTTGAACAGGCAATTGGCTCATCAACAATGCAATTAATACAGTCAATAATGGACAATCGATGGCTAAAAATAAGAGTAAATGATACTAATTACTATCGAAGAGACAAAAAAGGAGTCCCACAAGGAACTGCATTTGGATGTATCCTCTTTATTATGGCCCTCGACTCGGTGATCAGGAGCCTAAGAAAAGAAAACATCAAGATTTGGTCATATGCTGATGACATGATAATTCTATGTGAAAAACCACAGACAACTATAATAATAGATCATGTTGAAAACTTACTCATGATGCTAGATCTTGAGCTTAACAAAGCCAAAACAAAAATATATGATCATCAGAAAAATGATATAATAGAAATCACTGGGTACAAAGTACCAACTTTCAAAATGACAGATAAAAAATGGAAAGAAATATGTAAAAAACTACGAGATGAAATAGTTATTACCTTTAAGCCAAAGTTTAAGGGATGGAAACTTCTACCTGTAAAAACAAGAAATTTAATTTTTCTTACGATAATCTACCCAAATCTAACAAAAGTCTTCTTCATTCCATTTTGTAAAAACTTCTGGACCATTGGAAAAACAATGGAAGCAACTCTACTTTTGATACAACAAACTGGTACATTATATAATCAATTCTTCTGGAGAACAACAGACTCACCATGGATATTTGATGTATTGGGAAAATGCAAAAATCCAATCAGAAACTGGCTTAAACAACTAATTGGAATTAAAATGAAAAATAATACTTTAGACATTGGAATAAAGGACTTTGGCTCGATCAATTTTTATAAAACGACTCATGACAATCAGATGTGGAATCGATGGTTCAAAATCAAAAATCCTTTGAAAACGTTTCATATTGAAATAATTCATGCACCAGGAAAATGGTATTTAGTACTAATAATTGACGACCGAAAACAACAACATATGGATAAACTCATCATACAAATGATGACAAAGAATGAATATGAAGCGGAAATCATGGCTATCAATTATGTGATGCAAGAATTTGAAATAAATGGCAGTCAAATTCTGGTCCCCAGTAAAACAGCGGAATACTGGATGGGTAACTCGAACTTTGCCACTGAAATAAAAGCAAATCTTTCCCTTTACCTAAACAAAATTTGGTGGTGGCACAAGAATGAAATGGAAATTACTCTCGCCCAAGAAGAAGTTGACCAAGTATATCCGGTTGAACGAATTACCAGTGTTACAAAACAAGCCATAAACAGGGAAATAAATGGTTACACGAAGATGAAAATAAATGAAGCTTACAAAACATCAAAAACTGTCTTAAAACAAATACTACCAAATAGAAGATATCAACCAAAAACATACTTGACAGTAAAGAATTCACAAGATATCCCGTGGTGATAGATGCTGTGGTAAGGAAATGTCATGGAATCATCTACTAATGGAATGTAGCATAATGGAACTAAAGGTACATGGTTTAACCGAAATGAGAAAAAAATAACTACTCGATAGAAAGATCAAAACAAAACCTTGAAATTATAAAAAAAATTATACATGTAAATTATACTGAACATCAAAACTAAATTGCAAAGAAAAGTAATGTAAGAGGTGGATGACATAGACCTCAAGAGGAGTAACAACCAAGTACTTCAGCTGTGTCAACCGTAAAGGCTAAATAAAATTTAATTAATTGTTATCATGTTATGTTAATTATCCTCTCATTTTATTGATTAGAAATTCATAATTAATTTTTTTAGTGATCAAGAGTCAACAATTTGACCTATTATTTAGTCTGATGGTTTAGAAACTCAATCAATTGATTTAATTGTAGTTTTTTTTATTCATGAAATTGTATTTGATTAAAGAGACTCAGCATCGTTATTGATTATCGTATCATTTGTGAAATTTAGCTAATTATGTTAAATAATTAGTTTAAGTCTTTAATCATTTGGAACCAAATTAATGTTGGTCTGTCTCTTTAATTAATTTCTCTCTATTTGTAATTTGCTCATTCAATGGAAAAGTATTTACAATGTAAATTTTTGTTTAGCTTTAATTGGAAGATAATTTGATTAAATTGTGAGCATTTTAATTTATTATCTTTATTTAATTTGCTATTCACAATTTACGAAGAGCCTAGAAAAAAAACCATCTTCATTGATTAAGATAATCAGATAAACTTTTTGGACGATTAGTGACGATTTCGACTAATCCCTCAGAAATTAATCCTTTAATGATTTTATCCACGATCTGGATTAGCCATTCCCAATGAATTGATACTTGAAATGATCAGATTAGACAGTTGATTATTAATTGATAATTAACTTTGACTATTTTGTATAAGTTCCAATGTCCATATGAAAGTGACCTGGACTCGAGACTCGAACCATAATTAAGTCATCAAAAGTTTCAATTGGAAACTCGACCGCAGAAAACAAAATAGGAAATTGTTATATCTTTATAAATATTTTTTTAGAAAATAATCAGAGAAAATTAGCTAATTGTTGGACAATATTTTCCCAAAAGTCTTTTACAATTAATACACTTTTTTAGCTTTTTCTAGCATTTTCGCAGATCCATCAAGTTCTTCAACATTGATTTAACCAAGATCACTTAACGCTTGACCCAAAAGTCCAGTTCCTGATTTACAATCAATCTTCAGGTGAATTTAATTCAACACATCGACCAGCAATTCATTTAGTATGGACAATAATGTCAATTGATTCGCAATCAGAAACTTATTTGAAAATATTGATACGAGAAAGACAAATGATGAACCAGTTTTGATTAGATGAATTTGATTTTCTCTTTCATTTCTCTTTGTAATCAATTAGTTAATTGTTAACATGTATCCAGTTAAATCGTGGAATTTAAATCTGAAGTTGATTAGTTTTTATTTTAGAATATACAAAGAAAATTGGTTTGGTTTTGTAAATATAAAAGTTGATTTGGATCTCGAATTGATTTTCGAATCGAATTGATTTACATATAATTTAAAACTCGAAATAGTCGTTAAAATAGATACACTTTATGGGAGAGATGAAACCGTCTATGTGACAATCGCTAGCAACTGGACAAACACCACAAGGCATTCGCATTAGACTGGTCATTGTTAATGAAGGATTAATTGCTCGATAGATTTTCGTGGTTCCATCTTCAGGTGAATTCGAATCATTGATACAAGTTTTTTCCACTTTTCCATCATAAACCAGAGTTTCCAGAATTTCTTCAATATCTTCTTCAGAAAGATTAACTTTACTTATCCCTAACTTACGAATATAATCACAAATCTCTGATGATTTACAATAAGAAGCGTTTTTCCTTTCGATTGGACTTGATAATTGTCGAGAAGTTTCAAACTTTTTCACCAAATACTTGTAACATTGTTGATTAAGAATCTCAACAAACTCTGATTCAAAGTCATTATTAGAATACCAAGTTCCACCGGTGACTGATGTACAAGGCTCCAAATTATACAACATATAGACTTTCTTCTTGTAGGCTGAGATCGATTTCACTGATTTAATCATCTTCTTGTTTTCCATCGTCTTCAATACTTTGGACAATTGAGTGATCGGTAATTTGGACTTGGTTCTAATCTCTCTCATCCATATCCCTCGATTACCAGCCTCTTCGATTATCGTGTAAACAACATTTTCCTCGTCATTGTCAAAAGCCTGTCGCGAGTCCACTTTCAATTTGTAAATCAATTGTTTTCCTTGTTTGAGAAGTTCAATTTTCCCAGCAGCAAGACAATCATTAATGACCTGAGCTCGAACTGCAATGTCAATCGATTCCATAAGAGTACCAAGAGTTTTATCAGTGATTCCTTTTTCATTGTCACCCAACAAATTAAGAAATTGGCTCTTGGCTGATTGTAAAATAGAAGAAGGAGATTCAGATGGATCCATTTTCGTTTCTCTCAATTGTTTATGATCTTCCACCAGTAGAGACAATCAGTAGATTTTTCACTTAGAACCGCAATTAACTCACTCGAAAGTCCACATAAACCAACCTGGAAGAAGAATCAAATTAAACAAGACGAAAACAATTAGATGAAAATCAACATAATTAACATTTAATTCGACACAAAAACAAACTAGTTAATCACCGAATCCATACCAACCACTAAACAACAAATTCTAAACCTTGGCAACCATTTTCTGTTTCCGATCTTAATCATTTTCTCAGAACCGCTTCTTTCAATTTCTTTCCTTTTAATTACGTTCACATTTTTCGAAGAATTAACTTAATTAACGGTTGGACTTGATTCTATTTTTAATGTTCCGATTGTCATTGTAAAATCTATTGTATTAATTTTTAAAATTTTTTTTTCTCTTCCATTTTTGTTTATTGTTGTGTCCGAACCATGGATGTTGAATCTGTGTTACAATCTCTCATCTCTTTGCCTCAAGGAGATAATTTCAATCTCACCCATGTTTGGATTGACGGAACAGGGGAGAGTTTGAGATCGAAGTTCCAATTGTGATTGTCCAATCTGGAACTTCGATCATCGACAGGTTATAATCTAACCTTTTCCCTCTTGTTAATTTCTTCACATTTTCCATTTGTGTTCTTGCTTTGGTTGGCCAGAACGAGATTATCTGATCCCCATGGTCCATCTTATTGTGGTGCTGATCTCGATAAACGAGCTCGAGCTCTTATTGAAGGCCACAGTTTCGCCTGTAGATATGCTGGTGTACCAATTTCTGGTACTAATTCTGAGGCCAATGAGAATATCAGGTTGGCCCGTCAACAGGCATCCAGTTTGGTGACCATGTTTGGATTTCCAGGTACATTTTGGACCGAATTGCTGAGAAATTGGATTTACGAATCACCTACGATCCAAAACCAGTACCTGGTTACAATGGATCTGGTGCTCATATCAACTTCTCCACCAAGCAAACCCACCAACCCGGTGGACTGAATTGATTCATGAATACGTTGAGTCTCTTGCCAAAAATCATCAGAAACATATCGCTGTTTACGATCCTCGAGGTGGTGCTGACAATGCTCGTCGTTTAATTGGTACAAATGAAACTTCACCAATTGAAAAATTTTCCTCTGGTATTGGTGATCGAACTGCTTCAGTTCGAATCAACACTTCAGTCGCTGAGGCGAATTATGGTTATCTTGAAGATCGACGACCAGACGATCGACGGCTCCTACGCAGTGTCCGAAGCTCTGGTTCGAACTTGTTGTTTGAAAGAGTAAGAGAAGAAAATGAAAAAAAAATGTAAACAAAACTTGAATTCGAATTGAAAGAAAAACAACAAAACCAACAATCCAGTCTTTAAATTTTAGCCAACTTTTAATCGAATCAATTTAATTTCTTGAATTGGAACAAAAAAATGTACATTCAGAAAAGTATCTAAATTTCACAAATAAATGGCACAAGTCCGAGGATGATAATAAGAAGAAAAGTGGATGAGATATTAATTGGTGAAATTCAATTGGGTGAATTGTATGGAAATGAATTTCACAAATCATGTCGAGTGAATTGATTGTTTAAGTTTGAGTGTTTTTTTGTGTGAGAGAGAGAGATGTGGTCATTTTCTCTGGATTTTAAAGAGAAATAGAAAAAATTTATTTTCTTTTCTTTTCCAAACTAATTAATCTTTTCGCATTCATTCTAACAATCTAATTAGTTAATTGTGAACATTTGTTCTATTTTAAAGAGAAGATCAAGTTGTTTAGATTGAAAATCGTCACCTTTGATTAGAATTCTAAACCTTGGCAACCATTTTCTGTTTCCGATCTTCATTATTTTCTCAGAACCGCTTCTTTCAATTTCTTTCCTTTTAATTACGTTCACATTTTTCGAAGAATTAACTTTAAGAATTAATTATTGGCACAGATCATCTGATTCTCTATGAGGGTTAAGCTCAAAAGCTTAATCAGTTTTCCTTGAGGCTCTTCTTCATCTCTTAATCATATTTCATTTATTTTTGGTTGATTTGAGTTCAATTCTAAAAAACAAATTGTACAATCAACGAAATGATTAATTATTGGTGATAAGAGTAAATGAATTTTAATTTTCTGTTAAAAGGCACAGTTTGAATTGATTAATAGACTTTTAACTTGATAGTTTAGTTAATTAAAAGCTTTGATTGGATTGATACTCATTGGATTTGATTGATTTTTCTTAAAATGCTTTTTTTTGTACTTTAAAAATTAGATGGAAATGAGCGCGAAATCAATTATGGTTAAAGCAATCAGATGAGCTTAGAGATTAATTATAATTCTCAATTATTTCAACGGGTTTTCTCGGTTTTCACTTTTCCTTTGGCTCTTGGCCCTCCAGCACCTTTTGGACGACCTTTGGGATCAGTTTTAGTTTCGGGTTCAGCATTCGCTTTTGTACCTTTGGTTATGTTATTACCTAGAGCTATGGTCAATTCGACAGGATTATATTTCTTGAAGGAATTGAAATTTTCTAAAATGGACAGACAACAATTCTTATTAACTATGTTAACGACAATGGTTAATTTGGCATCTTCAAAATCAGGAGTCCAAGAGGGTCTTTTCTCTGAACAAGCCTCGCAAATGGCTTCAATTATTTCTTCTCGGGTGATACTGTTATTGGCACGCACTTTTGGTATAATATAATAACTGGCGGATTCTGGTTGATTTTCCAATAAAGAGATGAATGTTTTCTTGATTGTCTCAGTATAAGCTCCACATGTCATCAGAACTGGAAGTATCTTGAGACAATATCTTACACCGAAATTTGAATTACTCTTGATTTCATTGAAAACAAGATCGACCAGAGAATTGGGTTGTAATGAAGGTTCTTTGGCTTCGATGAAAACAACATTATGAGTCTTTGTGGTCAATTGAGAAAAACGATTTCTTGATTCTTTCATTTTATCAACCTCTTTCTTCAACTCCACTTCTAAATCAACATCTTCTTCTTTCACTTTAACCTCCAATTCCTCTTCTTTAACGGTTACTTCATCTACTTTTTCCTCTTTAACTTCAACAGATTTGTCATCATGGGAACCAACACTTTCCTCTCCAATTTCCGGTTTATTTAATTTCTCCAATTCATCAGCATATTTATTCAACAGAAAAAAAGCTTCACTGACCGCATGGTTTTCACTTTTATTACATGTAACCAAAAAGCCTTTGACACCTTCTTTGAATGGAGTAAATTTTGTGCGCTTTCCACCACATTGTTTATAGTAATTCTTTTTACGTTTGATTCCTGAACCTCTACTGGAACCCGAACGAGCACCGGACATGATGAATAGAAAGTGGAAATTAGTAGAAAAACAATCAACAAATGACCACAATTAAAAGAATGGAACAAATTAAAAACAAAAACAATTTCCGAGGAAAAGATTAATTTGAATCAAATTGATCTCTAAATTAAGATACTTTATATCAGATACTTTTCTTTGATATCGAATCTCATCTCATCTCTTCTTGACATTTGATTGGGAGAGTTAATTGTTGTTAATTGGTGATGAAAATGTAATTGGATATGAAGATTAATTTTGGTTAATTCTTTTCTATGGAATCAACTTAATTTGGTTACTCTTGGTGGGAAAATAGAGCCTAAGGAATACAAAGGAATCAAGTCAACTTGATAGACGAAAATATCTCGATCGAAATAATCAAATTGTCTTTTTATTATTGTTGTGAATAAATTTAAATCGGTAACAGAATATTGTCAAAAATAATTAGAAATTCTGCCAATTAGTTGGAATAAGACAAAATTGATTTACAACAAAATCAACTCTTTTAACTTATCGGGCAAATCAATCATTGAAATTGATAAAATGAGATGAAGCTTTTGTTGACAACTGAAACTGAAGCTTATTAACTAATTACTTTGAGATGTTAATTAGTCAGATCAAAAGGATCACTTATTGTTAACGATTAGAGATTATTAGTTTGTTGGTCTGAGGTGGTGATGGAAACACAATAGAAAACAAAAGCTTAGATTGAAATAAAACAGAGATCAGTGTTTACGTTTGAATAGATTAAAAAATTAAGCTATTAGAACTTATGAATGTTGAATGTTGATCATTGTTGATTCTTGTAGTTCTTGAACTAACAATTTGTGTAATTGAAAGTGAACAGGTAGTTGTTACTGTGAACCAAAGGTTAAATTGGTTTGGTTTAAATTTAACTTATTATTAGCATTATTGTTATTATTACATTGATACACTTGGATTTTAACAGTAAATCATCATCATCATTGGGTATTTGTTGTTATTATTGTTGTTCAATGGGTAGTGAAGATGGTGCATCAGGAGATTTCATGACATCAGGAAGTTCTGGAGGAGTAGAAAGCGGTGTCATCTCCAATTTCTCGAAACAATTGGGTTCAGATGAATTCAAGTCTCTAAAGGCAAGACCAATGACCGCAGGTGCCTGAGCCTTGGCTGTGGTGTTGTTGATGAAATAATCACTTAAACAACGATCATCATCCAGAATTTCATCCGCATGGAAAAGACGTTGATCGGTGACAGCGACCTGAGTGATTCCAGAAATCATCTTCTTGATTTGCAAGATTGTTGTTGTTTCCACTGCATCAAGAAAAATTGTTGTCTTTTTCCGCCTCACCATTAGAAAAATTCGAGAGTCATTTTTATCAAACGATGTTCCATGTGACATAATGCACAGAGTCTACACAGTCTACAAACACAACCAACAAACACACAACAATAAAAGAACAATCAATTAACACTAACTAATTACGCAGAGAACGTGAGAACCAACAAACATCAAAGGTAATCAATGAATCTTAATCACAAACAACACAAACAAAAAGCCTTTAATTCACTTCCAACGACCTCTGGTGGTCAAAAATTCCAAAGGCAAATTATTCTCCAGGAAAGTTTAACTTTTTTCGCTCCTCATAAATTTTAAGTTAATTAACTTTACCTGTGAATTAAAAATTTAATTTTGTGTTATTATTTTTTATCGTATTACAATGATCAAATTGACACCAATATTATGATAGTTCAACAGTTACTTTAGTTGTTATTTTGTTACTCTTAAAAAGGACAATCGCCATTAGATGCATTTAACCAATGAAGGACAAGGCAATGAAGTCACGAAATTGTTCAATCACTGATTTAAATTGTATTGACTCTTGAAAAATTTCATGTAAACTGAGCGACTAGCTCAGTACCTTAGGGCGGTTGAACTAAGTCCAATGGAAATGTATGAAGCATTAAACTCTGAGGGAGGTGTAATAAAGTATTCTAATTACTGGCTGATTCATTTTCTAATCCATCATAACTAATGATTAGTTAATTATTTTCGATTTATGCTCAATACAAATCAGTGTCTTTTGTTTTAGAGAAGCAAAAATCAAAGAACATTAAATTCTCTTTATTCTTCCCCGCTCTCTTTCATCGTTTATCTTTCATATCTTCTTAAAGTTATCGTTGATCGAAATTGATTGTTGATGTTTTTGAGAAAGGTTGTATTTGATACGCAACCGAATCAGTAAATTGCCGGTCGGTCAAAATCATTTCAGATCAATTGAGTTAAAAAAATGTTCAGAAAAAGGTGAATAATAAAACCACGAATTAATGACAAGAGGGATTAAAATCGGTTGTGGAAAAGTGACCTTAAAGTGATTCACGAAAACTCGAAAAAACATTCGCACCAGAATCAGTTCGTAGGTATGAAAGCTCAGTTTATATGAATTCAGTTGATTCTAAATAAAAGCAAACCAAATATTATCGTTACCATGTTCATATATAACTCATGGTTTCCGACGATTGAGCACTAAATTAGATCATAATATAAACACGATATTTTCAATTGTTCTCTTTCAGTTGATTCACTCGAAAACGTAACATATTGATTGAGAATTGTGACTTTTCCTGTTGAATAAATATAATCATCGCTTTGCTGTTTCATGAGTTAAAACCGTTTTCGTTGCTAATTGTTTCCTGTTGATCTTTTTATTTCTAATAAAAGATCGTTAATTGCTACTGTTAATTACTCGTCTCTAGAAAGATATTTTATCAATAATAAAAGATTTCGTTTTCCCATATTAAAAATCAAAGCGATTTGTTCATATCAATTTATTGTAATGTTGAATCTTTTTTCATTAATTTTAATTAATTAAATCATAGTTCGGGAATTGGAAAGATGTTCAGTACAGAAAACCAAGTTAGTAAATTGTTACGATTTTATTAATTTGATTTCATCTTTAAGCTCAAATGTTTCAGCTTCAAAATTTTGATTAATTTGTTTTTAACAAGTAACAACCAATTTTCGAGAAATTTATCTACAATTTAAGTGTAGTCAATTCAACTTTCTTCTATGGTAATTAAACAACTAATAACTAAATGATATTCAATTGGATACGATGTGCAAATTGAGAAACTATTGAATACAATTGATTAGCTTATCAAGCACCAAATCAAACCTTACAATCACTAGCCTTTGTTTGATTCTAATCATCTTCAATTAACCTGATAAATCGTCATAATTATCGACAGATTATCAAAACAAACCGAACTAAATTATCCATTGGTTAATTGATTTTACCGTTTAAATGCTTTTCTTTTCTCAGCTGATCGAAAAGTTTTGATCAATGAATCAATTCGACAGTTTCACACATGAGGCTTGTAATTTTCTAACTAAAGCTCATGGTAAATGTCGAAGGAGAGAAAAGTCATTACATTTACTATCAATGATAATTTTCTGTGATTTCAGGGAAAATTCAGTAATAAAAATGAATTGGTTCTTATGGCAACAATTGGAAATACGAACTGAAGTTCATAAAGTTCTAATTATTTTTTTCTCTTTTCCGAATTGGAGGTAATTAATTTTAGAGTCTCATTTACTCAATGATTTTTTGATTTGTTTATTTATTGTGAAATTGTTTTCATCCGAAAAAAAGTTAATTAGTGATTAGTTTTACAAATCATTGAATTTGTTTTGTTTCTTTTATGAATTCAAAATATATCAAGAATGTAAGAAAGTTTAGAAATGTGAAGAAGGCTAAAAGATTCGCTTTGAATTAATCACATTGATTAAATTGTTAAGTGTTCATTTCCGATTTCCAGTGTATCTGCTTAATCCGATTCGCATCAGGAGATTTCATGACATCAGGAAGTTCTGGAGGAGTAGAAAGCGGTGTCATCTCCAATTTCTCGAAACAATTGGGTTCAGATGAATTCAAGTCTCTAAAGGCAAGACCAATGACCGCAGGTGCCTGAGCCTTGGCTGTGGTGTTGTTGATGAAATAATCACTTAAACAACGATCATCATCCAGAATTTCTTAATTTCCGGTCAACAGTCTTTCCACTATTCTAAACATAAATAGTCACCTAGGCGAGCGATTTCATCAACAATCAACTCTGCTATTTCTCTATTGGAATATTTAGATTTGTCATCACGGGAAACAACACTTTCCTCTCCAACTTCCGATTTATTTAATTTCTCCAAATCATCAGCATATCTGTTCAATAGAAAAAACGCATCACTGACCGATTGATTTTCACTTTTACTACTGGGAACCAGAAAATCTTTGATACCTTCTTGAAATGGAGTAAATTTTGTTCGTTTTCCATCCCATTGTTTATAGTAGTTCTCTTTACGTTTGATTCCTGAACCTCTACTGGAACCCGATCGAACACCAGACATGATGAATAGAAAGTGGAAATTAGTAGAAAAACAATCAATAAATGACCACAATTAAAAGAATGGAACAAATTAAAAATGAAAACAATTTCCGAGGAAAAGATTAATTTGAATCAAATTGTTCGGTGACCTGAGTGAATTTCGGACCACCAGAGGTCGTTGGAAGTGAATTAAAGGCTTTTTGTTTGTGTTGTTTGTGATTAAGATTCATTGATTACCTTTGATGTTTGTTGGTTTTCACGTTCTCTGCGTAATTAGTTAGTGTTAATTGATTGTTCTTTTATTGTTGTGTGTTTGTTGGTTGTGTTTGTAGACTGTGTAGACTCTGTGCATTATGTCACATGGAACATCGTTTGATAAAAATGACTCTCGAATTTTTCTAATGGTGAGGCGGAAAAAGACAACAATTTTTCTTGATGCAGTGGAAACAACAACAATCTTGCAAATCAAGAAGATGATTTCTGGAATCACTCAGGTCGCTGTCACCGATCAACGTCTTTTCCATGCGGATGAAATTCTGGATGATGATCGTTGTTTAAGTGATTATTTCATCAACAACACCACAGCCAAGGCTCAGGCACCTGCGGTCATTGGTCTTGCCTTTAGAGACTTGAATTCATCTGAACCCAATTGTTTCGAGAAATTGGAGATGACACCGCTTTCTACTCCTCCAGAACTTCCTGATGTCATGAAATCTCCTGATGCACCATCTTCACTACCCATTGAACAACAATAACGATAAAAATAACAATAAGTTTAAAACGAAAACAGAGAAAACGTCATCAAATCAGTTCTAATTAAACCTCTGGTTCGCAGTTAATATTACTCCTTTAATTTGGAGACAAGTAAGAATAATAATCTAAAGAAGCATTTGACCACAACAATCATTCAATGGAACAATTAGTACAAACAATCAAAATAGAAAAGATATCAATTGATGACAATTCTATACAAAATATTCTTCAACGAATCGGATTAAGCAGATACACTGGAAATCGGAAATGAACACTTAACAATTTAATCAATGTGATTAATTCAAAGCGAATCTTTTAGCCTTCTTCACATTTCTAAACTTTCTTACATTCTTGATATATTTGGAATTCATAAAAGAAACAAAACAAATTCAATGATTTGTAAAACTAATCACTAATTAACTTTTTTTCGGATGAAAACAATTTCACAATAAATAAACAAATCAAACAATCATTGAGTAAATGATCTCATAAATTAATTACCACCAATTCAGACAAAAGAGAAAAAAAAACAATTAGAACTTTTCATCAAAAGTTGTTCGACTTCGCATTTCCAATTCGGCGCCATAAGAATTGATGTTGATCGAGATAAAAGTCATGTGACTTTCTGTTGATCATTACCAAGCTTTTTTTAAATAGAAATTTGTTTACTTTTCTGGTTCTTTACAATTGTTTCTCTGTGAATTATCAATCGTTTTACTTGATTTCCAATTAAATCTATCATCATGTCACAACCTTTTCTCTTTGGTAATGGAAGTACTCAGCAACAATCAAAGTACCTTGTCGAGTTTAAAGCTGGTAAGATGACTTTGAATGGAACTACTGTTAGCCCAATTAAGAAAAAAGGTTTGGTTTATTTGCATCAAAGTGATGACAATTTGATGCATTTCTGCTGGAAAGATCGTCAATCAGGTGTAACAGAAGATGATCTCATCTTGTTTCCAGGTAATTGCTTGCTCTCCATCCCGAAGCTCTTGTTCAATCTTTCATAATTCATCTCACTTTAAATGATTATTTCTTTTTCTTGCTGCCATTTAGATGATGCTGAATTCAAAAAGGTATCTCAATGTACTACTGGTCGGGTTTTTGTTTTAAAATTCAAATTATCAGCTAAGAGATGCTTTTATTGGATGCAAGAACCAAGCACAGATAAAGACGACGAGTTTTGCAAGAAGATCAATGAATATCTCAACAATCCTCCAACCTCAGGATCAAGAGGAAGTTCATCTAGAGGAGGTGCCGCTTTACCTGCAGTCCTTGATAATCTTGGCAGTTTAGCCGAATTAGGTTCTTTAAGAGATGCTGAATTCCAAAATCTTTTGAATAACATGAACCCATCTCAACTGATGCAGATGATTGGAGGCATGCAAAATTCATCAGGCATCTCACTCAATAGATTCAGACCTGTTGGAGTAGGAGGTAGTTCCAGTAACTCTTCACGTAATAGAACTGGAGACTCTGAACAAGCCACGACTAGAACTGGAGCAGAAGCCACTGCGACAAATACTAGTTCCTCTGGTAGTTCACAGCCTCGTATTCAGCTTGGTGATCTACAATCAATTATATCTGGTTTATCTGTCCCTAAAGGAGAAGCTCAGGATAAAAGTGAAATTAAAGGTAAGATACCAAACCATTTCTCCCGAATACTTTTAACACTAATTTTATCTCTCAACAGCTTTATCATCTATTATCAAATCCGAAGCGTTACAAACTCTACTTGCTAATGAAGAATTCATGAAAGGTGTCAAGGAGCGATTACCACATACAGAGGCTGCTGACAATTCTTCAACGTCCATGCCCTTGAATGAACAAGTATCTTCCACCTTACAATCACCTCAATTCCAACAAGCACTAAATAAATTTGGAATGGCCTTACAATCAGGCCAACTTGGACCTCTTCTTAATCAGTTTGGTCTAAGTCAGGCTTGTATTGAAGCAGCAAATAAAGGAGGTAATTCACCTTTTCTGCACTATTTTATGAACTTTGGATAGGTTGACAATAAGAGAGTAGAATAACAATACAATCTTAGTTTGACATTAATTTACACTCTTCTAACTAACTAATTTAATTTTTTTGTTTTTGTTTTCTTCTAGATCTGGAAGCCTTTGTAAAAGTACTAGAAGAAGAAGAAAAGAAAAAGAAAGAGGATACAGAAATGACTCTTGATTAGATTTCCATTTCAATTACTCACGAGAAGAAAAATGTGCATTAACTAATCTTACCGAATATATTTATGCCATTTTCAATTAATATAAACAATTGGTTTACTCTAATTTGATTTAAAAAATATCGAAATTCATTTCAATAGTTTTAACTTGAAACTTTTAAGTGAACAAAATCAAAACGTTTCATCAAAACAAAAGTTTCTCTATTTATTTTTTAGTTTTGATGAAAGACTTTCATCTATGATCATATATATTAACGAATTTATAAAGTTATCGACAAGTCGACATCCTAACCATGTTAGGCCAAGTTGTACGAGATGAAACCAGGCCAAAAATTACCTTTAACATCTTCGGGTCAAGTAAAAGAAAGCAAATTTTTTCTCTCTTTTGGTCTGTTAATGTTAATAAAAAAACCAAAAAAAAATGCGCGCGAAATTTGAAATCACGGAAAAATGATCTCACTCTCTCACCCTTTCTCTCTTCCTCTCTCTTTTTTCTTTCTATTATTTTCACTTCCTCCTTCTTCACTTCTACCCTCCTACACATCCTTATCCCTTTTTACCACCATTATCATCATCTTAATCTTCCTTGACTTTTACCTTTTCTTTTCATCTCAAGTCATTATCATCTTCTCGCCCCCTTGTTCATCGCCCCGACTGCAATTGTCTTGAAGAGAAACATGATGATGATGAAAGAGAAAAAGAAGAAGAAGAAAAAATTTCAGAAGAGGAAGATAAAGGTGATGATGTAAAACTGGAAACAGCTTTCTACCTGCCTCAGGGCTCTTGGCAAAAGTTCACGGCCAAATTTTCCTGGTAACGTTTGTTATGATGGGCTTACCCTTCCGGGTTTCCCTTCAACAAGTAAAGTTGTCTACCCTTTTCCTTTCTCAGAAGCTTTCAAATCCTATCCTTGAATGTTAGTTAATGATAAAAACTCTTTCCTTTAAATTGATTAACTAAATCAACATTAGAAATTAAAAATAACCTCATCGTTTACGTAGATCAATTTCCTTTTTAATTTACTAATTATAACCAAATCCTGATTATATGGTCAGTTCATCTTCTCACCGATCAATTGTGATTAACTTCGTTACCAGATCTTGTGTTTAAAATTATAAAAATTCTACACTTGTGAAGATTTCTGTTGATTGTTCATAAGTTAAATTCTAATTGTTCAAAGTTTCTACTTTCAATCCTTCCCGATCTCCTTCATAATAAACTGTGTGTTTCGATCTGAGTAAAATACTGAGAAAATCTCATTACAAATATTCATCGTTCAGTTCAATTAAACTGTTGTCAACTTTCATCTATTAGTTAATGTAAGGTTAATCTTTAAACAGCTTAACCTTTCACCCTTATGTCATTTAATTAATCCTATTCAAAATCTCTCATTGTGCTTTCTATCTAAACCACCCTTAAAACTACCACCAACTAAAGTCTCTTTAATTAGTGTTTCAATAAAAGTTATTTTGTTCCGATACGATCTTTATACTGAGCTCTCGCATAGAGAATCCCTAACAAAATAATAATAATTAATAATTCGTTCAACTGAATATTCTAAAAACTGTTAAGTTATTATATCCACTGATCTGTGATTTCTAACTAAAAGCTGTTCAGGTCCAGTGTCAAACTTTTTTGGTCATCCTTCCCATCTTATCAAGTGCTTATATACAGCCACGGACATTAAGTTTCGTACACTTTCAATCAAAGTTGCGCATAGAGTTGATTCTTACGAATATAACTTTTCGCAAAACTGGTCAGAAGCTAAAGAAAGATTGATCAAAGACTTTACTCCAATAACCAACAACAACGATCAAAATAGTGAACTTCTGGATAAACCCAAGTCTCTATATAATCTTTTTCCTCGACCATAAACACGATCAAGTATTTTGGCCACTCTCGAACTAAAACTAAAACTAAAACTAAAATGTCATTTGGTGGATTATCGTCACTCGGTGATAAATTAAATGAATCACAAGATGAAGTTAATCTTTATCGTCAACTTAAAATGAAAATGTTTCTCAATCAACAGAAGCCACTATTTCCATCTCCATGTTTATCATCATTTGAGAGTTCATCTTGTGAGGAATCATCTTCTTATGAGACTAGTTCACTTGCAGGATCATCAGCACTTTCTGAAACTTCTGAATCATCTTCTTGTCTATCATCTTTGTCTTCGCCATCTTCTCCTTCATCGTGTTTATCGTCATCCGAGAAAAAGACTTATCAATGTCAATTTTGTTCCAAGGTATTCGGTCAGATGTCAAATCTTAAGTGTCACGTTCGTACACATACTGGAGAAAGACCGTTTGTTTGTAGAATTTGTCAGAAATCGTTTATTCAATTAGCTCATTTACAAAAACATGAGCTCGTTCATACCGGCGAAAAGCCTTTCCAGTGTGACCTGTGTCTAAAACGATTCACATCCAAAAGTAATCTTAATAATCATAAATCTCGACACATATACGAACCAAACGAAGCTGACAACAACAACAATAACCATATTAATTATTGTAATTTACCTTGAAAAAAGTTGTAAAAAATATACATTTAAAGGAATATCTAAAAATAAATAAAATTGACCCTTTTACCAAAAAGAAAGACCCATTAGGCTCACTAGGCTATCGGCTCTCAAAAGTGGAAATGGTTGGGTTATAATTATTATTATTTTTCGAGGAAATTGTCCTAAATGATCAAACTTTTATATCGAATAGTCCAACTCATGTTCTACAATCTGATCTAGTTTTTAAAAATTTCTGATACTGTTAAGGTCAAAAATGATCGTTTCGAAAAAATAATCTCAAAAATTGAAAAAAAGTTGATTTAGTTTAATTCAAAGAGTAAAAACCAAGAGAGAGCACAGGAAGGCAACATTTTTTTGGTGTCGCGAGGTGGAGCCACTAGTAGATTTGAAAAGAAAGAGAGAAAACCTGAGGAATTTTTTAGGCTCCTGATAAACTTTAATTTAATTAACTTTACCTGTGAATTTAAAATTGAATTTTATGTTATTATTATTTATCTTATCATACGGATCAAGTTGATACCAAAATTATGATAATTCAACAGTTACTTTAGTTATTTTTGTTACTCTAAAAACTGAGCTATTATTGCGTCGTAATAACTTGAACCATTTTCTTTTTCTTGCCCTAATGGGATTTGTGTTGAAAGGACTCTAGTCCATTTGTTTTGAAAGGACATTTTGTCCATTGTGACTAAATTTTATTTTTAAATTTTATCTCAAAATTGTATTCGACCTCAGGGGAGAAAAATTGTTAATTATTGTATTGTTTTCTTTTCCTCATCAATTACTCCCTTCCTTGTCCCTCTTTTCCCTTTCCCTGGTACGGTTGTCATTACCGGAAACGATGAATTCTAATTCATCGAGCCTCCCCTGAGGTCGCTGTCAAAGCTTAAAATAAATAAAAGAAAGAGAAACATAGTAAACTCAATGCAGAACTCAAATCTAATTGTTTTTAATGATTTTAATAATTTTTATAAATTAATTGAGTCTTAATAAGTTCAGCAGTTAGGCGATTTCTCGAATTTCAGTTATGTGTGGTTGTATTTACTTTTGTTCATTCTTAAGTATACATTACATTTATACTGAGATAACTTATCAATTGAACGGAACATATTAGCTCTGATTTGAATTGATCTTAAAGGTCTGATTTATAAGATTTGTATCAAAATTCCTTAATTGATTCGAGTAAGTTGAATTAAATCATAAACGAATCAGATAATATTTCCTAGAAAAGTGCGTTTAAGACTCTCGGGCTGATTATTGTTACCGATCGTAAAAATTTACTTAATTGTTCTTAAATATTCGACGATTTGATTTTAAAAAAACTTTATTGTCCAAGACTCGAGTAACAATTAACCGATCAGTGTCCTTAAATTGTGGACGAAGAGCATAAAACTATTAAGAATTAGCTTAATTAATTTATAAAAATTGTTAAAATCATTAAAAACAATTAGATTTGAGTTCTGCATTGAGTTTACTATGTTTCTCTTTCTTTTATTTATTTTAAGCTTTACAGCACCTTAGGGACTCGATGAATAGAATTCATCGTTTCGGTAATGACAACCGTACCAAAGGGAAAAGATAAAAAGTAATTGATGAAAGCAATCAATAATTAACAATTTTTCCCTGAGGTCGAATACTTGATAAAATTTAAAATAAAATCTAGTCAATGGACAAAATGTCCTTTCAATGACAAATGTCCTTTCAATGGAAAATGTTCAAAACAAATGGACAGAGTCCTTTACACAAATCCATTAGGATTTCTTTATAAATATTATTAATTGAGTTAGTTTGATTGTCCAAAGTCCAAAACTTAACTATTAAGTATGAAACAAAAATAATAATAAACAAATAAATTAGAATTTAAAATCAGAAATGAGAAAGAAAATTGAATCAGATTATCAACAAAATCAAGAAAAAGAAATGGTTCAATTGACGCATAATAGCTCAGTTTTTAGAGTAACAATAACTAAAGTAACTGTTGAATTATCATAATTTTGTATCAATGATCCTATGATAAGATAAATATAATATAAATTCAATTTTAAATTACAGGTAAAGTTAATTAAATTAAAGTTTTGAGCAATTCTTGTTTTCTTCTTTCAAATCTACTAGTGGCTCCACCTCGCGACACCAAAAAAAATGTTACCTGATAGTTTTTCTGTTATGTGCTGTCTCTTTCTCTCTACTCTTTGGTTTAATTTATAAATTATCAAAATTAATCAATCGATTTCGGCGAAAGTTATATTATTTCATAGTTGGAGAATTGATCTTAATATTGTAAATTTTTTGCCACTTTTTATTGGCTCGTTTTCGAGAAATTCTCCAACCAGTGAACGCTATCTAAAAAGCGACATTACTTATGTGGATACCTAATAGTTAATTGTTGATTTTCACAATTATCAAAATAAAAAGTTTGGAAGTGCATTCTTGCCAAAGAGTAATATAAGAAGAGAGAGCTTTATTTTTTTCATTTTGTGAGGGGGGAGGGATATCCGCTGGTGTGCAGATTTACAATTGTGTATCTGATAATAACTTCGTATTGAGACGGTGGGGAAAGAAGAAAGACAGAGGATAGAAAGAAGAAGAAAGGAAAGAGAAAGCTCTTTACAACATTAGAGCTAATAACAAACTTCAAGACTTAAGTGGGAGGCGAACCTGTCATCTCAAGTATACAGGGCGTTTACGCTAATTAAACAGATTTGTTTTCGAAATAACTCGTGAACTAAGATTCGTACAAACAAATGGACTACACCGGTGGACTTGTCGTGTCTTAGGGTTTACGACAACCAAAAGGTCAAAACTGATAAAAAATGTTTTTTTGAGATATTCAGTCTTTGTTCATACCGAAAAATTTATCGTTTGTCTTAAAATCGAATTTTTGAACGGAATTCTGGCCTGCCGAATTTCAATTTCGAACTTGGTTTCAAAGTAAACCCTAAGACACGACAAGTCCACCGGTGTAGTCCATTTGTTTGTACGAATCTTAGTTCACGAGTTATTCCGAAAACAAATCTTTTTAATTAGCGTAAACGCCCTGTATGACACAGCTCTCTTGACCATTCGGCCATCGAGAGCGATCAACAGCAAAAAGAGCTGTTTGGGGATAAATCTCACGCGAGTCACTACTGTCGTTTTTCTCTTTCTTTTCTCTTTCTTTTCGTCAACTAAATTGTGTAAAGTTTTCTGAATGATTTTAAGGCCATTTTCAACGAGATTTTAATTGAGCTTGAATTTAACATTTAATAGACCAAAATCTCGTTGAAAAATGGCCTCAAAAACATTTAAAAAGCTTTAACCAATTTTTTTGCGAAAAGAAAGAGAAAAGAAAGAGAGGAAATCAAAACAGCTCTTTTTTCAGGAGATCGCAGTCTCTTCTTATATTACTCTTTGATTCTTGCTATCTTAGAATTTGTAAAAATCCAAAAAGACCATTTTAGGCCACTTTGAAGAAAACCGAACAAAAAACGGAAATTTTGATGCTTTTTTTGGCCTGAATAAAAGTTCATTAATTATCATTATTTTATGGATTTTAATAGAAAAATGCATGAACTCGACGAAAAAATTGAAGCTAAATCATTAACAGTTTTCAGGGAATAGCTTGATAAGCGAGAAAACCACAGAACTTATTGATACCCCTAATACACTGCAACCCTCTGTTAAAGCAATTTTTGGTGACTTCTACTAAGGCAATTTCACAGCCGCCATCTAGTGAATTTTTAATTATAATTAATTAAATTAACTAATCCAATAAATGGCGACTTAGAAAACGGTGTTGCCTTAACAGAGGTGTGGAGTGTAGTTAATATTAGACGACCCAAGAGCCTGCCAGGGTGTTGTATTTAGTAGAGCAGTTACAATACTGCGATCTATTGAGACTCATCCCTTGACAGGAAGGTTTGTTCACTATGTTGAACAATCTTCACGGCTTGCTCGGCCATACTACGTATACTTGTAACTATGACCATATATAAATGCACACTTGTAACTATGTACACCGTGTTTCAACGGGTCCCCCCAACTTTATTTGCTAATAAATACTAATTTCCTTTGAACTAAATAGGATAAAAATGAAGTTTTGTTCCAACATCTCGAGTGGTTCAAAAGTTATCATCGAAAAAAGTCCGTCCAAATTTCGCTTTGAGAACGGAAATCATTTTTTTCTGGCTTTAAAAAGAGCAAAATATTTCGCAAAATTTTACCAGATAATTTTGGCCTAGTGATTCATGGACTTTTGGCCTACCGAAAGGTCAGTTTCGAACTTGATGTCAAACAAATTCCCATGGTCTCCCAAGTCCATATCTCCGATCTGATCTTGTCAACGACTCGCCGTTCTCAAGTTATTCCGAAAACAAAGCTGTTAATTTAACGTAATCGCCCTGTATAGATATCCATGTATATTCATTGATGAATATGCTATGTTGACCTGATAGTACACCTTGGTGTACTAGGTTGCGAACAGCAACATCACCGAGATGTAGATTCGGCTGAAGAGGTTTTTTCTAGTTGCTTATTTAAAAATAAATTGATTAGCAATTTAGTTTTTCCCCATCATAAGACTGTACTAATAAACCATTAGGCTTTTTTTATGATACAACTTTAATTAATTTAAATTACAACTTACAGGGTATCTCAATTGTAGCTTCTTGAAGATACTTATGACAGAATAACGTTTTAACCGAAAATGATTTCGTTGTCATACAAATAAATAAGAATATACAGAAAATCGTTAAAATTAAAAGAAATTGGAGTTGCTTGTTCGTTGAGTCTAATTCTTGTTTGTTTTTGATGATTTGTTTGATTCTAAATGAGTTCCTCGAATTCAATAAAATGTCACCGATCTTTAGGACATTTTCTGAATTATCTGTAGAGTAGAAAATAATTGAATTAATTTCTCGTTGATGACAAACTGTTGACATTTGTTCTGATTCAAGTGTATCTTGATAGAGAATAAGAATCGCCTTCAAAGCTTCGCAAATGATTTGCGTTTGATTTTCGGTCAATAATTTCTCGAAGACCAAGACAAGTGAATTGATAGTATCTGCTTCACTCAGGGATTGATGGTCAACCGTAATTTTTGGCAATTCGTGACCAACACAGACACAAAAAGGTCCTTTATTTTGTGAGCATTTGCACCATTTCATGGGACAGGCCGAGGCTCGAGTTGTTATTTCCCAATAATTATCCGACCCTCCCAATGAGCAAACATCTTCATCGACCTGTTGACAGTGACCTCCTTTGAAACCTTTTTGGCAGACACATTGGTACGAGTTGATCAGGTCGATACAAGATCCGTCATTAGCGCATGGATTGGGCTCACAGTCGTTTACATTGGACTCACAATGTCGACCTTCAAATCCTTTGATACAGTTACATTTGTATGAACCATTTAAATTCTGACAAGATTCAGTAGTTGATGGAATACAAGGTGACAAAGATGTTCCCAGATTACACTCATTTATATCTACAAGGGAATAGTAAAGAAATTAGATCATTTTTGTTCAGACAATACAATTTAGAAGATCGATAAGATCAGTAAATTATCGTAAACACTTTTCATCGTTAATCATCAGCATAATTTTTTCCTCTTTCAGCCTCTGATCCTTGTGCTTATTTTTAGATGAGCAGTGCTGGTTCACCAACTGTTGAAATTCATCTCTATCGTAATTAAATCTCAATTGCTTCCTGAACAGATCAAATTTCACCGAAAGTTGAGATGGTTATTCAGAAGGAGATTTAAAATTAAGATTAAGATGAAAAATGCTGCGATGAAAGATACTTAATACTTATCATAAGACACAATGAGAGATATTCAACTAATTGTTACCTTCTTGACATCGATCACCAGTGAATCCTGGAGGACAAATACATTGATATCCATTAATAAGATCGATACATTTACCATCATTCAAACAGGGATTAGATGAACACTCGTTCACATTAATCTGACAACGATTACCAGTCCAACCCTGAGGGCAATTACAGATGAACGATGAGTTACTGACTTCGAAACACGTTCCACCATGAAGACATGGACTCGTTACACATGGATTGACCACTTAATCGAAAGAGAGAGGAAGAAATCAGAGGTTAATTAAATTAACTTTAATTGTTAAAACGACTTTTTAATCACTCCAAAGCATTTGTATGAAAATGATTCATCCAAAGTGCTCATTTAAACGCAACAATTTAAAGGTAAACATCTGACATCTTTTGATAGAAATGAGAACGAGGAATGATAATCAAATCAAATCCAATGAATCAGTTAATCAACCAACAGAATCTAAATTGATCTTCATAACCATTAGATAATATTAGATGAAATTGTTTGATAATATAACCAAGGAAAAGTTATCATTCGGCAGCCCAAAGAAAGCCAGGTAATTATTAACTACCGAAAATGATACAAATTATTGGTTACGAATAATTTTCTCTAATTGTTGGTAATTTACTTTCTTTTGCCATAGAAAACAAGACGAATCGGTAAATATTTTCATAGGCGTATCAAGTCAGGTCACTTTAATGATATTCAAGGAATAAAACTTGTTACATTGATTATTGGATGGAAACGGATTTACTGATCACCATTGATTGACTAACCACGATTGTTAATAGAAAACAATCAACAAATAATCTAATAAATATGGGTTACAAGTACTTTTCGTCTACTAAATAATAATCAAAGGAACCATGAAAATCTGCTGATTGTTATATTGCCTTAGGCTTCTGGTCGTAGAAACGGTTTCGCGATCCTCCTTAAATCGTGATTATAATCTGATCCTTATCCTTATCCTCATCTTCATCTTCATCATCATCATTAAATTGTCTTGGTAGCAACATAGAGATTAAATTAACCACGAATTGGATGGAAACTGTTTCTGTCAATTGACTTGATTGTTGGAAAAATTTAACATTGTCTTCAATTACTTTTTGGTTTAGTTTTTCAAGGACAAGATTAACTGTTGATTAAATACTTGTTAATTACTTGTTACAATCAATATCTGATCAAAGTAAAGTTTTCAATTTCCACTGTACAACAATTTAAATTTAAAAGGAAAACATAACATCCGTTTAGTGGATTTACTATTCAATTAGTTAATTGCAACTATACTGGATCAAGAAAATCATCAACGAGAATAGTTGATTGTTGATAAAATAATCTAAAGAAATTATATTAAATATTCAACGATGAATATTAATTAAGTGCTTCTTAAATAACATCAACAGTAGCCAATTTATCAGTAGTTTAAATCATTTGTAAATCATCAAAGTGATCATCAATTTAGAGCTTCCGTTTAGATTGAACAATTATCAAATTACAATTTAACGTATACTAAGTTGAACAATTAATATCATGAAATATCAACAAACTATTTAATATACAATATGAATGAACAATTGGTGAATATAAACTCATCACCATTTAAATTAAATTGTCAAGTCAAGTGTCGATGGTAACAAATTATCAATACACTTGAATGCAATTTAATATCCCAATTGAAATCGATATTGCAATCAATTGATTATCATAAGAGAGCATGAATTATCCCATCTGCCGTAATCGCAATTAACTTAATCACCATAAACAAAGACACACTCCCAGAGCAATTAATGAATCGCTCAAAAAAAAAAACAAAATCAATGAATCAGAATAAATTGATCAACTTACCGATTTGACAATTGTTACCATCAAATCCTGGTTTGCAGTGACATTTGTACTGATTGGGGGCAATGTTATCACATAGGCCACCATTCAGACAGGGCTGATGAGTACCACAGTAATTAAGATCTTGATCACACAAAATGCCGCCCCAATTACGGTGGCAAATACATTGCCAGGGCTTGAGACAATAGCCATTGGTGCATCCTGGATAAAGTAAACACTGGTTACATAGAGTGCCTGAGTATCCAGGTCGACACTGACACTGATCGGGTTCTGAACAATATCCGTGCTCTGAATTACATCCTGATCGACATTTTGGTTTATCACAATTATCACCAATCCAACCAGGTAGACAAGCCTTTTGGCCATTTTGCTGACAAATGTAATGTCCGAAAACATCATTGCGTTCACGACAAAATTCAGAACATTCATCACCATGATAATATAATGAACAATAAATTCTAAGATAAATAGAGAAGGAAGAAAATTTAATTAGATTAATAGTTACCAATGGAAAGAGTGAACAATTAAATCTCTCGACACTTCGACAATACATTTTGTGTTTGTTAAACTTCATGGATCATTAAAAGTTTTTTTTAACAATCAAATTGTATTAAAATTGACTCATCATGATTAGTATCATGATCTTTATTAGTGCCAATGGTTTTTTATTGTGTCAACTTAATTCAATGTCCATTTGTCTTTTCATTGTAATAGTAAAACTTTTTTTCCGATCAAATCTCAATGGACCTTTAATACAATTTACTCATTGTCAAGGGAGCTCTTCACTATTAATGGTTAAATCTTACAATTGGGACGATAGAGAAGAGGGTGAGAGGATGATGATGATGATGATATCCTTTTATTATCATCATCAATAAGTGTCCCACTGTCCTTTGTCAATGGCGTAAAGGCTATTTGGTCAAAAAGTTATGTCCAGATTTGGGACAATTGTTAATCTTTACCGATTTCATCAGTGTTAACCCTTATTTCTGGTTTGATTATATTCTGATTGTATCGACAATTTCATTTGACAGCATTAATCTTGACACAATCAACTGTCAACCCTTTTGTTAATAGATTGTGTTATGATTACAGTCAATTGTTATTATATAATCATTCACTTTAATCAAAATTTTCTAGGTCAATGTTTGGGTCAGCATTCAGTAAGTTATTTACCTTATATCTCAATTTAATCTCATTTAAATATTATTGTTCACACAAAATTCAACAAATCTAATTATTCATATGACTGTAAAAATTAACATCAACAGTAGTTTCAAAAGTTAATTGTTTTCATTCATGGTCGGTGAAAGCTACTAATATATTTTCTTGATTGTAATAATTAAAAAACATCCAGGATTTTTGCAAGACTGTTACAATCATTAAATTAACGTCCACTCAAATTGATGGACAAAGGATTGGAAATTATTTATTACGAAAAAGTAACTGTAACAATTGAATTTATTTTTCTAATTGTTATAAGTCAATTAATTACCTGTATCGATAAACTAGATGAGAATTCGCTGTTTTGAATGTCTTATATAACCAAGTTCTTAAAGTGGTCGATGAGCGATTCGTAGGTAGGACATTGTCATCGAAGTGAATTTGTTTCTCCAATTGGACATAATTGCTATTCGATGATCCAGAATTAGTTAAAATGGTTACAATTAAAGTGAATGATTTCTGTAATTAAAGAGAAAAAGAAAAAAAAATCAAATATGTAAAGTTAATTGTTGGACAATTTAATAAGCAAAAGCGATAGAAGAAATAAAAAACAAATGCAACAATCAATTTCACATTAAAACAAAGTTAATTGTTATCACCATGATACAATTTAAACTATAAATAGATTGATGATTAAAACTAATTGGCAATGGTAAAGGTTAAGGTTAACATAAATTGACCTGAATCAAGCGAAATAATTAAATTTCTCTGTGCAACAATTAACTTTGAACAGTTAGAAGATTGCAAATATTGTAAAATGAACAACGGGAAAAAATCCAACCGGATGTTGTTGATATATTTTCAACCGGAACTACTATTTTTTATGAAGAAAAAGACAGAGATAGAGACAGAGACCGAGAGAGCAGTAGAAAAGGTTAGTGATGAAGATGGAGGATGATGATGATTATTTTTTATTCTATTCGAATAGTTGAAATAATTACTTAATCTTACGCGTGCTGGAAATATTTGAAAACGACTTCGCAATTAGACTAATATATTTGATGCTTCCTTTCAGCTTCCAAGGACCATCATCATCATCATCATCATCATCTTCCTCATCCTCATCATCTTCATCAGCATAAAAAAACTGACATCTTGATTCATCTTCATCACCTAAATCATCAGTCTTTGTTTATCCATCAATGGAACTTTTTTTTCAAGTAATCTCTTCTTTCATCAAAAACCTTGGCTTTAGATTAAAATTTTGTCCTCTTAATTACGATATTAACTTGACCATTGTCTTAGATTGTTGATAATCTTAATTACCATTGAACACATTTCCTTTTAATCCAGTTGAATTAACTTCCATCACCATAATTTACCTGAATCTTTTTCAAACGTTTTCCATATGTCACTTTTACCCAATGATAAATGTTACATTACCTTTGCATAATCAGTTACCAGTCAAGGATAAATTACTGGTCCATTGATTATAACAATTAAGAAACAACAAAACTGATTGTTATTAATATTACTCCAAGAAAAGACAAACAAATTGATACGAAAACAAAATGATTGTAATCAAATGAAATGTCATTGATTTTATAAACAAATTGAGAGTAAAAAAAAACTAATCTAACTAATGAAAAATTGATCAACCATCGTTAATAAATTGCAATAACAATGACAATAGTCAAGAGCTAATTGTTGTTATGGTTAAGGAGTGAGCCTAAAGTGTGAATCAAATTTGCATAAATCGCATGGATTAAATTTAATGAGTTTCTATCAATATTTTCACTCAACAGAATGCAAATCATTTCAAGTTGATTGAATTTTCAACAAACTCTTCACACAACTGATGCACTTTGCATTTATGATGAAAGTTGTTGATTGTTGATGAACCTGTTTGATTGTCGATTGGAACAACAAAAGTCTGTTCGAAGTGTGATTAACAGGAATGTTAACAGATGGATCAATGGTGATGTCGATTCCCGATTGGGTTCTTCAAAAATAGCCCTTCGATCATCATCATCATCATTGATCATCTCAAGGGAGAATCGGTTTACATCCTTTAATTCCCATTTGAATCAGTTTAATATTTAATGTTATTAGAATCAAGTTTTTCTCTTTTTTTAAAAATAGTAAAAAAAAGATACACAAAAAGTGTAACTGAGTCTGTAAGTGAGATGATGATGATGATGATGGTTCTCTATTTAGGACACACAGAGATGATGATAGGAGAGAGAAAGTCAATTCACTTCCCCGCTCCCCGTTTATCCTCATCTCCCTCCTCATCTTTGCTCGAGTCAGAACTCAATGAGCCGAGACACAAACTCGAGAGGTGAGAGGGAAACCTTATGGAGACACAGTAAGCAAACCATTGATGTTTATCAATGAATTTGTTGTTTGTTGTTGTTGTTGTTTTGTTACTTTATTTAGTGAATAAGAAGTACAATCGTTGCAAAAAAAGAAACTCATAACATTGCAACATTTGTAATATTAGAAGAAGGAAAAAAAATCAATGAAAACTAATTCACAATTAGAGTAATTCAATTGCTTTCTAACTGTCATCGCCTCTTAACAATTAAAACTAAACTTTCAAATAAGTTGCAAAGTTTCATTAATATTAATATTATTTCTTGAGTTGGATAAACTTTTCGGTTACACTAATCAAATATACACTTTGAATTAGCAATTAGTCAATTGTTTTGGAAATTTGTATACACTAATTGTAATAATTTACAATAATCTTTACCTTTTCATGAATAATTGATTGTTGACTTTTTTATTTTCACTTAAAATGGCGGCCTGACAATTTGCTACAATAAGAAACCTTATTCCTTCATGTTATTAACTTTTATTATGATTAAGTTTAAGGTCAATGCAATATGTTAATCTTCCCATCGGATATTTCATGCTTGAGATAATCCCAACAGTTACAAGTTAATTCAAGACATAGTAGAAAGAGTGTACAGTCGTGCAAAGAAACAGAAAAGTGAAAACAAATGACAAGCTGACAAATTTTGTTGATCCAGTTTTTGGCTTTTCCAATGGATTAAGTCATGTGTTTCCACTCTCATTCATTCATTGGATTGTATCAACCTTAAATTATTGCAAATTAATCTTAATCACTGGCATCATCTCAGCAGAGAGGTTGATGATGATGATGATGATGATGATGATGACAAAGACCTCACCCTCTTTTCACCACCCACACAAACTGCCCTTTCAAATCAACACATCAACAGTTAAAAAACTCAATACACTCAAGAGATTTCATTTCAATGTCAAAATTTGAAGCTAGAAAATAATTCAAATCAAAATATTGATTCTATTGATTGTCAAATTTATCGTCAACTCAATCGTCTTGATTATAGCTGTTGAAATCAATTTTGAGTTGATTAGGGTTCGAGTAACTTTTTTAATTAAGTCAAAAATCAATTGTTAGGATTATGTTGATTGTTACTATTAGTATTTGATATGATTTATTTGATGGTTGATTCAATATGGTCAAGGGTTGGGGTTTATTAACTGGTTATGTTAACATAATGGACACAAAGAGATGACCTTTAAGCCTTATCGGGTCAACTCCCATTGACCAGTGTCCAAATCAATAGTTGACACAATCAAGTTAATCATAAACTATATCATTATGATTAACCCTTCATAATAGATGATAATCTTTTGTTAACAATCAAATCAATTGTGTCTCTTGAGTAACCAAATCAAATGTAACTCTTATTATGATTTAACTTAATCTCCTGAGATTATTAATTTTGATGGTCAATCGTTGATTTCTGGACTTTAATTAAGCTAATTAACAATCTAATATTTGGCCCTTCAACTTTTCAGCAATTGATAACTTATGATAATCGTTAATCTTTGTCATCTTAATTGTTGATTGTTGACCATTTATATTCAGCATTAATTAGGCAAGTTAAACGGTCAAAGGATTCACCTTAAACTTGGAAACTAAATTAACTAATTCAGTTATGCTAACGGAAGTTAATTGCTAATTGAAACTGTGTTCAATTCAATGCTTAGTAGATTGTGATTAACTAAGTAATCTAGATGATAATCTATGAAAGTTATTAATTTGAATTGTTAATTAATTAGTTAATGATTCAGATTGTTGTTACTGATGGAACAACTAAATTGTTAATGATAAAAAATCATCTAATTGTTGGGACTGTGAGAATTGTGATTCTAATGATAATTAACAACAATAGATCAACAACTTGATACAACATTAAAACAATTAGTATTAATTAAATGGTCAACAAATTTGGTTGACCTTTCAAGTACATAATTGTAATTAATTTAAATTGTCAATGATTAAATCACCTCTTCTAATCCATGATAGTAATATATGAAATAAAATTACAAGATTAAAATGATTAAGAGATTAAATTATTTTCTCAATTCAATTAATCCATCTGAATGGTAAATGTTTTCATTGAGGATTAATTTTAACAGATTAACAGATAATCAACCTTAAGATTTGAATGATTAACAATCAAGTTGATTAAAAGTTGTCATAAAAATAAATAAAAGTGTCACACTGATGATGTTTCAATGTAATTAAATTCTGTTTTTTTTCAAAATGATTATCAATCAGAGGCAATCAAATATTGATTGTCATCTAAAATCATAAATCACAATCAATTAAGGGATAATAAGTTGAATGAATTTAATTATAATCCTTAACTTTGTTTTCTTGTATAAAAAAAAATGTTCAAGTTCAAGGATAATCAGAATCGTAGAGGAAAAACAAATACCGATCAAATTGAATGATAATTTAGATAATTAATTGTGGATTGGAATCAATGATGATGATCAACATGATTAAGAAGATGATTAGTGAACTTCATTGATTGTGAACATGGAAATGTTTGAGTAGAAATTAAAAGTTATCTCGATTTTCTGTGAGAAAAACTCAGTCAAGAGAAGAATTCACATAATTAAGACACTAAACAACCAAAGATGATGATGATGATCAACAAGAAGATGATGATGATGATGATGATGATAATGTCGACAGAGAGAAAGGGAAGATTAGACGATGCGAAACCAATTAGATTAACATTGAATGTGAATCAAGGTAATAATGAGTAACAAGAATAAGAAAAGATGATCAACAGAAATTAAGTGTTAGATTTGCTAATTACTCTTTTTTGTAACTTCTTTAATGTGAAAGAATTAAATTGTTACGTTGATTGTCGTTGATTACTTACCATCCATCTGAATGTGAAGGGTAATCGCAATGAAACTGGATTAGATGAAGTTGATGGTTGAGATGTTATATTACCATAGGTACAAGGGGGACCATAAACAAGAGTATTTGATTCCTTGAGACACAAATTGTAAATTAATTTAGTTTCATCGGTTGATGAGTAAAGTTGTTTGTGTTCAAATTCAACAATTTCAATTTGAAATACACCAGATCCATGAGAACAATCAATTTTAATTGTTATCAGATAAAACAATATAATCCATAAATTGTACCTTTGATTAAGTTTAGTTGAAGTTAATTGTTGTCTATGATTAGGATAATGATTTGGTTGATGATTATTAATCCGCTGAGTTACATACATTTTCATTGTAACCCAGGGTTAAAGTTTTCCAACACAATTAAGATTATTATTAACTAATCAATTTGGTTATTATTATTATTTTACTGTTGTTGATGTTTATTAAATCACTAATCAGATTAAAAAAGACACAAATTGAGTTTTAATTGTCACTGTGATTTAAGATTATCCATATTGAGGTGATTGTTGATAACTGAAGTGCACGCGTAACAATTAACATTAGAATGACGAGTAAAAAAAATACGTGTGAACGCGTGTTCCTTTGGTGGGCGCGTGTTTTTCAATGTCAACTGAAGGGAGATCTTGTATTCACCAGGTCACAAATTGAAAGAGAGAGAGAGAGAGAGAGAGAGAGAGAAAGAGAGAGAATAGAAAACGAAAAGAGGAGGAAGATGAGGATGAGGATGAGGAAGAAAAAAGATGAGGAGGAGGAGAGATGGAGAGCGAGATGATGAAAATACACTTGGGATTATTTCACTTAGAAAATATTTTTTCTTCCAACATTTTTCAATCGATTCTTCAATCAACAGTTATCATAAATATTGATATTCTAAATACTGATATTTATCAATAAGTAATAAGGGTTAAGATTCTGCTGGATCACAATTAAGTTGATGAAATCTTGAAATTCGTAGGCAAATATTGAATAAATAGAAACTTTTTGTTTTCCTTCAAGTTTAAGGTAAGAGTTGTGATGATAAACTGGCCTCAGAATGACTTCTGTTGAAAGTAAGAAGCAAATCAACGGACCGATAACAATAACAACATCATATGAAGATAAAGAAGATAGATGATGATAAAAGATGATAAAAGATGATAGGATGAAGATGAAGATGAAGATAACCGTGTAAATCGTGAGGCAAAAGGTATAATCAACGTAACATGGGAACTACAAGTTCCTTCAACATACTAGACACAAAGCAACTGTTACCTTTACAAAATTACATTAGTTTTTTACCTTAAACAACAATTTCAACGATAATATTTCATCATCAACATCATTTAATAACAATCAAGTCTAATCAAAAAGAATCAACTTAATCCGGTCCAATATCATTAGATTAGTCCACTAATCTAATCCAAAACGATAAAAAAAACTTTACTATCACTTTCAACTTAGCCAATTAATTGTTAAAAAGTCAATTGTTATCATGTATCAATGATTTCAAATCAAACTTGATTGTCCAGTATTAAGACACATACAGTTTATTAGCCTGTTTGTGTTATCAATTAGATCAACGATTTAATCTGATCAATTGGAATTTAGATTTTAAATGATTCGATCAATTTAAATGGTTAAATTCAAATAGGAAACTGTAAATGTCCCAAGTTGGAAACTTGTTCACTCAAAGTCCTCTTGTTGCTCGTCCTCCCTCAACATCCACCACACCTTCAAATCGCATCCTCATCCCTCCTCCTCATCCCCATCCTCATCTCCATCCTCATCCTCATCCCCTTGATCCTCATCCATCTGTTGACATTAAAGTCTATGTAAAAATATCATAACCACAACTTCACCAATTTTGTGGTTACTTTCAATTCTTCATCCAAAAACATTTGGGATTTAATTTGATAATAAATAAATCACTTAAATCATAAGGGATTAGAATTGACAGATTAATTTATAATACAATTTTTTAATAATCATCATCAACGACAAATCATCAAATCAGATCTTAATTATCAAGTGAATAAAATTACCAATGAAGGTATTTAATTGTTTACTCAAATCTATCAATACCTTTCAGCTATTTACAATTAAATTAAAATTCAACTTTTGATGATTTGAAAATTGTCGCAATTTATAATTTAATTGTCTTCCGGATGCTAATGTTTGATATCGATAAACAATCAAATAATCAATCAATTAATTATTTTCCTCTGTAATCAAGGTTATAATTTGTATTCTTTAATTGTGATCATTAGCATTCAAGGTTAAATTGTAACCATTTGTAAATTACAATTAGATTGTATCATTGTGATCATTAAATTGACTGTTACGTATGATTATTAATTAGTGAGACGACAATTAGAATTAAAATCAATTTAATTTGAGAACCGAATTGATTGTGATGTTTTTAATTGTCGTAATTAGATTCCTATTGATACCTGATCATTTTAAATCAACTTCTTGCAAACTGATTAATTACATTTCTCGCAAGTAAATTAACAATTAATTCATTGATCAAAGTAAATCTTGATAAAACCTTTGATTCTTATGGCTTAATCATTATGCTAATCAACTGATTGATATAATTATCTTAATGATTTAGATTTTGTAACATTATTGTTAATCTATTATGATTAAATACTTCGCAACAATTAAGGAAATATAATAAATAACCTTTGAGACAGTTTCTTCATCTTCATCGCATCATCAGTAGCAATTAAGTGTGTCAATTTTAATTGTCATCAAGCTAATTAACTGACCATGGATTCATTTATCAAGGGATATTTTTGTGAACTCAGTGATGACAGTGACGAGATCGTAATTGCTGTTAAATGTGACAAACTAATTCACCAGGAAAACACTGGACTACAAGAGTTACTTATCTTTCAAAAGTAAATCAGTAATTAATTACTCATTGATTGTTAATTAATCTCTCAACTCTCTGTATCTTTTTCAGTAAGATTTTCGGTCGTTGTATGGCCTTAGATGGAGCTATACAGTTAACTGAGAAAGATGAATCTTCTTACCAAGAGATGATCACGTTTTTGGCCTTAAACTCGCACCCGAACCCTAAGAAGGTTCTGATTGTCGGTGGTGGGGATGGTGGTGTTATCCGTGAGTGTTTGAAGCACCATTGTGTTGAAGAGATCACTTTATGTGAGATCGATAAGCGAGTCGTTGAAATGTCCAAGAAATACCTTCCCTTTATGTCCTCCTCTTTTGACTCTCCAAAAGTGACCGTTAATATCGGTGATGGTCATGGTTTTATCAGGGAAAATAAAAATTTGTTTGATATCATTATCACCGATTCATCTGACCCTAAAGGACCCGCTCTCTCACTTTTCAAAGGGATTACTATAAATCTCTCCATGAGTGTCTTAGATCCGGTGGGATTATCTCATGTCAGGCTGAGACAATTTGGTATGATTTACCGTTGATTAAGTCTCTTCATTCAACCGCCTCCGAGTTTTTCAAAACTGTGGCTTATGCAACTACTATGGTGCCTTCTTACCCCTCCGGGCAAATTGGTTTTCTTTTGGCCTGTAAGGACCAACGAATCGACTTCAGTCTCCCATTTCATAAACTATCGGATGAACAAGTTGATGAGATGAAATTGAAATACTATTCAACGGCCATTCATCAGGCCGCTTTCACATTACCAACATTTGTCCGAAAGGTCAGTGGTCATCACGATGATTATTAATAATATGATAACCGATCAGTTGTAATTAAAACCACTTATTTACAATTTTCTATTGTTTTCAGGCTTTACAATCAAATGAATCCAATTGACCAAAGCTCAATCAGGTAATCAATACATTAGCATGTAATCAGATCACGATAATTACTATTATGCGTCTTAATTATTCAATCAATTAGATTATATAAAATCTCATCTAATCAGTTAACCCAATTATGTTTATCGACTATTTTATCAATAAATTGCAAGGACTTTCCGTCATTATTTGTCTACTGATTGTTAATCAAATTTTATCCTATTCAATTGGAGATTTTTAGTTTGAAACAATTAATTTGAATATAACAAATTGATTTGGTTCTTTGGATGATTAGTGTTTTTAATTCAAAATAAATATTTTCAATCGAGGTTATCAAAGTAAAAAACAACATTACACAGCAACAATTAGCTGATATGTACAATAAAATTTGTCAAACATAATACATGATAATTGAAGTTCGATTGAACTGAAAACGATTCATCCCAGGTAATAGTTACGATGATTTTTGGCGAAAATTTTGAAAAAAATGACTGGTTATCCAACAGAGATCTGTAAGGTCTGAAGGAATAGTTCTCCTTCGTGAATGTGTTGCCGATATCGAGCGATGTCTTTTCTGGTAACGATTCCAGCAACTTCGTTATAATCATTTATGACAACTAAATGTCGAAGTCCAAGTGCTCGAAATAATAAAAATATACGATTAAGAGAAGCTGAAGATGAGATTGCATATGGACTTGGGTTCATCACTGGTCGCAGATCAATTTGATAAAGTCTCTCTTTTGGTGTTATGGATTTGACGATCTTTTCGATTGGTGGATATCGAGGATAAGCGTCACGGAATGTTTTCGCGGTGATTGTATGATATTCATCATTTTCATCAAATATTTTCTCCTGTAAGAGAACAATCAACTGCCAGCGTAAAATGAGCCCACGGAAACGTCCAAAGTGAGTTTGTGATGAATATGAAGGTCCAAGGGATGAAGTTGATTCTGTTAAATTGTTTGATTCAATATCGACAACAGGGAAACCATTATGAGTTTCATTTTCTAAAACTTGAATAATTCTAGCGACACTTTCGACAGTTTTCAAAGTGACCACTGGTGTTGACATAATTTCCGATGCGTAAACGGTATGAGACATAGAAGGAGGCTCCCAGTGAAGGAAGGGAATTTGTGACAGGCGAATGTGAATATCGTAAATACTTTCGGGCATAAAATAATCACCGACCCATTTTGAGATTATTAGGGTTATCATGATGGGCGGACCGAAAGTTATATTACCAGTGGTCTCAATCATTATGACAGTTAAACTGATGGTCATCCGAACGACACCGCCAAGCATTGCAGCCGCGCCGATTAGAGCAAATTTACAGCCATCAGCCCAGTCGCTGTTATTGGGAAGAGCAAATTTAACCAGGAGGTAGAAAAGGCGACCGCCAGTGGCACCGATCAAAAGAGAAGGTATAAATAGTCCAGCAGATACGCTAAGTCCATAAGTCCATGTGGCGATGAAAAAGTAACATATAAAGAAAATAAGAAGCGTTTTCCAGGTCCAGACATCATCTTCGCTGTGGAATAGCAAGTGAACAGCGCTTTCGGGTGTCGCCAACCAAAGACGTGACATTACTGAATATTCATCCTCCTTACAACCAGAGCTTGTGAATAGATTGATATCTTTAACAATCTTGTGACAATCTTTGTCCAGGTAAATAAGTAAATAGCCAACAGTACAGGTTACAATGGAAACGAAAACGGCCTCGACTACTTTGAGCCACCTTCGATTGATGTACTTTAAACGGAATATCGAAAGACGAAGATTAATACTGTTGTGAAGGGCTCCTAAAATGCCTCCGATGGCCCCGAGAAGAGCGTAAATTGGAATCTCGTAAATGACATAACTGATTTCACCAAATTTACCGAAATTGACTAAACCAGGATAAGACAATTGCCATGCATGGTTATGGTAAATGGACAAGACAATGTTGAGAGTGAAAGAAGTGATCATTGAACAGAAAAAGATTCTCCATGTTAAGGCCTGATTCCAGAACGATGCTCCTTCTTCAAGACTGAACAAAACTCCACCAATAGGAGCACCAAAAGCGGCAGCCACACCAGCAGCAGCTCCTGTGATTAAATTGCAATCATTAGATTAGATTATCAAGTTCATAAGAGAGCAAAATTGTGACATTTAAAACGGAGATTGATTGTTGAAAACGGTGAGTAATTTCAAGTTAGAAAACATTTCACTAAGAACATGTAATCAGTCAAGTTAATTTCCATACAAATGGGACATTGATTAGCAATTAAAGTTAATTTCAACTACTAATAAGTTGATATTATCACTGAATCATCATTGAAGATAAAATCTTGAGGCCAAGATTCAAAGTTCAACAAAAAGCTACTTTAAGAATCTAATTGATGATATCGAGGAGGTGGAAAAGTAAATATCATGAGCAAATAATCAAATAGACGACTAATTAATCATTTGATTCTGATAATTTGTGATTAAACTGTTCTAACAGAGAAACATCAAAGGAAAGGGAAAGAGATACAGAGACTCACCTGCAGATACGAAATCTCTTTTTTCTCTGTCATCCTTGAATTCGTCTAAAAGGTGAGTATCTTTTCCGAACGTGGTGCTTTTCCCTTGCGATATTCCAGCCGCGATTACTGAGCCACAATGGATCATCGGCCCTTCCTTGCCACTGGCCAATCCACCGACAACCGATAAAACAACGCCAACGGCTTTGGAAATGAAGGTCTTGATACGAACCACTTCGGGCACTTTGACGCCATTTAGATAACATTTGATCACAGGAATACCAGAACTTGCGGCAACCGGAGCCCAATAAGTGACCATAATTGCACCGATCGAAACTAAAACGGCATTGATTCCCATCCAATAAAATAAAGGTGTATGGTAACAGTCAGTTGATTTATCACATTCATTTATCTGCGTCATAAGAAAATGGTACTTGTAATTAGCAAGTTTATCCACAGTAACGACAATTGTACAGGCCGTTAATGCGGTCAATATACCGATGAATAAAATAACAATCCATCTTTTAACATTCTTATTTCTAAGAATATTCAAATTTCTTTGTTGGAAACGCTGCTCCAAAAGGAAATAGTAATTTTCACATTGATCATAATCAAGACTCTCATATTTTTGGGACAAAAATTCAAGAGGCATTGCGACATTGATTCCAACTAATTAAAGAAACAAAACTAATTATTGTAAAACACTAAAAGTAATCAGTTCAAATTAGAGCAAAAAGTGATTACAGTTGATTAAATGTATCAATTTATTTGTTTACACTCTAACATCTGATAAGAAAACGAATCTTTTTCTGTTAGAATAGCAATCAAACGCTATTTTAACGGAAATTTTGACAGTTGATCAGAAAAACGGTTACAATTAATTTGAAATGATCTTTTTTTTTATTTTCAACAGTTGCGCGAACTCAACTATCATTTGTTGATTAGAATATGATTTGTTTCCTTCCTTTGATTGACTTGATTAGTTTTGATTTTTTCGCTTTTCAAGAAGAGATGAAAAAACAAAAGTGATTAAGGATCGAGTGATTAACTTAACTCTATTTCTTTGGTTGAAATGTAAAAAAATATTTCCATTACATACATAATAAAGAGTAGAAATAAGAAATAGTAATCAACATGATTGGGTTCGATGTGACAGTTGATTCTACATAAATTATTTTAATCGTAAACAATTTTTGATAACAAAGGGTTAATGAGCTCCTCTTGAAATTTGTTCCTTTAAAAGTAGAATACTCTGTTTTTGTTCATCGGGTAACATGGCGATTTGTTGCTCCGATAATTGGAGTACTTGCATGATTAGGGCAGCTCTTTCTTGTTCTTGATTTGGTAAACTAGGAATATTTAATGAAGATGCTGGAGCATTGGGTCGAGAAGATGATGATTGAGGTCCACCGGGTCGAGCGTTATTAGAAGACGGGGCTTGGGTTGATAGTCTGGGATCGAATGAGGTTTGTTGGGGTTGAGATCGTGCTCTTGGATCTAATGATGTTATTGGTTCTCGAGCTCGAGGATCGAGAGATCTTGGATCAAAGGCAATTCCAGAGGCTGGTGGTGGCACATTTGAAGGCTGAGCAACGGGTTGAGATGGAGGGATAACACCTCTAGCATAAGGATCGGGTGGTATAACTGGTCCTGCTTGTGCCCATGGTCCGGTTCCTGGTGGAGCTGTTGAAGGTAATCCGGTAACAGGAGGAACTCCTGCTTCCCCCATTAGATTTGGAACCGGAGTGTTCCGGTGAAGTATACTGAGAGCAACATTAGGATCAACTATCTTCATGACAACCAAAGCTTGAAGTAAAGCATATGATAGCTGAGGATTCTGAAGTAGCATATTTCTTGCTTCATTTGGATTAGTTTGAATACATTGTTTCATTTGTTTAGCAAGTTCAAACATTTGTTCTGGTGGGAGACTTGCAACTGCTCTGCTAATCGCCTCCGGTGCTTTATCTGGATCAACGTCTGGACCATATGGACTCTCAAATGTACCACCAAGGGATGATTGAAGGTTACGTATCTCCTCTTTGGTTCTTTCATTTGCAGCATTGTCAACTCTAAGGGTACGTCCATTTAATTCATGACCATTAAGATTTCTCATCGCGCTTAAAGCAGTTTCCTGATCCTTATACTCACAGAAACCATAACCCTTTGGTTTACCTGTTTCTCTGTCATATACAAGTCTACAGTCAAAGATGAAAAAAAGGTAAGTTAATTGTCAATGTCAAATCCTTTGATTCCTTTTCCAATCTCAAAGCAAACAAAAATGTTGACAAAAAGCCAACAAACAGAATAGTAAAAAGCTTTCATCAATTGACAACAATAACAAAGCTTTACAATGAGATTTAATGTCTTACCTAAAGCTCAACACCGGCCCTGCTTGAGAAAACAATTCCTTGAGTTTCTCTTCGGTAGCATCATATGGAATATTACCAACAAATACTGATCGTAATGATCTTTCATTAGAATTTAAAATTGCTGCCATTTGAAGATAATAACCAAACACAATACAACAGCAATCAAAGAGACAAACTAATCAATTAATGAACAAAATAAAAATTCAAAACAAGAAAAAAACTCTTTTCCAAACCAACAGATGTCGCTAATTCTACTATTCTAAAATTCCAACAGATGGCGCTGTTAACACTCGAGATCGAAGTTAATTTAATCACAATTATAATCTAATTATTTTCCTCGTTCTTATCCAATTAATTGAAGAATTAAAATTTTTTCGATCATGATTGTAACATTACCATATTCTCATCTTATTCTTGCCAAGTAATCAAAAAGACTAGAACTAGGGTGTAAATCTAATTGCAATTAAATCGCAAGGGAAAAAGTTCTCGTTCTTAAATTGTCTTGACTTTGGTTCGTTATTATTATTAAATGAGTTGATTAATTTTTCTCTTTCTTTCAATCTAAACAATTAACATTCCAATATTTTCTCATTAATTGTCAATAATTAAATTGTTCTCATTGATTGGGTGAGAAAATAAATATTTACTTTTCCAATTGAAGTAAAAACGATGAGGTTGAATTTTCACTTTTCTTTAAAGTCTCAATTGATTAAGTTGATAGAGTAATTATTTACCATCGTTAATTAACTTGTAAGTTAAATAAAAATATTCTCTCTCTTAAAGTAATTAACCAAGTTAATTAATCCGTTAATTGAGTTGAAATGAAATCTAATTTTCTTAAAGTCATGTGACTTTGATCAGCTGATCAATTGGATTTTTTTGTTTGTCTGAAAATCAGATTATCTGTCAATCTGTTACTGTAAATGTGAATTTAAATAATCAAGTTGACAATTAATTTGATTGAACTGTTTTTATTTCATGTTAATCAACATCAGTAGACCAAATTTTAAGAAAAATTTTGGACGATTAGTTCCCAATCAATTGAGATTAATTCATACATCGGTTGTTACAAGTAAGTGTCTTCTTTTTGTTCATTTAGAATTTTTTTTTCTCTCAATTTTAACTAATCTTTTCTCCATTTTTTCTAATCACTTTCTATCAATCATAGTGGAGAGCATCAAGTGCCTAAGGTAAGTTTTTAATTGTAGAATATTTGTCCATTTTCTCTGTTTAAATTGTTTTGGCTTGGAAATGGCGATTCATTGATTTACCCTTTTCTCTTGTTCTTTGTCTCTCTTTGTGTGCGTATCTTTAGCCAAGAGGAGGCCATTAGAGTCGATAAAGACTTATTCAATGAGTGCCAATTTAGTGTCGATCAATTAATGGAATTAGCTGGACTCGCTGTTGCCACTGCCATTTTTAAAACGTATCCATCTCGATCTTATAAAACTGTTTCCATTTGCTGTGGTCCCGGAAACAATGGCGGCGATGGTTTGGTTGCTGCGAGGCATCTCTTTGCATTTGTATGTCTCCAATTGGTGATTCATCGGAAATCACATTGCATCTCAACCCAATTACTATAATATGAGAAAAAAAGGAAATCAACATGCTCATATTTTCTCATTTTATGTGTATTGAGTTGTAATTGTGTGAAATCTAATCTCATATTCAACAATTACCTTTATCGTTTTCATGCTCACTGGTATTTTAAAATTTTCTCTTTTCTTTTTGTATCTACGCATTTCTTTTACTCAGGGATATCGGCCATCAATTTACTACCCAAAACCTGGAAAATCTGAATTATACTCACGTTTAGTTCGACAATGTGAGGAGGATGAAATTTCTTTTCTAACAAACTCAGAGGACGTTGAAAGAAGCTCATTGGTTGTCGATGCTGTTTTCGGATTCAGCTATAAACCACCATGTCGAGAAGAATTCAAAGATCTCTTGGGAGTATTATCAAGATGCTCGAACAGATTGATCAGTATAGATATTCCTTCGGGTTGGCACGTTGAACAAGGTCCACCAACCGATGATACTCCAAAATTACAACCCGATTGTCTAATATCATTAACCGCTCCTAAACTTTGTTCCAAGTTTTTCCATGGTAAACATCATTGGTTAGGTGGCCGTTTCGTTCCTAAAACTATCATCAAACGGTACGAATTGAGACTACCCGATTTTCCAGGATCTGAACAATGTGTTAAAATTGTTTGAGATTAACACTAATCACCACCACCACCAACCAACCTCAGTGATGATGATGATTGGCTGATCAAGATTAAGAAGGAGAGAGAAAAAAAGAGGAACAATTATAAATGAAGAAGTTGAAACAATTTAACAGGATTCAAGAGATTGACAAATTAATCACCTATGCCTCAATTCAAACAGTTGATTAATCACAATCAGCATCCAAAAGAAAAGTCGAGAGAGCAATCAAGAGTTGAATGAAATTAACGACGAACTCTCAACTTTTTTTTTTCGATTCTTATTTTACCGTTAATACGATTACTTGTTTCCTGATCCCGATAACATCAACAACAATTTGTTATTTGATTGTTACAACTTCTCAATTAACTTGTTCCATTATCATACTCTGATCAACAGATCACAACATAACCACCACCACAAATCATTTAACTAATGTTAATTATTATAATATTCTGATTAATAGCTTGATTGCTTCTATTCTAAAACAATAATTACCACCTATTCTTCCAGAAATCAAGAGTAATAGATCTTCCTAATTAACAAACAAAATCAAGATAATCTATGGATTGATTAACCGTACAAATCATAATTCTAATACAATTTCCGATAATATTTTAATCCCGATTAGATTTAAGTCTCGATAAAAACACTAACCTAATCCCGAGAGCAGATGAAAACCAAAAGTGAATCCAAAATTCTGATAGTTTAATAATAACAACAAATGAAAACAATTAAAAAAATCAGAGAAATTGATAATTAACAATTAAACACTTTCTCTCAATTAATCTGTATCTCTCAACAATTAATCTCAACAATAATAATAACAATTGTCTCCCAAACAAGATTGTATTTATCTATAGCAAAGAAATGAGCTTAATGACAAATGTTTGATAATCAGCAATTAAAGAAACACAATTAAACTTTAATCTTTAATTTGTATTACATGAAATGATTTAATCGTGAATCAGGTTAATCAATTTCCACCTAACATGTTGTATTTTTGTTTCCACTCTTTCATGTTACTAGGAAATTAACTTGAACATTTTTTGTTCATCGCAATTCATTGCGACTCGAAGATGATCCTGGAAGATGAAGAAGATGATCTGAATTTAGCATCATCCGAATAAGGAGAAGAGGGATGATCAGGGAAGATTCAGATTCTGTCTCCGAAATTCAACTTTTGACAATTTCGTTTCCATCATCATTATCTTTCAATTCTCTTTCTTTTTCTCCGCATCCTCTTTGTTTCTCTATTTACATCATCATTATCATCTTCATCTTCATCTTCCTCCTCTGTCTATTTCTCTCTCTCTCCCTCTCTTCTCATTTTAACTTCTCTTCCAGAAAGAGACTCACCCTCATCTCTCTCTCTCTCTCTCTCCCTGTCTCTCTCATCATTTACAGTTAGAATCTATTATCTTTCTTTTTTTCTTCTCTTTCTTAATTCTCTCTCTCTTTCTCTTTCTCTTATCATCTTCATCTTCATCTTTTTTCATCTTCTCATAACAAACTCCCTTTGCTCCCACAGAATCAAAGTAATTACAATATCATTTTTTTATTAACGTTAACACGTTTTAATTGTTATTGTTTATGTGATAATCATTTTCAACCTCATCACCAATTTGATAATCAATTTAAATAAAAAAGGTAAGAAAGTTATCATTTATTAACCATCGCAATTAAGGTTGATATTTAAATCGGTTACACCTTAATTTGTGCCTCTAATAGTTACGATTAATCAACTTATCGTTACCAAATTGTGTTTGTGTCTAAATTGTTGATCGTGATGAAAATAGGCTTGAGTTTAATTGTTCCTATGCTCCAGTTACAATAATAACAGAGCTAAATTAAATTACCATATTCAACTATTTAATTTAACTAATGTGAAAATTAATTCTGTCAAGTTAAACATTTAATACTCAACAATCAACAGGTACAACTGTCAATTGTAATGATTAAATTTAATCCATTTTATATATTCATTTGTTTATAGTAAAAAAATTACAATTTAAAATGTAATTTATGTAATTAACCATTGATGAAGATGATGAGAAACTAATTGTAAACAAAAGTGTAAACATAAATACAACTAATCAATGGTAAATTGTGGTTAACCAATTAAATTACAGATTAATTAGCAATTTCCACCAGGAAATTATTGAATCAACAAACACAAAACCTAAATTAGTTACCATTCATTTGATAAATTACAATTAAAATTATTCATTTCTCTCATTCACAATTAACTGTTAATTGTTTACATATAGTTACGAGTTAAATTGTTGCTGTTAAAAGATGATCAAAAACACAAAGCGATGTATAATTAGTAACTTTAATTGTGTAAAGAATTATTATCAATAACAATTCGTATCAACAATTAATCGTAAATCGTTGATTAGATTTAAATAATATTCTGTGGAAATTGAGACAATTTAAATTGTTGTAATTTCCAAGTGATCATATTTATCTTAATTGTAACGTGTTTATTTTGATTTGAATTTGGGTTAACCAAAAGAGATCATGTTGTTAAGAATCAACTTTTTCTTGGCTTTAAATAATCACGACAATTTAAACTAATGTAATTCTGTTATTAGCAAATAGCAATCATCAGCAGGATCAAAGTAATAATAGTTAACTAAATTAGTTTAAATTGACAATAAACTTATCGATGAACCGTTTTAACTTAAGGCATTTAAATTGTAAAATTAACAATTGCTGTTCCAATGATTTCATCTGAATCATCAGATTAATCATTTTTTCAGAATAATCAACAAAAAAAACAACAACTATCAACATAAATCATCAATGAAATCATCAATCAATCAGATGAGTTGATTATCATGTTGCCATGATTTGTGGTTTGAATTTGTAACCAGTGGACAGTTTGAATGTTTTGTAAACAAGAATATAAATTTATTGTTAATTGTTGGGCTTAATTATCAGGTTAATCATCGTTCCGTGTCCTAAACCAAAGTGAAAATGGGTGTAGCTGATGATAGAAGAGGAAATCCGGATGAAGAGGACATTATGGAGAGAGAACTCGCTGAGGATGCTGTTTGGAAGCGAATTCAGAAAAATACCTTCACAAGGTAAGCGATTAATTGATTGTTATCATTGATTTTCCTTCTTCTCCTTCTATGGAATTTAAATGTGAACCCGATTGATTAACTGATTTCTCTTCATTTTCTTTCCTTATTTGATCAACTTTCCGATGAATTTAATTGAATTGTGACTCCAAATGATCTTGATGATATTAAGATGGGCCAATGAACATTTGAAAACTGTCAATTCTCATATTGAAAATTTGGAAACTGATTTTGAAGATGGCACCCGTTTGGTTGCCTTGGTCGAAGTGCTTTCGGGAAAACGATTACCTCGACACAATAAACGGCCTAAACTACGAGCCCAAAAACTTGAGAATGTCAATATCGCTCTTAATTTTTTAACTCAACAAGAAGGAATCAAAATCGTCAACATCGGTAAGTTAATTGTTTCTTTTTCTCTTTTTGTTAATTTTCATCGATTGATTCTGTTAATTTAAACTCTTCATCAGGGCTCGAATTTGTTTCTTCTTCATCAGATTTTATCGATATTCTTGTGAACAACCCTAATGATCAGTTAACTGTAAAGAGTTGCCACTAATTTAGTCGCTTTTTTGTTGATAGTTACTAAATTTAGATTGTTCAACCTTGAATATAATTCACTGTAAATTGTTTGATGTTTGGGTGATAATCAACAAGTAATAAATTTTACTCAACTTTTCGAGATTCGTAGGATATTGAATTTAATACCATCACGAATTTTAAAGATTCTTGTTAATAATTTATTGATATGGTTTGGATTAATTGTCAATGGATTAACTAGATTGGCGAGTCAATGAATTGTTTTCATGTTTGCTATTCATTGTGAAATTTTTTCTTCAGATTAATTATAATGATGATGAGTAATATTGTTTGTTCACTTTCTAAATCGTAATTAACTTAACTACATGTATGATTCAACGTTACTTGTTGGTTGATTACCAACATAATCTTATAGTTCAATCAAATTAGATAATCTTGTTTCTCATTCTGACACTTTGAATTTCATGATCTCATCACGAATTCACAGATAGTACTGATGTTGTTGATGGTCACCTTAAGCTGATTCTCGGCTTAATTTGGACTCTTATCCTTCATTATTCAATCTCAATGCCCATGTGGGAGGGTGAAGATGACTCAATGTACCGAGGGCGGGGAGAGCCAACACCCAAACAACGACTCCTTGGTTGGATCAAGAATAAGATTCCAGAAGTTCCGGTCAATAATTTCACCACCGATTGGAACAGTGGTAAAGCCTTGGGTGCTTTGGTCGATGCAGTTGCACCAGGTCTATGTCCCGACTGGCCTGATTGGAAGCCAGAAGATGCTTTGAAAAATACAAAAGAAGCGATGAAATTGGCCGACGATTGGCTTAATGTCCCTCAACTAATTAAACCCGATGATGTTGTCGATCCCAAAGTGGATGATCTTTCAATGATGACCTATTTATCCCAGTATCCTAATGCTAAATTAAAGCCTGGAGCACCACTTAGACCAAGAAATAATCCAAATCGGGTTCGTTGTTATGGACCAGGAATTCAGCCCGATGGTGTTGTCAAAGGAGCTCAAACAAACTTTACCGTTGAAACTTTTTCGGCTGGTAAAGGTAAAGTCGAAGTGTTCATTTTGGATCCATCAGGCAAACAAGAACCTGTCGCTGCAAAATTCAATGACGATCCAAGTAAAACTTACACTTGCTCTTATACTCCAAAGATTGAAGGTCAACATAAGGTAAATTTGTCAACATCGTCAGTTCGAGGCACCAGATCACTAAGAACGGTGTTAATTTCTATCTAATTGCAAAGAAAATGATATCACCGCCATCTCTTAGTTTACTAATCATATTAATCTCTTGTTTACTCTTTCATTTTCATCTTCGTTTGATCAATTTAGGTGATCGTCAAATTTAACGGAGTCGAAGTACCAAAATCTCCATTCGCTGTCAATGTCGAAGGTGTCGCTGGTGATGCTACCAAAGTTACTGCATCAGGACCAGGTCTTCAACCGACCGGAGTTCAAGTCGGCAAACCGACTTATTTTGATGTTTTCACTAAAGGTAAATTTCAATCGGATGTAACAATTACCACCCATCAAGATTTAATCGTTTTTCCTATTTTTGTGTTGATTAGGTGCTGGTAAAGGTCAATTAGAAGTCGTTATTTTGGATCCGACTGGAAAACCAAATACTGTACCTTTACGTGTTCGTCCTCTTGGTGATGATGTTTATCGATGTGAATATGTTGCCCAGGCAACTGGAGTCCATTCCGTTAATGTTTTCTTTGCTGGTAAACAAGTGCCCAAAAGTCCGTTTGGTGTTCGTGTCTCACCAATTTGCGATCCACGGAAAGTCCGAGCTTCTGGTCGTGGTTTACAACCAACTGGAGTGCGAGTTGGTGATATCGCTGATTTCAAGGTTACCACCGAAGGTGCTGGTGAAGGAAATCTTGATATTAAAGTAATCGGACCTGATGGAAAACCTGAAAAGGTCAATATTCGTAAAATCGATGCGACAACATTTGATTGTGACTATCGACCTGCAAAACCAGGTAAATATGTGGTTATTATTTCCTTTGGAACTCAAGAAATATTCAGGTCACCATTCGAGGTAAATGTTGGACCTCCAAAAGCGTCAAAAATACGAGCATATGGACCAGGATTAAAAGGCGGTGTCGTTGGTTATCCCGCTAAATTTACTGTTGACACAAACGGTGAAACGGGAACCCTTGGGTTCACAATTGAAGGTCCATCTGAGGCTAAAATTGAATGTACGGATAACGGGGATGGTTCAGCTGATGTTGTTTACTTTCCAACAGCTCCTGGTGAATATGCAATTCACGTTCTCAGCAACGGAGAGGATATTCCTCAGTCACCTTGGGTCTCTCAGGTCACTTCAAAACCAGGTCCCGACTTTGCACCAGACAAAGTTGTAACCACAGGAAAAGGTATCGGACCTTCAGTTGTCCAAGGTCGCCCTACAGACTTCACTGTCGATACAAGAAAAGCTGGAACTGCTCCACTCGATGTATCCGTTATGGACAAAGCTTGTGAACAAGTGCCAATGAAAGTCGCCAACGCAAAAGACGGAACCGTTAAGTGTGAATATAAGCCCGAGAATCCAGATAAACACGTTGTCCAAGTTAACTATGGCGGAGTCGCTGTTCCAGGAAGTCCGTTCAAGGTTCAAGTTGCACCTCCAACCGACGCCGCAAAGGTTAAAATATTTGGACCTGGAGTCGAGCCTGGTGTTAAACCGGGTGTTCCAACTTTCTTCAATGTCGACGCAGAGGAAGCGGGACCAGGCCAGTTAAAGGTCGCAGTTAAAGATGACAAAGGAAAAGAAATCGCAACTCAACTTCAAGACAATGAAAACAACACTTATTCAATTGATTATACTGCTCCAAAGGCCGGTATTTATACTGTAAATGCGACATATTCTGGTCAACCTATTCCAGGAACACCAATAACTGTACCTGTCACACCTCCAAGTGACCTGAGCAAGGTCAAAGTCGAAGGACTAGAACCAAGTAAGTTTGATATTGAAAGAAAAACAAAGTTTTAGATAAAGTTTTATCCATCGACGACTTATACTTACAAATCAACACATTAGGCCGTCAGTCTTTGCCAATTACTGGTTAACATAAATCAATCGATTAACAGCTTAATCATAATCTTGCATGTTTAACAATTAATCAACGGAAACAAAAGTAATCACAACTTTTATCCTTTGCCAGTTGCGGTGATGAACAATTTATATCAATTTCGAGTTGTTATTGATGAATCCTTAGCAGGCATACCTTTTATCCATGATTATATCTCCATTTGTATAACAAGTCCTTCAGGTCGACCGATCAGGCCACATGTAATTAACACTTCGGAAGGTTGTTTAGTCAATTTTGTTCCAATTGAGATGGGCCAATATCTTATATCAGTTTCTCTTGCCGGAAGTGGTAAAATTGATGATAAACCAAATTACATTTACTGTCTTCCCGAGCAAACATTATCCATGGTTAATCCTTCACCATCAACTTCATCTGGTTCCAATCAAGTTAATCGACACAATCAGGCTCCAATTGATATACCGATTTATGGTCGAGCCTTTGCCGATGGTTCGTACCAACATAATCAACGATCTTTGCTTTACTAACTTTCGATATGTTCTTAATTCTTAGTTTAGCCTTCCTTTTAGTCTTGTAGAGTTTAAATCAATCACCAGCATCGCATTACTAATTTTCTTAATTGTTTGCTCGTAATTTGTTTCGTTCTTGTGTTGTTCGTCAAGGTTTATCGTTCCTTAGAACTCAATATCCAGGTCATTCCTTTTTGTCAAATTCTAATCATTTATTCACCATTAATGTCAAATTTGTCTCATTAATTAATTTTATTTTCCTATTATTTTCCAGCCGTTTTCTTGGATTCGCCAACTGACTTTACCGTTGACACTCGAGCTTTACCCAAGAAATCTGAGGCCACAGTAACGTGCCGAATAACGAACCCATCAGGTTCTCAAACAGCTACTCAAGTGACCAAAGCCAAGGATGGAACACATAAAGTTGCCTTCACACCAACGGAAGAAGGTCAGTTGAGTTTAATTTCTCGATCTCAGTTAACCTTCACCCTTTCATTATTTAGGTCCACTTAAAGTTGACGTTATGGTTGATGGTCAAGCTGTTCCTGGAAGTCCATTTGCCGTGAATGCGACCAGAGGATGTAATCCAGGAAAAGTCAGAGCTTATGGACCTGGTTTGGAACAAGGAATCATTAATCAAAAGAATACATTTACCGTGGAGACAAAAGGAGCGGGTATCGGCGCTCTAGGCCTTTCTATCGAAGGTCCATCCGAAGCGAAGATGAACTGTCGTGATAATCGCGATGGAACCTGTACCGTTGATTATATTCCGATTGAAATCGGTGATTATGATATTGGAATCAAATTTGCCAACAAACAGATTCCCGGTAGGTCATAGAAAAATCAAATCTCTATTCAATAAACAATTAACTCACTTTCTATTCAATTTGAAATGTAAAAATATCAAAACTATCTTCCTATTCATTGAATTATCTTTTATATTACCTTTTGTTAGCTAAATTGTTATTAAATTGTTTCTCTTTTCAATGTTTAACCTCAACAGGAAGTCCATTTAGAGTGGCCGTTGATCACCCTGTTGATGTATCAAAGGTAACAGCCTATGGTCCAGGTTTAGAACCAGCTAATTGCCGAGCCGGTCCACCTCTTCCATTCACTGTTGATGCATCCAAAACTGGCAAAGCTCCGTTGACCGTTGAAGTGACCTCAGAAAAAGGACCAGTTCCCTATTCCCCCGAGATCTCAGATAATGGCGATAACATTTACGACGTATCTTATTTACCACCACCAGAAGGCAGTAAATGTAACGTTAATGTTAAATATGGAGGAAAACCTATTCCTGGCAGGTAATTGAGCTTCGCATTTAAAAATAGCTTTTCAAGATCAGCAATTTAAATTTAATCATTTAGATCATTCTACTGCTTAAGTAGCATCTTTTTACTTGAAGAAATCAACTAATCATAAGCATAAATATTCATGAAGAAATTTGCATGAGTAGGTTGATTAGTCCATAAACAATTTTCTAATTATTGATGATTTTTTGCCTTCTCTCACTTTCCAATTAAAAGTCCATTTCAAATGAAGGTCAAACCAATGACCGAACCTCAAAATGTCAAACTATCTGGTCCTGGAATTGCAAAGACACTTCCTGCCAGTTTTCCCGCTGAATTTACAATCGATGCCAAAAACGCAGGTTACGGAAGACCCGAAGTTAAAATTCAGGTAAAAATGCAAATAAAACTTTCAAATCAATCGCTTTTCTTTGAAGTTACAATCAAGTTGATTTTCCAATTAATTCTAATAGTAATTAACAAATCTCAATTTGACTCTTACCAAATTCTGAAACAAATTTTTGAGCTTAAGCTCAGCGTAGTGGCTCAAGTTCTCGCCGCTGAATAGGTAAACTCAAGTTCGATTCCTCCTCAAGCTACAATTCCATTGATTTGTCTTCATCAATTAAATTGTTGATCATAATCAAATTGCAATGATGATTTATATTTGTGCAGGGACGTAATCATGATTACATACTGATTTCAAATGCACATCTGAGCAATTAAATTTTTCGTAATTATTTTTCAATCTCAATTATATTCCCTTGACGAATAATTAAAAATCCGAAGGTAAATTATGCAAATTGTGATTTATTCAATCGTTAAAGTGAACAATTTATTGTCTCAATTAGTCCTTGACCTTTTCAGAAAAACTGTCAACAATTGAAAATCAATGAAATCGTAATGATTATTTATCTTTTCACAATTCAAGATAATCAACTAAATTTTAATCATCAAAATAGATGGAAAATTGTTGATTGATTTTAATTTTCTTCCAAGTAATCAACAATTATAGTGGAATGGAACATTTAAAAACTAATCAGAAATTCAGAAAATGTGATCTATTGATTAGCTAATCCAGTGTTAATCACCTAATCAGATGAGAATCTCACAATTACGATTATAACATGTCAATCAATTCATTCTTGTTAAGTAATAGATGTGCGACTAAATTAGTATCAGTTTGTTTAATTTTGGAATAAAAACTTTTTTTCGAACTTTTTGTTTCTCAATTTCGAAGATTTTTTATCTTCTTTCTCTCTAATAATGTGACATTTTCTTTCATCAATGACACTTCCAACAAGCCCTGTTGATAACACTTAGAATTGACAGTTTATCCTCTTGAAATGATTTGCTCAATTCTATCCCGTTAATAATTTTCCACTCAAATAGGCTCCCGATGGGTCTAAATGTAAGGCGACAATCGTTGACAATCAGGATGGCACTTACAAGGTGAACTACACACCCGACGATGTGGGTAACTATAAGGTGAACGTTACCTTTGGAGGTAAACCCGTGCCTGGAGCTCCGATAACGGTCAAGACAACGGTAACTGGTCAAGCGGATAAATGTAAAATCGCACGTAAGTACAAAAAAAAACACTCTGAGAAGTGCTAATCACTGTAATTCTAACACTAAATACTCAAAATGTTCACAATGATACAAATATTTGGCTTTGATTGGTTTAAGGGGAGAAATTTAAAATTCTGACAAATTGTAATTCGTTAATTGTGGATCAAATCCAAGAAGTTGAAAGGTATTAGAGTATTTTAATCAAATACTGTCACTCCCAATGACGTTAATCACATCAACCTTGACGAGGCCACCATATAGCCTAAGGTGTTGATTCATCCTCATCATTTAAATCATCATATGATATGATACAAAAATCTTGCTTATTATCCGTAGATTAGATTATCCATAATTTTGAGGGAAGATTAGGAAATGATAAAGACTGTTAATCCAATGGATGTAAACATTTTCGTTAATTGTTATGAGGCTGCTGTTCATTGGATGGATTAACATTTGAAAAAAGTTCCAAATTCTCAGAGTATATTAAACACTTTTTGATTTATCCACCGAAGCCCAGAAATCAAGCCTGGAATCTTAAATTTGTGAAACTTAATTGGTGATTTATTCTAGTTAAGGATGGTCGCAATTTACAGGGTAGTTCCAGTCACAGAACTCTGATTTACAGCTCAATGGGAATCTCTCCAAGAAATTTTCATACAGTTATCATGTTTGGTTATCATGAGAAAGTTATTATATGAATATTAGATACGATTCATGAAGAAGATGATGAAAAAAAAGTTCTGAAAGTTGTTCAGCTTCAGATTTTTAATGTTGATTAAAAGTAGAGAAAAAAAATTGGATTAATTTTCAGTTTTTTCCTGATTGTAAACTAATCCTCATGATTATATCTACAAGATAAACCGATAATAATCAATTGTAAGAGACTAAATTACTCACTGATGATAGTTAACTTTACTTTTTCGAGGCTTAATTAACTGATCAATTTACCTTGAAACTCTCACCTTGGTGAAAACTTTTCTCATTTCTAATTGAGTTTAAATCTTATTTTTTTCTGGTTAAATTATGATGGATGTTGATTGTAGACATATTTTTGGAGTCTCTTCTCATAAGTTTCAATACCATTTTCGGGTTAAATTATAATTTTTGGGATGAGGATGGAGAGATGATGATGATGGGAGAGAGAGAGAGAGAGAGAGAGAGAGAGAGAGAGAGAGACAAGAAGCCAAGGCTTAGCATCTTTTACAGGGTGATAACGGTTTCTGATTCCTTGAAATTGTTTCAAATCAACAAGATGAAACTTGAATTATCCTTGATGAATTTACTTTATCTTTTTGGCAAATTATTAACATTATTCACAATTATAATAAACATTTTCGCAATTTTTAATTGCTACCTCATTATTTTATCATTTTATCACACGAATTCTGGTTATTATTTTGCACCAGTAACTTGAGAGTTTAAATTGTTAGTTAACATTTCACTTGATTAGTGTTGATCATGTTTCTCATGACCTATTAAATACCAACTTGATAATTCAAATTGAAATCTCAATTATTGATTGTTCCCTGATTGATGTTCTTGTTATGATAATTAATTACCTCCAACTATTGAAAACTTATCTTCATATATACATATTCATTATTTCATCTAATCATATAATTAATTATCATAATCTGATTAAATAATCATCTAATTGATTGTACTGATGTCATGTTATTGATCTTTACTATCTTTAATTCTATGCTATAGATAATTTAAATCTAATTGAATCATTACCTTATCTGATCAATTATATCTAGATGATTAATTAACATTATGATAATTAATTTCATTCATTATTGAAATATAACATATATAATATAATCATTAATAATCTCAATTGAGACAACAATTTATTACTCTTGTTGTGGATGCATTTTAATTGTCGCACCAGCAATTAGCTATTTCCATTAATTAATCATCTTCGAAATAATAATAATTTTCATATTCGTTAAAATTATGTAACAACAACATTAATAATTCCATTAATTAGAATCTCTCTCAACTTAATGAATGAATTGTTGATGGAAAATTAGTGTTCAATTAACTCATTGTGTTAAGTTGATTGTCATCAACTCTTTAATTAGCATTAACTTGTCAAAACAATTTAAGTCTATCAACAATGTTGAGTTAAATGTCAACGGTAGAGAGGAAAAGTCTTGCAATCAAATTTCAGTGAACAATTAACACTCTGATTCCCATATGAGCCTAATCATTGAATTAAATTGTGCATTTCGTTTTTTCAATTCACAGAAAAGGTAAAGGAAACAATAGCCGCAGGCGAAGAGCAATGTCTTCAAGTTGACGCTCGACAGGCAGGCAAAGGTGCGGTTACCTGTAAGGTGAACAAGGTGAAGGAAGAGACTCGAACTGAAAAGCAACAGGTAACAAGCACCAAGAGTCAAGTGAAAAAGGTAATTAAACAAACGACAACCGAAGAGGAGATCGAGGAAGAGGAAGAGGAAATAATTGAATACCGAGTAGCCGATAACAAAGACGGAACTTATAACGTTTATTACAAAACAATTGAACAAGGAGACTACAAAGTTGACCTTAAATTTGGTGGACAATCAATTCCAAATGGTAGTTTCACAATTAAGGTAAGAATTGATTTCGATAAATGCTCCTGATGATTCAGTTTCTATTCTGAGAAACGGGACTGATTTCTAATATCTGAAATCAGAACGCGAATCAGAACAAAAAATTCACCATGAAAGAGAGAGAAAATTTCTCATGATAAATGAGGGGAAAAGAGACAGATATTTATGATTAAACTGACGACAGAGTTTTCAAAATGAAAACGACACAAATGATAACAAGTGTAAATAAAGAAAGAAAGAGAGAGAGAGAGATGACAGAGGGAGTCAGAACTTTAGGATGAAGATGATGATGATCGCGGTGGAGGAGTGAGAGGAAAAGATTACCAGGGAATATCAATTAACTGAACTGATTCTGAGTTCAGATTTTTGTCGTTTTCAAGCTTGCGTAGGTGGATTAACAAGTTTTTTGTCAAATTGTCTCGAAGAAATCATTTAGTGTCTTGTTGGTGTCTCTTCGTAATCCTGTCAACGATAATCCATTTATTTCAAAAGTTCTAATATCTGATTTCTCTCACGCCTTCTCATCATCTCGACTGGTCATCACTTGATCGCTTATTCTAAATAATTAGCGATAATCGATCATTGATCAACTATTCTCATTGTGTGTTGACTTTTTTTCTCTGAGTGTTATTAACTAATCATCTATTCCCTGTGATTCATTTTCTTCTAATGGAACATTGTATTAATCGATTACTCCTTCGAATTCATTGATTGGTTTAATATCGAAAGTAAGATTGGCGCCTAAATCTATTCCCCTCAGTACATTAACTTATTATCGATTAGTTAATCACTCGACTGATTAGTGATATTGTTTTCTTTTAAAACTTGGGTGTTAATTCAATTGTTTGAAGTTACAATAATCTTGATTGTTATTCTTGCCAAGATTTTCTTTATCTACACTAATCCTTTAATCGTTCATCACATCAACATTTCTGGGTTGATTAACATTCTGATTGTTGAAAAGTTTCCCTCCTAATAACAATTAACTAAGAAATTAGATTCACATTCAATTCTGAGTTTAATTAGTCAATTGAACTGATTCTTTTTTCGTCATTTTGATAACTTTTTATACATAAAACGAAAATCATTCCCAATCGAAAAGGTAAAAGTTCCAATTTTTTCTGAACAAGTTCAAGTTCTGTGAAAATATTGACCTGTGAAGTGTCAAAGGTGAAGTCAAGTTGGGAACTTTTCTCAGGATTCTATTGATTCTATGATTAGCTGATAGATCCAAATGATTACTGGTTATGCTTGGGATACTTTCTGCTTTGATTCCAATGATATTATTATATTTCAGGAGCAAGACTATTTAGCACCAAAATAACGTAAAAGTGAAGAGAGGAGGAGGGAAAAAACTGTCAAATAACTAAACTAATAAGTATCTACTTGTATCTCTGTTATTTCATATTTTTTACGAAAAAATTTCGAGTCTAGGAGACGAGATATTTTTAGTGTATTCGTTAACACAGAGAATATGGTTTTCAATTCTGTCGCTGCTCCAATTTTTTCCACTACTTTTCATTCCTTCTAATTTAGTTCTTGATGATTTTTTTTCTCATTTTCGACAAAAAAACGATCATGATTATTGCATATTCATCACCATTGAGAATTGAAATTCTCTCGATAATTCAAGTTCTAACAATAAATATAATATCAATTTAGGGGAATCATTTTCTTTGTTGTTAATCTGGTGATCAATTTAGTTTTCTATTGGATTTTAATGCTAATTTAAGTTGAATGGTTCAGGGATGAATTCGAGGTTCGAAAGTTTAATTGTTCGTTTATTTTATAAGCATTTTCTGCTTTTTTTTGCTCTTCGTTTGTACAGACAACTCAGACCACTGAAGAAGTTAAATCGAGACGAACTATCGTTCGGAAGGAAGAGTCATCATCGTATTCAGAGGTTCGAGAGTTTCGACAGGTTCAATTATACAACGTACCAGTTCCACCCTCTTCTGTTGAGCCGAAACGTCGTGCGTTCATTAAAATGCCTTCAGGTGCTACTGATAAACCGACAATTATCGATAATCACGATGGTACTATTAGTGTTAAATACGATCCTAAAGAAGAAGGTCTTCATGAACTTCACATTATCTATAATGAAGATCCAATCGCTGGTTCACCTTTTAAATTTTTCGTCGATCGAGTCTCTAGTGGAGCGGTGACTGCCGCTGGACCTGGACTAACTCATGGTATCGCTGGTGAGCCATGTGATTTTACAATCTACACCAAAGGTGCTGGAGGTGGGGGACTTCAAGTGGCTATTGAAGGTCCATCTAAAGCGGAAATTCAGTGTGTTGATAATTCGGACTCAACAGTTTCAGTCTCATATTTACCTATTCTTCCAGGTGAATATAAGATTATTGCCAAATTTGCTGGACGACACATCAAGGGGAGTCCATTTTCCGCTAAAATTACCGGCGAAGGACGAAAACGAGCTCAATTGTCTGTTGGACATTCGTCTGAAGTTAGTTTGAAATGCTCTGAGAAAGATATTCGTAATCTGGCAGCTACTATCGTCACACCCTCTGGCCTAGAAGAACCTTGTTTCGTGAAGAAACTGCCCAATGGTCATCTTGGAATATCTTTCACTCCCCGTGAGTGTGGTGAACACTGTATTCATATCAAAAGATTGGGTAAACATATAAGTGGATCTCCATTCAAAATAAATGTCCTGGAACGAGAGATTGGTGATGCCTCAAAGGTATCGGTCAGTGGTCCAGCCTTGAAAGAGGGTCGAACCCATATAAACAATGAATTCCTCATTGATACTAAAGAGGCCGGTTTTGGTGGATTAAGTTTATCAATTGAAGGTCCATCCAAGGCTGAGATCGATTGCAAAGACAATGAAGACGGAACATTGAAAGTGGGATACAAACCCACCGAACCAGGTTATTATATAATCAACCTTAAATTTGCTGATCATCATGTTCCTGGAAGTCCATTTACTGTTAAGGTCACTGGTCAAGGATCAAACATTCAACGGGAAAACATCAAGAAACAAAGAGATGCCCTACCGATCACCGATGCTGGTTCAGAATGCAAATTAACCTTCAAAATGCCAGGTAACCTTTTAATTATTTTATCTGATCTTTAACTTATCGTTTTCATTTTGAATTTTTCAATTTCCAATTTAAATGCGATCAGGAACCGCTGCTATGGACATGAATGCTACCGTTACATCACCTTCGGGACACACCGATGATGCTTGTATTCAGGATCTTGACGATTGCTTGTATGCCGTTAATTTTGTCCCCAAGGAGGTTGGTGTTCATACCGTTAGTGTTAAATACAAAGATGCTCATATACCCGGTTCACCATTTCAATTTACCGTTGGACCTTTGAGAGAGTATGGTGCTCACAGAGTCCATGCCGGTGGACCAGGTCTCGAACGTGGTGTTGTCCATGAGCCTTGTAAGTTTTGATTGATTATTTTCTCATCAATTGACTCTATTGACCCTCGTGATAATTTTTGTCTTTTCAGGTGAATTTAATGTATGGACACGAGAAGCTGGTGCTGGAAGCTTGTCTTTATCAGTCGAAGGTCCATCAAAGGCTGACATCGACTTCAAAGATCGCAAGGATGGCTCTTGTCTAGTTGCTTACAAAGTAACCGAACCAGGAGAATATCGAGTTGGAATAAAGTTCAACGATCAACACATACCCGACAGTCCGTTCAAAGTTTGGGTTATGCCTCAAATTAACGAAGCGAAAAGAGTTGAACTTCGAGCTTTACCAAATGAGAATAATTTGAAGGTCGGTGCACCAGTGACCATTATCATCAACTTGAATGGAGCTCGTGGTGTTCTCGATGCTAAAATTATTTCGCCAACTGGTCTTGAAGACGATTGTTTCATTACCATGATAGATGCTGATGAACACGCTCTCCGATTTGTACCCAAAGAGAATGGTGTTCATACTCTTCATATACGTTTCAACGGAGTCCATATAAAGGAAAGTCCTTATCGTATAAGGGTCGGCAAAGACACAGCTGATCCCGCGGCAGTAACGGCTTCTGGTCCAGGATTGAAAGACACCAAAAGCGGTGTTAAAACTGAATTCATTGTTGACACTTGTTCAGCTGGACACGGGCGACTCTCAGTTTCTGTTGACGGACCATCCAAGGTCTCAATGGATTGCACCGAGTGCGAGGAAGGTTACAAGGTCCGATACACTCCCCTCTGTCCTGGTGAATATTACATAACCGTTAAGTACAATGGACATCATATTGTTGGAAGTCCATTCAGGGTTCGTTGCACAGGTAAGGACGAGGAAACTAATCAAGTAAATTGTTATTAACAATTAATACTCTAATAATTACTCTCAGGTGACAAGGTAATCCCAATTAGTGAAGCTGAATCAGCATCTTTGGCTGTTGAAACTGCAGATAAACCGATTGGCAGAGTTGGTGGTTTACCTAAATTCAAATCGGATGCATCTAAGGTCACCGTTAGAGGAAACGGAATCAAAAAAGCCTTGGTTAATAAGCCAACTAATTTAACTGTCGACGGACAGAGAGCGGGTTAGTATTGAAGGTTAATCTACCAATAATCAATCGATAAACTGTTGATCAACTTTCTCTCTCATTTGATAATAGGAAGTAACATCTTATTCGCTGCCGTCTATGGACCTAAAGGACCTTGCGATGAAGTTATGACGAAACATTTGGGACTAAATGTTTACCATGTAACTTACACTTTAAAGGAAAAAGGTGACTACGTGTTGATCGTCAAGTGGGGAGATGACCACATCCCTGGAAGTCCATTCAAAGTGGAAGCCGCTTAGAACTGACCTTTTGATGACTAATCGAAAACCATTGACCTTTTTTTTTGTCGAATGCACCATAACTGAATTACCATTGATTGTTGTTGAAGTTTAATTATCAAGTCTCATACATCATCAGAATGCAATTATTAACAGGGATTAATCATCATTATTAAAAGACGGAAAAAAATAAACGAAAAATCAATTGAACAATCAACTAATTGTTACCTAAACTGTTAACCAAACAATTAAACACCGTTAAAGATACAACTGGAAAACAGACTCATTAAACTATCACAATTTACAGATTATCCTTTAATTGTTAATCATTGTAATCCTTTTCTTTATAATCTCTTTCCTCACAATCAAAACTTAATCATAACAATTAGACAATTAGATTATGATTCTTATTTAAATTAATCGACTGCCAATTTAACCATGGTTACTTTTCAATCCCTACTTAATTAAACCTTAAATTAGGTTAACCTGTTGGTGCTTATTTAATTTTCCCATTAAAAGTTAATTGTTTATTGGTTCCTAAAATAATTGTATCATTAATCAATCCAACAACAATTAACAGCTAGAAAAAGTTTTACAATTCGTGATTTAAACAATTAAAAGACACTGATAAAGATGAATGATTTAATTGTTTTTATACAATTCGCTTAATGGTGATGATTAATTGATTAGACTTTGTAAACAATTTACTTTAATCAAATCGTTAAATCAAAGTGTTAACTTCCTATTTCCGTTTGATTGTTGTAATTGATTGAGTTCAGAGACGAGGTCGATTAGTTAGTGAACAATTAACAGAATTTAAATTAACTTTTGTGAACAAAAAAATCGCAAAATTTTTTCATTAATCAAAATAAACTCGTAACAATAAGTTAATTATGTTCATATTGGTTGTTGGATTTTTGTTAATTGTTTCAAATTGTTACGGACAACGTTATTATCACAATTATCCTGGTCAACGATATTATTTTGTTTACCCAACGATTGATTATCCAAAGTATTACAGACATTATTCAAATCGTAATCACGATTACAATCAACATCCACCAATGTATTTAATTGAACGTGAAAAAGTTAATCAACCTGTTAATCAACAAAGTTATTACCCAGTTGCTAATTACAAGAGTGGTCAACGTTACAAGCAACCACCTCATTACCTTGATTACGATGACAATGACCATCACGATGACAACAATCAGCGACACAATCAACCAATTAGGCCTCATGTCCGTTTCTTTGGTCAACCAGCTCCTTATGCTCATACTCATGATAATTTTGATAAAGAAACGACAATTGATGAAATACAATCAAAGAAAATTAATCCGATTCCTCATGCCTTTAATCCAGCTCTCCGATCATCATTAACTAGATTACAGCAAAATGAAGCCAATTATCATAGAATCAAAAATCCCCGATGACAATTAACACTCAGTAAATTGTAAATAAATCAAATTCTAATATCAATATGGTTACAATTAAGTAACCAGTCGATGAATATTTATAAACACAATACTTTGGGTAAGTACCATTAATATCTTGTTGTCACAATTTGATCCTGATTGTTTACTATTTAGCTCAACAATTAAGATACAATTTACTTTCCATCGTTTGCATGTATCTTGGTTCTAGTGTCTAGATAATCAAGTTAATTGTAACATTGGTCCACTTTATTTAATTTAAATTGTCAGTGAAAATTTGAATTGTGTTCAACGTAAAACTTGTAGTTAAATTGTTGCAATTAAAACTGATCTTATTTCATTATTTTCAACTAAAATGAACTCGAATTTTGTTTTCTAATTGTTCTGAGTGATATTGACCATTGAAACTAATTTAATCAACTCACTCGGAACAATTTATTTTACCATCATAGTTGTTTGTTTCCATTTAATTCATTAACCATTAACTAATCACCATGTAAATCAATCACCAATGACGGGATCATTAATCAAAATCCAATTAAATCTAATTGCTTCAATATTTAGTGATTTGTTGATCAAAAATTGATGTCCAAATGATTAAATTGTCCAATTTGATTGACATTTATGATATTCACTTGATAACCAACTCTAAATTGCAAATGATGAAAGTTGATTTTCCAAATCAAATCAAGAGATAATCAACTTAATTGTTGCACATAGATTTAAATTAAATCAATTGGGTGTCTTTTAATTTTCAATCATTCTCAATTCTTGAACATTATAAATCATTTCCAATTTGAATCAATTTAAAATTTCACTATTAAATCAAAATCACAAATGATTAATTCATTAATCATTATGAAAAGATTAAGGTGATTAGTTGATTCTGAAAAATAAAAATTAATTCAAAATTAATCTTAATAGTAAAGTTTAAGGTCACCAATTGTCCAAGGCTATGATTAAGATTGTGACTGTCGGTTTAACAATTAAAATTGATTGTCTTCAGTTAATCCTTTGTTATTGGATTGTGATTAAAAACAATTAACTCATTTAATCCGATTAGATAACTAAAGGTTAAGACTAACCAATAATCATAAATTTCTGATAATAACAAAATTAGTCGATTGCTCTGAGTGTAACAATTAACTTGATTAATATGATATTAATCAACAAATCTGGTTTGAAGGTGTAAATAATATCAACAGTTAACATATGATAAAAAGACATGAAATTAGATTTAATTGATTTTGATTTGTCCTCAGGGTATTTTCATAATGTTTGTAATTAAATTAAATTGTTGATTTTTGAGTGAAAAAACATAAATCATAAGCTTCTTTAGCTTCCCACAATTAAAGTTAATTGAAAAGGTAATTTTAACAATTAGCAATCAATAAACTTCAACATCAACTTGTTTCAATTTAATTGTGGGTTTTAATGTAATAAAGTTAATGTTATCCATTTAATTGTTCAATCAATTTGCTACTCATCTTATAACTTGTTAAATCTGTTAATTGTTGTGATCATTCATTTAATCAATGAATCCATTCAGTGAAAGTTATAACTCCAATTCATCTCGAGCTAAATTCAACAGGAGGAAACATGATGATTCATATTTTTCAAGGTAAGTTGATTGTTGATAATTAAGATTTAGATTTGGTGTTAATTGTTTCATTTGATTGTAGAGTGTCAAACAATACTCTTGAATGGATTTATCATCAATCACCTTTGGAGCAAATTTTTTACGCTATTGTTTTAATTGTTTTCGTGATCATATTCACCGCAATTTACTTCATGTACACTGATCATCATGGTGAGTAATTAAAGTCTTTGGAGGTTTTAAATTGTTTGCTAATTGCGTTCTTAGTTTTTCAAAGTGAACCGCTAATCATGGCCAATTCAACGCCAATAATATCGGAACCAGCGGTTGTTGAACAAACGTCAACTACACAAGCGACAACTAGTTCAACGCCAAATCCATCAGATCACCATCATCATCATCATCATCATCATTATCACTATCATAGGGATGATAATAAACCTTTGAAAGCGCCAGTAGCACCGATAATGGACAAAATATTAGAGGAAAAGGCAAATCAATCAAGAGAAACACAATCAACCTCAGAAAAGCCAACAATAAGAGTACCAATACTCACAAAGACCATGGAGACAACACCAAAACCTACAACAACAGCCACCACTACAACCTCACCCTCAACAACAACAACAACAACAACACCACCACCACAACTTCAACAACAACCTCAACAACCACAACAAAACCGATAACAAGTACTTCATTGATTACTAATTCAACTCCACAGCTAAGGGCAACCTCGCAATCTTTGTCAACACCAAAAGTACCAGATTCTCATCGGCACTATCCCCACTCAGACCATCACCATGTAACCAAACAAACTGCACCGACAACAACACCGAAAGCAACACCGATGGATAGATCTTCAAGTTTCGATGTGTCGAAACCATTGATTGTTACAGAATCAACATCAACTCAATCGTCTCCAACTGAAGTGCTTGATGAGTTGGATCAGTTGATTGAATAGTAAGTGCTAATCCAATAATAATAATAACCAATTTCTGATTAGATTGATTAACAATGTATATTGATTATTACATGTATTATTTGCTTAATCATCAGTAAATGCAACAGTCTCAATAAGACTGACAATATCGAGTCACCGGAAAAAGTTGACATGAAACATTTGTAAGTAATAATAAATTGTAACAATTAACTTTATCAATTTATCTGAATAAGGTCTTAATTTAATTTCTGTTGATCTATTTTTCTAATCAATGACAATTAACAAGATTGCACCTTGCAAGTCAAATGAAAAACCTCAATGGTGGCAAATCTTTGTGTTCATTTATTGGTAAGTTATGCAATTAATTATAATGAGCAACAATTAACTTATGTTTTACTTTAATCTTTTAGGACTTAATCACTTGGTAATCCCGTTTAATAATCCAGATTACTATTGGTTTAAAAACTATAGCTTGGACTTTGATGATTCTGATGACGATTTGTTTGGTTTGTTTTGATTTGATTGGATTAAAACAGAACTAATTATCTTTCTACTTAATTGTTAGATGATTGGAATCCTATTTGTAGAGATAATTGTTCAGGATTAACTGAGTTGATCGGCAATAAATTAAATCGTTTCTGGGATTCGTGTATGAATGCAAGTTAGTATTGAAATGAGATTTAATTATGAGATTAAAGTTTTTTACTAAAAATCTAACTGAAAATTAGATCAAAATATTACTGATTTTAGGAACTACATGAACTCATTTGGATTCAAATCATATTTACCAACCAATATTTCAGAATTTGATCTGAATCAACTGATTAAATCACTTGACTATCAAGGATTAGTAAATTTCAAACCGATTCCTGACCATCTAAACCTAAACGCAACTATTAATCTAGTGAGTTATTATTAATCATTTTCTCAACTATTTCCAACTAATTAAATCAATTGGTCTCAACAGGTGAATAGAGATGATTATCCTTTCATTCAGAAGCAAGTTTACGAGGAGCTGATTGATTATCCTGATCTAATCAAGGATCTGAGCGGTTATTGGAATGAAACAAATGAAGATATAAAATCAATCAATACCGAAGGTCTCGATATTTGTAAATCCATTCAAGAAGTAAGTATCAACAATTAATATTCTTAATCCACTCGATGAAAATTAATTCTGTTAATTGTTCAACATTTACTCAATTCAGCTACCATATGATAAGATTGAAAGGATTAATCTTAATCCAATAGAATACAATTCATTGGGATTGTCCGATTTACCTGTAAGTTTTGTTTTCCAATTTCCTTAATTGTTGTTAATCATTTTTTATTTTAATTCACCCAATCCAGATCAATGCAATTCCAAATTCTGACTACCTGATTGAATACAATCCCAATTACCTGACCGATGCTCTAGCTACAATCAACAAACATCAATCAACTGATTTATACTATTATTTGCTGTTTACTAATTTTAAGAAAAATTTAATTCATCTTGATGATCAATCAATTGATTATACCAATATAATTGATGACGATTCTCATCTAAATCGTACCGGTTTCTGTCTTAACATGGTAACTTTACCTTTCGGATTAATTAAGCTAATGGATGAAATTAAATCATCTCAATCCAAGAAAATTGATCTACCAAAATTAGCTGATCATCTAATTGACAAAGTTATTAAATTAATTTTGTCCAAATTTACCGATGATCAAGCGACTCGAAATTTACTTCGAGATTTAAGTTATAACATTTTAGAACAATTAAATCATTTAATCTCATTTGATTCTAATTCTATTGATGAAATTTACCAATCAGTGAGTATTAAACAATTTGTACAGTCAATTCATTGATAACAATTAACTTTCTCATTTCTAATTGAATTCAGTTAAAAATAACCGATAATTATTTCGATAATGTCCAATCAATACGATCTTGGCTTCGATCTGGTTACAAGGAAGGATGTTTACTTAATTATATTTCTATTTAACAATTGATAATTTAATTCATTTTAATAATTATTAATATCTAACGATATTCATTTAATCAAAATAAATCAAAATCGAAACCATTTTAATTGTTACCTTTTTCCAGATTCTAATTGTTTCCCATTCATGTGGCGTATTGATTAACCTATAATTTTAAACAATCTATTAAATTGTAATTAGAAAAGTTGATAGATTGAACTGATTCTATTGAAAATTTACTTCGATGATTAGTCAACAATTAAGAAAAAATTTTCTCACAATTAGAAGAAGAGTTTAATTTTCGCGCGTGAAATTTTTTTCTTTTATTTTTTTCTACAAATTTCTAGACAGATGAGATTTTGTTTCTTTGTTGTTATCATCTGATTGTTGTTTAATTTTTAAATTATTTGATCTTAACAGTGACAATTGTCATTAATTCAGTTTAAATTAACGTTCTTCAAACTGTGTTTATCTTAATTGGTCTCGAAACGGATTCCGGTTGATTGTTATTTCTTTGGTCCATTTGAAAACTGAACTGTCCATTTAAGAGTCATGGTTGATTACAGTAAATGGAAGGATATTGAAATTAGTGATGATGAAGATGATACTCATCCTAATATTGACAAACAGTCGCTATTTAAATGGAGACATGAGGCTCGGGTACAGCGAATGGCTGAATTTAATGAGAAGAAACAAAAAATTAAGGATAATCTGGAGAGTGTAAAGAAAAAATTTGAAGAAAAACAATCACAAGTTAAAAGTAAACCTGATGATGAAAACTTGAAAAAAGAATTAGCTGATTTGGAGAAGAAATTGAACCAAGCGACAATAGATCATGAAAATATCCTGAAAGAAGAACGAAAAATGCCTTGGAATGTCGATACAATTAGTAAAGATGGTTGGAGTGCTACAAAGATCAATAAACCTGCTCCTAAATTAGATAAGTCTCACCTCAGGTAAGTTTGGAGCTTATTGGTTATGTGTTTTCTTTTTTTCCTATTACTTTCTAATTTTAAATTTTCTTCCGTTTTCCTTTAGTGATGATGAACGTGAACAATTATACCTCGAATTCATTAAAAACAATGAGAAAAAGATCAAACATTTTGCTATGTTAAGCAAACCTGAAGATTGCCGAACATATTTACTCGATGAGCCTCAATTGGTTTGTGAAGAAACCGCTAATTACCTGACACTTTGGTGTTTAAATCTTGAAATTGAAGAAAAACATGAGCTCATGACTCATGTATCCAAACAAGTAATTTCAATGCAATATATCCTTGAGTTGGCCAAACAATTAGATTGCGATCCTAGAGCATGTATTTCAAGTTTCTTTAAAAGGTAAATTAATTTCACTAATCTTTTATTGTCCATTTTTAATTGACGTGAATTAATCTCTTTCTTTTCATTATGGTTTCAACTGACAGAATTCAAACAGCTGAGAAAGAGTACTTGGACGCTTATGAAGACGAACTGAGAGCCTTCCGTAAGAGGATAAAAGATCGAGCTAAAGAGAAGATTGAAAAAGCCATGAAAGAGATTGAAGAAGAAGAGAGAGAAAAAAGATTGGGTCCTGGGGGGTTAGATCCAACTGAAGTTTTCGAAACTCTTCCAGAGAAAATGCAAAAATGCTTCGAAGATCGAGATATTGAACTGTTGAAACAGGTAAGTTAAAGGTCATCATTTGATTGACTTTAATTTCTATTGATAATCTTTCTCTCTCTCTCTCTCCCTTTTCAGGTTGTTGCTGAAATGCCTGAAGATGAGGCCAAATACCACATGAAGAGATGTGTCGATTCGGGTTTATGGGTTCCTGATGCCAGAGATATTGCCAATGAGGGAGATAAGGATGATAAAAGCGTTAAATCTGGATCTGAAAAAGAGGCCATTTATGCCAAAATCAAAGAAAGTTCATCTGATAAATGAGGTACATGAATACTTTTGTTGTATCTCCATCAGCATTTTGTATACATTTTTAATTATTTAACCTTTGATGTATGATAATCAACTGATATGGTTAACCCTCATGTATACTGGGACTCAGTTTTTTTCGTATCGTAACATTGAGTTGATTAATCTTTTATCTTTTGGTTAGTCTCCATAGCTCAAGTGTAACATCGTTTTATTTGGTTGCACAATTAGCTGAGAAAAGATTTACTACTATTTCCGTCAAGTTCAATTCTCTTCAATTGAAACAATTAACCAAATCAACTCATGATTATCTCCTTAAAATTAGTGATCCTACAAAAAAAAACTCACATCTATCAAATGTTTTCCTATCAAGTTGCTAATATTAGTCCAACAATTAACTACTAATTTCACAATTGACTAAATTGATGGAATATTATTTCAATTTTGTAACAATTAATATAATCAATTAAACTAACTCATTTTTATCTTGACTCTTTTACAATTACAGACCATGTTCCTGGATTAACAATCAACCCTTTCCGCAGATCTGATGTTAAAGTTTTTCTAATTATGGATTTAAAACAATTAATGTACAAAAGTCAATTCCAAATGGATTTAAAGAGTTAATCAAACGTAATTGCAACGACAATCAATCAAATTTGGTGGCGCAATTGTTTCATCCATTCATTTTCAACAATTATCTATTAAATATCCTTGAGCAAAACAAACAATCAACAATCAAAACATTAACACAACCAAATGAAGCAACAACATCAAGGTTACACCTAAATAGTAAATTAATTGTCGGTGGAGATGGAGCAAGTTCAATCAAAATTAATTTCATCTCATGAATTTACCACAATTAATTGTTAATCATTTCTCTTCCGGATTGTTTAACTGTTTATCCCAATCCAAATGTATTGACTTTCATTTTCATTATCCTATTCATTGTTTTCCTCTTAATCAACTAATTTCAAATACTTTCATTTGTAAATCAGATCTCTGATGATTGCACAATTAAAGTTGAAATAGATTTGATTTCGAAACAATTAAATCAACAACTTTTTCATACAAATCACATTACTAATTATACTTTGAACACCATGTTCAATGTACTTTGAGCTTCAGTCTATAGATCAGATAATTAAACCATAAATCTTTGATCTTTTACTGTAATTATATTTTTGTCTTGATTAGTTAAGTGATCAAGGGTCGTTATTTAACTAATTGTAATCAGATCGACACAAATTCACCGTAATACTTAAACATTTACACAAGAAATTGTAACAATTTAGATCGAATCAGTTAAACCTGAATTGCATTTCTTTTATTATAATCAAAGATCATCAATCGACAATCAAGAAGATAAATTATTGATGATTAATTCAGAATTTCTCTTAATTCAATTTAACCAATTGCTCAGTAATTTCAATTGATTATCTTTCCTTACATCCAATGATTACAGTTGATTGTTATATTACAAAATTGTACTCATTAAATACATTGACAATCAAGGTGTGTATGTGTTTACCTTAATTGTTTATCTTCAATTAGGTTAAACTATGAACGGTAACAATTAAAACTGATCACGATTATAAAAGTGTTCATATGACTTTGGAAAGTTAGTTGATTGTTACGAAGAGAAAAAGTTAAACGTTATTAATTTAATCCAACAATTAAGGATAATTGATAGTGATTAATTTAAAGATTAAATTAAATTCTTATTCAATTGATTGTTGATGATTTAAGTAAATCAACAAGTCTCGGGATTTTGCTCTCGAAATTAATTCCAAAGGTTATGATTAGTTAATTTACAATTCGTTCAAGGTTGATAATCATAATTGTCCATCTTCATAAATCAACACAATCAACAATTTTTTGTTTCTCAATAAATCAAATTAAATCAAGTCAAAAGTTTTGAGGAAACACTCAGTTAATTAAACAAATCATTTTGGATAATCTTGATTAATTCAGTTGGAATTTAAATTCATAACGATTAACCAGCTTATCAGTATCACAATTATCTCGGATTGGAATCAAATTAAAATGTAATCAACTTTGATAAAAGTTAATCAAGATTGGAAGGAAATTAAGTTTTCAATTTTAGGAGAAAACAAAAAGTTCAGTTAATTGTTGAGAAAAATTTATCTTTTCCAACTAATTACAATTAGTTGGCTATTCTCAAGGTTAATTATCCAATTTGATGGGACACAAGCATCAACAATTTGAAGGACAATTAATGTAAATCAGTTGATTGTAGACAAAAAAAAATCGATTGGTTTAAATTTTTATCAAACTTTAATTTCTTCAATGATCAAAAACTCTGTCAATTAGTTAATTGAATACATTATATAATAAATTTGGTAAATATTTTGTTTTAAGTATGAAAAGTGATGAATACAAAATATAAACTCATGAAAGGCTCTCACAATTAAGCTCGAGGTAAATTGTTAATTAGTTAATTATTTATATGTACTTTGTTATTTACATGTTGTATTGACTTTTCACCTTTAAAAAGATGTTCAAGTTTGTTTACTTTCTGAATGTTATTGTTGAATAATCAATTATTGATAATCAATCGCAACTAATTAAATCAAAGTCTATTAGGTTGATAACTTTACACACAAACATAATCAAGTATCAACATTATTTTCATATCATCAACTTAATTTTTATATATAAAAAAACTTAAAGGTAGAGGGACAAATGAGAGCAGAAACTGATTGACCTTAAATAATAAACAAAAAAATAATCAACAGGTAAACATAAACATAAACAACAGTTTGTTGTCAAATCAACTTTTCCAGGTGAACATGAAAAGTAAACTTTGACCTGAATCTTGAGAAAATTTTCTGTTACTTGATAATCAAGTCTTTCAATTAAAACTGTGAATTGGTCCTCATTGATTAAATAATCGTATTCTAATCATTCACAACATTCAAAATCAAATCAAATCAAATCTTCAAATGGTGAATTGTAGTTGCCCTTTATGTTTTTGATTAATTTTTGCTGATGTTGTTGATTGGTTGGTGATGGTGTTGATTGATTGTTATAATCGTAACACAGTTTAGATTAAAAAATTATTGGATGTTGATTCAATAATTAACGGTAGATGAAAATGTATTCAGGAAGAAGGTCATGATTCTTAATTGTTGATGTTGTAATTGTTTGCTGTTTAACGTAACCATTTTTGTTCATTTGTGTTGGAAATGTATCAGATAAGACACACATGATAACCATTAAAGGCACTAATTGATAGTTAGTGTTGATACTTTGTAGATTGTTGTATAAATAATTGTAGATTAATTATTCACATTAGTTAATTAGCTAAAATGTCTCCGAAATGATTTGATCACAATGTAAAGTTGAACATCCGATACAGTTTAACGTTGCTTTTTCGTTGGACTTTTTCATTTATCCATTTTGGTCATTTATCTTCTTTGTTATTGGTCAATTTGAATATTTTATTCGATTGAAGAATTCACTTAATCCTGCAAAATGGCGATCAACTTTTATCTAGTTAAAAGTTCTCTCATATCTCGAAGAGATTGCATTATATTCTTGGCGAATCTCAGAGAATCTGTGGCAGTTGAACTTTCCTTTGAGCTTATGTGGAAGAAAATTTTATCTTCTCCAGCGATGATGTAGCTGACACCGTAACCATCATCAGCCACTGGACCGAAACCTCCTCCAGCTGAAATGTGATTTGGATATTTCTTTAGATCGAGAAGACCAGCTTGGCCATGAGGAGTTTGACTTGTTGATAATTTCCAAGGTTCAGATAAAACCTGAAATAGATAAACAAGTTAACGAGTTTTAATCATTTGATTATTATTCTCATGTGATTGTTGTTGTCTTAAATTGTTTACTAACCTCTTTGAGAAAAGGTGAATCAATCTCCAAATATTTACTAATAACATATAAACAAAATAGATGTCTATCAATTCCTTTGCCACACATAGCATTTTGATAACCAATTTGATGTCTTTGACATGCATGTTTAAGCAAAGCGATTCGATCCTCTTTCGTTTTGGTTTGGTCATTCATCGATCTGACCCATGCCGCAGATTCAATTGTTACTGGTCGAACTGTTTCGGTTCTACCCTCACGGAATAATCTGGTCATTGAAGCTTCATAGGTGAGTGAGAATTTACCTGAATCCTGTTAGAAATGATGAAAAAGGAAACCATTAAGATTATTTTGGATAACGGGAAAAGGAGAAATTTTCATGAGGTGGAAAATTTTCCGATTCAGAATAAAGAACATACCCTGAAATAAGCTAATTGCAATGCCATTTGAATGTAAGCATCAGGTGAGACTCTGTTTTTCTTCATGAAGCCTTTACCGTATTCTTGGAACATAATCAATTTCAAATCAACATCAACAACCAACTTTTGAGCTGTGAAAGATTATATTGTTCAGGGAGAAGAAAAAAAAAGCAATTAAATAAATTTCAATTCCATTTGAATAATTAGCTAAATTATTTACCTGTGATAACATATTTATCAATTGTTTGGCACAGTTCTAAAGGAAATTCCCATTTTAATCGAGTACCTGCTGGAGGCTGAAAACCATTACCGACTTTACAACGACCACTTTCATCGTAGCCTGAAATAGTCACATAATTGTCATCATTAATGATTGATAATCATGAAATAATTGTTAGATCTGTTAATGAGAAAATTACAAACTGTACATACCCAGATTAGCGTGATCATAAGCTAAGATAAATTCCCAAAGATGAGCCATTATGGGAGCATCAGCCCAAGAGTGTTCAGCATTGAAACCAGCTCGACCATTTCGACCAACAATTAAATCAAATGATTTATCATACCATCTATCGTAGCCACGACCATGCAGTAAAGTTTGACCATAACTGTCCAATTTGGTTGGATCCTTTTCGTCAAATTCAAAGTCAACATCATCCAATATTAACACAAAAGCAGATTTTTCAATAGCATCAAGTGACGATTTGTTGATTCCTCTTGAAAAAAATTTGTCTCTTGTCTGTGACCAGGAAACTCGGTCAACAGCAGTGACAACACTAAGATGCTCTTCACCTCTTAAGGCTGGACTATCATCGGCAACAATCTTATCAAGAATAGATTCAATCTCCCGAGGTAAAAGAAGACGTCCTTTAAAATAGATATTAACTTTGTAATATTTACCCTTACTCAGAACAACGATGTGCTGAGAGTCTGAATAATGAACCAATTTATCAGTTTCAATACCAGGGAGACGAGTTGTATTGAATAGTCTTTCATATTGCCATGAGCAAAGAGGAACTAAACCTTGAAGCATAATTGGTTTCAATTCTTGACGATCAATAAGCCTGCGGAAAATAAGACAAGAGTAAACAAGATTTGCAGCTCGTGATGTTTGACTGGACGTTGGAGTCTCAAATAGAGTATCAATTCCATAGAAATTTGAATTAATCATGAGGGGTGATCGGCTTCGAAGGTAAACATATTCTTCCCACCAATCAGATACCTTTAAGAGAGAAAGTAAAAGAGAATAGAATGAAAAATCATCACAAAATAGAAAAACAGTAACACAAGTTTCTAGTAATAATTACTTACATAATTACTTGCCCACCATGACTTGAAAATAAGATATTTCTGTAATTTTCTGGCAATACCATCACGAAATTCATAAGCTAATTTAGTTTTTCTTTGGTAATCCTCATCGTCATCACACAAAGCTTGAATAGATCTAAGGTATCGGTCAATTGTTTCGCCCACAGAGGGTAAAGGTAACCTTGGTAATGCTCCTTGGTAGGAATATAATAGTGGCCTTTTAATGGTCAACATTTTCATTAGGAAAACCCATATACTAGAAGAAAGAGATGGACCTAAGGGGAGAAAGTGAAATAGCAGTTAATAAAAAATGGAAAGTAATTAATAATAACAAGAGAAATAATTTACCTGATCCATGAGATTCATACATCCATCCTTTGTAAATTAGTAAACATTTTAATGTATACTTCATAATCATGGCTTTGGCGACCCAAACAGCAACACCATAAACAAAACAGGCCAATAAACTACGACCATTATCAGGTAAATTTAAAACTGTCACAAGTGACCTTTAAGAAGAAGAAGAAGAAGAAATTAAAGATTAGATTGACAGATAAAATGGAGCAAAATGAAAAAAAAGAATAGAGAAGAAAATAAAGACTCGTATTTACGTAATAGGAAAATGAGAGCTGGCGAAATTGATGAAACCGAAACTTGGATCGATCTGCAACAGCGAGTGACATGCTGTTACCAGTACGAGAATAGCAGCTAGAAATTCAAGCGACGATGGAAAGACACCATTTTTAATATTATTCTGATAAAAAAAAAGAAAAAGAGAAAGTTAAAAGATTAGGAAGATAAAAAGAAAACAAGAAATTGGATCAAAGGTGAGTAAAAGTTAACAATAAGTGGCTTCAGTTAATGGTGTTATTTGAACAACTTGATGGATTGATGATGATAACATGGAAACATTTATCTATATCATCTGCAGTTTTCACAGATACAAACACACAAGGAAATAGCTGATTAGTGATTATATAAATTAACCAAGAGAACTTTGAAAATATTAATAAAAACCATTAATTATCATACGAACTCTAATTGACAGAACATTGAATGGCTTAAAGACCTACATACATACACATTTTCTGTTTATATGGTTAACATATGACAGACAAAGTTATCATAGTTAATTATTATAAGCAGAAAGCAAAGAGTATCTTTAAGATTTAATGAATTAGGCTAATTAATTTGACCACATACCAGTGAACGTGTGAATCGCTTCCGGTAAGATCGTACACCACTGGTCCAAACAATATTAAGAATCTCAGTGTCATAGTTAATGTGAACACCTTCATGGGTAATTTGGAAACTGAAAGCCACAGCTTGATGGGCTTCAGCCATGATTCAAATGGAACGTTTGCAGTTAAAGAGAAGAAAAACTGAAAAGAGAAAAAGAAAAACAATTTTCAATTATAATGGAATCACAAATTAACGATAAACAGTAATGATAATGATGAAAGAACAGAACAAAAAAACAAAGAAATTAGAACATAAAACAAAACTGTTTTTCTGGTTTCTCACTGGTCTCCATTCAGTTAACGCAACCTCACTTAGTGTTGGATTATTGAAGCTTATAAGGCGCCTTCCTTGAAGCCATTTGCTTAAGCAATTAGTTAATCCAGAGAAAGTATCAAATCTAATTGACGATAATCAACTGATTAATCGGTAGATTGACAAGTACGAAGTTGGATGATCGTTCTTTTCAAATTATTCCCTGAAAAAGCTTCATGGTTATTCTTAGACTAATCGGATGAAATGTTTTCTGTTTCAACTCGGTGAATGAATTTTTTTTGTTTCTCTTTCAATCTTTTTTTCTGGTCATTTCTCGTGGAGAATTGGTCATTCAATCATTTGATTGAATCAAATGTTCTGATCATTAAATGGGAGGTTAATTTTGCTAAAAGATGCAAAAGTGACCATCACAAGTAAAGGAAGCAATTTTCAGTTCGATTAATGAATTCAAGAGTTTTCTTCTTGTTATCTAACAATATAGTCTATCATTTAGAATAACAATCAAAACCAATTGGAATTGTAATAGTGATAATGGAAAATCAAATCTAAAGACAATGAGACAAAAATAACATGGCGCTTATTCTGGGAGAATAGAACAAAGAGCAAAAAGGTTAATGACATGAAGCTTATTTTCTATTCTATTCTATCTGTTAATCTAATCTCGATTTATGTGATTAACCCGAATGATTAGATAACTTGATCTAATAAAATATAGACCATTAGGATAATCCAAATTAAAATAATGTAACAATCTAACAATCAATTAAAACTATTGTATTAATAGAAACACTTACCAATTTCTAAGGTCCAGTTAACCAAAAACACATCACAAGTCAAAACCCAAAGGTGAATGAAGGGTTTACATGAACAACAGTTAATCACAATCACTAGTTTCCAACCAAATGAAGAATCAACAATTTACGAATAGTCAAATTAAGAGGACAATCTAAAGACAATTGAATTAAACCTCATTAATGATAAACCGAAACTTGATCCGAAAATGAATAAAATTAAATTTAGAATAACAAATCGAAGCTCCATCTGTTGTTGCCGAAACTTATTATTCTCGAAAAAAGTTGCACAATTAGTTAATCAGTTAGAATCTTCAATCGACATGATGAGTTTAATTAGATAATCAAAAGGTGGTTTATTGTTATTGATATGTTCTGATATAATACATTAAAATTAACTTACAACTTGAGACAATGAGTTTGATTACAATCGGTGAATGATTAGTTAATTTTGTAACAATTAAAATGACTTTTTACTAAGAAAATGATCATCTCTTAATGGTGATAAGTTAATTGTTGTTGTTGTTGTTGTTGGGGGTTTTGTTACTGATGATGAAGGTGATATTGTTGTCGATATCAATGAATTAGATCTTATTGGATTTGATGGATTAACGGAAACACTATGAACATCATTTGAACTGTTTTGATTATCGTGATTTAGATTGTTGTTGGTTAATATTATTCGATTTTTCATTGATTTCCGGTGTTTTGCTCGTCGATTTTTGAACCAAACTTGAATTCGAGATTCAGGTAACTGAATTAACATCGATAATTGTTCACGAGCAGTTAAATCCGGATATTGAACTTTACTGAAAGTCGCTTCCAATACTTGAAGTTGATGATGGGAAAAAGCAGTTCGACTCCTTCGTTGTTGTCGATTTGATTGGTCACAATTATCTGACAATTTATCCAATGTTAAACCTAATTTCCAATTAAACAGTAATCAAAAGTTGAGAAGAAAATCATCAATTTAAATTCGATAGATAAAATTTCCACTCAAATTAGATGAACATTCATTTCCGATTTTGGTGAAAAAATTAATTCTCATAACAATCTAAGAAATTGATTAGAACTCACCTTGATTTCTAGGATGAAAATCGAAAAGACTTCGATCTTGATTGATAAACGATGAGACCAATTGAGAATCGTGATGTTGAGTAGTAGAAGTTGGAAAAGGCCAAAAGTTTCTCGATCCGTAAGCAAAAGTAGCTCCATTCGCATGTCCAAGTAAATGATGAAAATTAGAACCAATTAACGGACCAAGAAATCGAGGATCACTATAAATATTCATAATCAATTAGAAGAAAAAAAGATGATCAATCAAAATTCGAAAAAATATCAAGAGAAAAAAGTTTTGTCCAAAGCGATAATAGTTCGAGGTGAATGATCAAAGTGAATGGGCATCGATGATTGTTGAATTAGATTTAAGCCAGGAAAGGATAACATTGGTTGAGAATAGAGAAGCCAATGAATTTTTGATTGGCTGCGCATCATAATATTGATGAAGATGAAGATGATGAGGATGAGGATGAGGATGAGGATGATATTTAAAGTGGCCTTTTAACATCAATAGACAAAAATGAGCTTAGGGTTAGAAGTCATAAGAAAATAGAAAAGGATATTTGTTATCACTGGGAGTGAATGGGGAGTGACTCCCTTTTTGCATCTTCGACACATTGAGAAAAAAACAAACAAACAAATGCTCTTAGCATCCTCATCCCTCATCATCATCATCTTTCAACAGCCTTATTTCAATAAGACGATGAGGATGCGGATGAAAAACTCAAACAAATTAACACACTTTTGTTTTGTTGTCGAAGAAGAAAAAAAAGTAAATTCGAATATATTTTTTTACTTCTCTCTCTTCAAAGATAATCTTTTAAAAGCTCATTACCATTAGAAAAGGTAAATTGTTTTCGATTGTGTTTTGAATACTTAGCATTCGATGGGTGAGTCGAGGAACCATTTCAATTTGGTAACCATTCATTTCCTATTAGAGTTAATCTGATTTTCTGAACGAATGGTTAACAGATAATCTCAATTAACACTAAACTGTTACAATTCTCGTCGATGTGATTTTAGCTTCGAGGCTTTTAATTGTAACCAAATGAGAGAAACAATTAGAAAGTTTTCATTGAAATCGACAATAGTTTTGGGAAAATATATTTCCAACTGATGATTAATTGTTTGCATTAGAATTTTGATTCAAGTGGATTTAGAAAATAGATTTCAACATACATTATTGCTCGTTCATTGGAATCATGTGTTGATTAAAAGTAATTTGATTCTAATTAATGATTACATTAGTATCATTATATTATGGTGTTTGTTTGATCACTGATTCTGTTAACAAAAGGGTTTAATCAAATAATGAGTCAACAATGGGAAATAATTACCTCTGTTATTTACTCTAAATCTTGAAACCTTTTTGCTTGACCACAACAACAACAACAAAAAAGTTCACCAATTAAGGGTCAGTTTTATCTTCTAGGGTCCTCTAAGTAACCGACAAGAGGCAGAGTGACCACTAACAATATGTATTCTGGTCAAGTCCCATTTGGGTCAACAATTTTTTGCCTTTGTTAATTTCAACTATTTCCTCTTGGTGAACTTTTTCAATGACCACTACTCAATGGTCACTAATGTCCAACAATTATAAAGATACAAGAGAGAGAGAGAGAGAGAGAGAGAGAGAGAGAGAGAGAGAGAGATGATGATGATGATGATGATGATGATTAAGAAATGAATAAATAGTTTGATTATTGACATTGAATAGATTATAATAATCAGGGTGAGAGGATAAAGATGATAATCAATTCAAATATATTATGACTATTAATTGGATAACGAAATTAAATCAACCTAAGCTAATGGAGTTTATTTTTAAGATTAACTACCAAGAATCAATTTTGTTTCCTTAAATCATAACAATCTACTCAGTTAATCAATTGGAAAATGAAACAAAAGCAACAAGAAACGCTGAAAGAATAACGGATAATGATGCTAATGATTAAGTGAAAACAATTCACAATTACGAGAAAAATTTCCATCAAATTTGAATTCAATGTCCAGAAAATTTGATAACCTTAAAGGCCTGGGATTGGGATATTGGAGATATTCGTTGGATTTTTACGATTATTTTTCGAAAGAAAAAGTAAATTGTAAATAAGATGATTATCAATCGGTAATTGAGTGAATGGATAAGATGAAGATGAAGATGAGGAAACAATTTAAAAGGTAAAACAGAATCAAATTGATTTAGAATAAGGATAAATGGGATAAACTCTAAGTATCTGAAAGCATAATAATGTTTATGCCTTTTGTTTTCATGGGGATTATGTCTTAATGTTCATGATAACACAATTGGCTTTGGTGATTTCCAATGAGAAAGGTTATCATCACAATTGAAAATCCATCATCATCATTATCATCATTTGTTACCATTGTTATTAGTAATATGATAACATTCAAATAATATTGTTACTTAAAGATTATTTTATCCTCATCTTCATCCTCATCTTCTTAAAACCTATTGGGCATCCGTATTATTCAAGATCCATTTAAAGTATCATATCCGGATGGATTATTTATCTTTATTGGAAGAGGACTTTAGATGATCAATATTGATTCATTATCGTTCATAGGTCAATTTTACCTGGAAACTTTGACCATTCCGATGACCAGCATTGCCGATTTGTTGATGATATTTCGGTGCTTTGATCAATAATCGTTCATTTTGATTCCACATCGGCACGAGATTTGGTTGATTAAATTGTCCTGGTTTAACTATCGTCGGTTTACCGGTCAGTTTATTTAAACGGATCTCTGGATAATCTGGACATTTGATTGTTAATGGGCTGAAGGCTGAATTTTCTGGATTAACTGTAATCATTTGATTAGATAATTTATTCAATGGCTTCTGATTTTGATTCTGGACATTTTGACAACATGATTGTGTGCATGTTGAACTGGTCAGTTTACTTTGATTCTTTGGTCCAGTTTCAATTCCTGATCGGTCATTTACCATTTTCTCATGGATTTCATCATATTCCTCTTTACGACTTTTCTCAATCATGTCACAAATTATTTGACTGATTAACAATCTACCCTGTATAATACACCGTTTAATCCGTTCAACCGCAAATCGATTACCGGTCAGTATTGGACGCAGGTCTTTCCCAATCTCCTCGATGATCCCTAATAGTTGATCATAATAATCAACTTGCCGATTCTCAGGTAACTTTTTCTGCATCCATGAAAGTGCCTGATAACTTGGGTACATTGGCACATTGGTGGGTATTGGCACCATTGTCGGCAGGCCACCTTCAAGAAATGACGGAGCAAACAAATTGAATACATTTGACCTTTGGTTGGTCACTTTAGTAGCTGGACATTTGTCAATCAAATTATTTTCACTTTTCACCTTTGAAACTTTTGGTTCACTCAAAAATTTAGATTCACTTTTCCGCTTAATTGTTTCACCATCAGACTCTGATTTAATTTTCCTTTTCACTAAATCCATAACAATTAAGTTGATTATCAAACAAATCAAACAGACAATCAATTATTACTACAGACAAATAGTTACAATTTGATTAACCTTAGTAAATTGCTCAATTGTTACCCTTTCAAATCATTGGTTAATCATCATTGAGATGACTAATAATCAATAGCCAATGATCAAGTTTACTCTTGATGTTGATTTAATTACTACTCTACAATCAGTTGATTACATAATTTTTGGTCATTTTTACCGCGAAAATTGTTTAATTTGATTTTAATTACAAAGAGGTAGGAAATATAATATAAAATTGGGATTATCTTGAAAGGATTAGGTCATTTGGTTGTTTCATATTTATATATAAAAACAATTGATGATTTTAAATTGTTTGTTTGATTTAAAATTAAAAAAAAAGAATCTGGAGAAAATAAATTGTTACAATCAATCACAATCAGAATATATCAACATGGAAAAAAATTGTTGATTTAAATTTTTCGGATCTCATCAAGTTGCTTAATTGTTGATCTACTGATTATATAATTGGAAAGTATAAGTTGAGAAAAAGTAAAATCCTATTTTTCTTGTATCACAGTAATTGCTGGTTAATTGTTGCTAATTGTTTTGGTGACAACAATCATTGCAACATCAATCGGATTAATTAGAGTCCAAATCTTTTGTGATCATTTTTTGGTAATGAGCTTCAATTTTATCCAAGCAAAGATTAACATGTTCACCTCGAACTTTAATTGTCTTCTCATTGATCTTGATTCTAATCAAGTTTCGTTCATCAATTCAATCACTTTCATTCTGTGATTGAAAATCAGATAGATCGTTCATCTCATCGGATTTAGGTGATTCAGATCTTCCCTCCTCATCGGTTGAACCTGAAGTGGTACTTTTATCTCGAGTTAGAACATCAGAATTTTCACCAAGAATCGAGCAAAGTTCAACTAATCGCCGTTGAATTTTAGGGACACCGTCCAGTTGCTCTTCGAGCTTTTGTTTCTCATCTCGTAAAGACAATCGAGTATTGGTGTCCAATGGTTCTAATCGCCATCCACCAAGTCCGTCAAATTGCAATAGATGAGTATGAAATTTCCAGAGTGAAGGTCGATGGGTAATTGTGATTAAATTAATTCCGTAATCTTTAGTTAATTGGTACATTTTACTTTCGACGTCAATGGAAACAGCGCTGGTACATTCGTCTAACAGAGCAAATTTGGGTCTGTAAAAGAAAATTGAAAAGTGATTAGTTAATTGTTGTTAAAACTTCTACATTGTTTCATCTTGTTGATCAACAATCAATTTAAATTACGTATATACAAAGGTGAGTCAATTAGGTTGATCATTGGGTTGAATAGTTTTGCCAACTTGTTGATTAGTATCAATGAAAAAGTGACTTTAATTAATTGCTATTATCCCTTCAAATTAAGGCTAATTTCATAAAAAATATTAATCATCACGTAACAATTGATTGTAAAAAATGTTTAATTAGTTCAAGATTGGGTGAATCAAGTATATAATCAATGAACTGTTAAAAATGACTGATCAAGTTAAATTGTTTACGATGGTGAATAATGATTTAAACTGATCAGTAGCTCAATTAATTAGCTTGAAAGAGACTGAAAAAGTTTCCAATTTGTTAACAATCAGTCAATCACAGAGATCGTTGATTTCTAGATTGAGAAAAAGGTTAACATTTGATTTGCTTTAATTGTTATTTCCTGATTAATGATAATCATCGGATAAGACACTTGAAAAGTACTGAATAACTGGTTTTGATTAAATTGTTCCTGACAATCAATTGATTTGCGAAACTTCATCTTGGTTGAGTGATCAAAACAATCATGATTGTTGTGAAAAAAAAGAAGTGATTAACTGAACTTGAGTAAAATCTTAATGATTTAAACACTAATTGTTGTAGGGAAAAACAATTGTACCAGTAATTGAGAAACTACAAAGTATCACAATTAACACACACAACTCGTTAATTGTTACGATCAATACAAAGGATTTTAATGGTTTTTGTTTCCCTACGACAAAACTGTTAGTTAATAAATCAAAATTGACCAAAAAAATGTCAAATTAATTTTTACTATCAAATAATTTAACCTTCATTTTGATTGTTGTAACTATAATTAAGTGAACCGGGAAAAAATCAGGCAACATTTGGATACAAGGGCTAACAATTTAAAAGTAATTAAGTTGGAGTAGTTGATTGCAGGGTAAGTGAAGATTATCAAATTGTAAAGAGGAAAATGAAATTAACTTTTTGAAAACTAATTTAATTGTAGAGAAAACAATTAGAATTAATCATTTGAACTAAACGTTACAATCAATCTCTCAGAAATTCCGATTACAATGTGTCAATAATGATTAATCAATTCTGATTAACTGATTGTGATCTTTTTTTCCTCTCTCCTTGTCAATCGATACAAAGAATCAAATCTTTCTCAACAAACATTTACACTCGTTTTTCGAGCGCTTTCTTGATTTAAATTGATTTTCTATCGGCACAATTAACTGATTGTTCAAATTTTCACTTTACCTGTGATAAAATAATCTTGCGACTCCGATTCGTTGTTTCTCCCCACCAGATAGAGTATCTTTCCAATCTGCTCTTCGATCCCAACCTTCATCTTTTCGTATTAAGTAATCGAGATGAACTTGATTTAAAATCTTTTCTAAATCTAAATCAGTGATCCCTTTTTGTAACATTTCTTGAGCGCAATCGGGATAAATGACCTGATCACGAAGAGTACCAAGTGACATGTATGGACGCTGAGGAATATAAAACATTTCCTTGGTCGAGGGTCGATACAATTTACCACCAAATATTGGCCAAAGACCGGCAAGTATACGGAATAATGAACTTTTACCACATCCATTTGGTCCAGTAATCAATAGATGCATATCTCGAGTCATCTAATAACAATTAAGAAATCAATTGATAACAATTACTATTTATGATCATGACCGTAAAATGTACTCAAATTGATTGTTATCTATTAATGAGAATAACAAACTCATTGAGAGAGAGAGTGAGAGATAACAATTAGTTGTAACATTGAAGTGTATTGACGAATAACGTTGATTGTTGTAATTAACTTTACCTTGAATGACAATTTGGGAACAATAACATCGTAATTCGGAGTGATGACAGGTACATCAACGAGTTCGATAAAATCTTCGACAACGATCACTTGTCCTTTTTGAGCTAAAATTCCCTCGGCGGTGAAACAAACGTCCGGAGGAAGAGCCCCTCGTCTCTTTGACGATTCAGTTCCGGCCTTTTTATACTTCCCCTGACTGACCTCTTCGAAAACGGTAAACATTCTGGCCACACGTTTGGTATATCCAGTTAACTCAATTAGCTGAATGGGAAAAATTCATTTAGAATGTATAATTAGAAAAGAGAGAGAGAGAGTTGAACTTACTTCTTTATATGAAGACATTAATCTTTCAGCGGCATCACCGCCGGCGATTAGAATATTTTTCGCTGTGGTCATATATTGGGTTCTCTCACTAATATCCTCTTGAATATCATAACTTGTGCTCTCTGAGGTTGATTGAACACCATTCTCTTGACTATATGAGCTTCCCTTTCCGGTCATCACAGGTATCGCAATGTTGACCATTCCAAGGGCACTCCAAACGTATTTCATCAAAAATTGTTCAAACATAATGTACCAAAGTCTTTGATTATATATCACATTCATTTGCTGGGCTAAAGCTTTGTAAGCTCTTTGGACAACATTCAGCTCGATCTGATGTCCACCATAAAAAGCGATCTCTTCGGCATTGGAAATCACTCTTGCATGGACCGAACGGAGGAAACCTTTTCTCCGGGCTTCCTCCGACACAAGAGACCCAAATTTAGGTGAGATCCACCTTAATATTCCGTGGGTTGATATGATGGCCACTGCATTCATTAACTGACCATAACCTCCATATCGACCATATGAGCCCATTTGTCGTGACATTTTAAGCAGAGTATAAGTTATCAGGAATAGGTCAAGTAACGGTTTGGTGACACTCGAGTAAAGGTGAGCACAATGTTGACTGAAACTAATTATATCGTCGGTTAAACAGTGATCTGGATTTTCGAGTCGACCATCCAAATTAGAGACAGCGTAATATGTTTGATTCTTAAAGTACAATTCATAACCATAACGAACTAAACGAGTACGAAAAGCGAGAGCAAGTTGATTTTCCAGAAAACGAATTGAACTATTGATAAATGTCGCGGGGACAGCGATTAAAAGCCATTTGGTCAACATTGATGCGAAATTGACAACATCCCGACGAACGATGTACTTGACCACTTGACCTTCCAAATTGGCCACAAAAATAGACAAAAGGTTCGGGAGACCAGAGACATTGTGTGAAGTAAAAGTAAGGCCACTTCAACGGTTCTTATACCGGGAACCATGATACGAATTAATTTAACTAATTGTATGATAAATGTAACATTAAATCCAGTTAGAGTTTGAAACTGTCTTAAACTTTTAACAATTGTGTCGATAACAAAGTCCATAATTGTACCATCGCGAATGCCAAAATTAGTATAATCCTCTGTGGGCTTAGATGAATTGCAATTTGATTTACTGGCCGATCGAGTGCTAATTGAATTAAGTAAATCTTGATCTTTAACGGGCTCTCCTTTATCATTGAAACTATCGAGTCCGGTGATCTTTTCCTGGATCGAAGTGGCCTTATCCTGACACGACGAGATTATCTTAACGACCACTGGAGTACCGAATTTGTAAAAATACAAAGCGAACACTAATCCAGAAGCGACTCGAGTGAATTGATGATGAGGAATCGCGTGAGTGTCACTGAATTCCCGTAATTTTGATAAAACGGCGGACATGATGATCTAAATAGCTGATTAAATGGTGAGCCGATGATAAAGATGAACCAAATTGTAGGGATAAATTGATGTAACGATGGTAACTAATGATCGGCTAAATTTAGAGCTGGAAAAAATTAAGAATCAAATTAGTTTTATATATTAACAATTAACAGGTTTTCACTTTAACCAAATAAGATTATCAAGTCTAACGAGTGTTAGTTTGCAATTAGAGTGAAAAAAAAGAGTTACCAATCAACAGTAATTGTGTTGGATTAACATTAGATGATTAAGATTATACAAGAGATTTAATTAGTTGATTGTGATTGTAAACATTGAGGGAAACATGTGATTATCTTGATAGATAAAAACAATGGGTTGAAATTGATTGGAAATCATCATTACTATTTCTAAACAAATTAAGGGCTAATTGTTTCTGGATGGAAAAGGTTAATTAAAATGGAAACAATTAATGATAATCAACAGAAATGAGCAACGATTTGATAGTTTACTTGTATTTGGGTTAAAAGACGGGAAAAGAGGAGACATAAACTTGATCGTTATTTATACAATTGTTGAATTATATTCATTAACCAGATTTGATTAAATCAACTGAGTAGTCTAAATAGTCAATCAAATGATAATCGTTCATCCGAAAACAGTTTACCTTTAGAAAGACAATAAAAATTAAACGATTGATGATAAACCCAAAGTCTCAGCTGATTAACTGGTTAATCAGTTGAGTTATTAACTGAGATCGTCACAGAATAACAGTAATCTCAATACGTTTAGATGTAAACAGTTAGTGAAAGTTAATTGATTATTGGAAATAAATTGTAACACAGTTGAAATTAATTGTTGAATTGTTGGGCTAAAATGTGAGCAATTAATGAAAGGAAAGAATCAACTTTAAATCCGATAAACAAACATCTCAACACTTGAGTTGATCACTTGAAGGCACAAAGAGTTGCAATGTTAACACATGGGAATTGGGGTGACGCCTTTTAACTGAACACAAGATTAACCATATTATTGGATTAAAATGAATTAAATCAAATAGATTAACAGGATAATAAGGAAATTACCATAATTTAATAATCCGTATATTGGCTCAGGTGAGTGAACAATAAAGACACGAAAAGGGTTACGTTGCAAACGTCAATCCGAACATGAAATTTTGAGAAACAATCGATTTGAAATATAAATGGAAAATATTGGAAAAAAAATTGAAGAGAATCACAATCAAGAGAATTAACAATTTAACCAATTGTTGAAATTAATTGTTGATTGGCAAGATGGCGATGGCGATGGCAATGGTGGTGGAATAACAAAAATACAAAACAAAATGTTGATTATGTTTAAAAATATCAAAAAGTTACAATAATAGTAAGTGAAATGTTGTCGAGACTTTGATTTGGGTTGTTTATTATTGTAACTAAACAGGTTTGACAAGATGATGAAGATGAAGATGAGGATGAAGATGATGAAGATGATGAGGTAAATAATGGAAAGAAAAAAGAAAGATGATTCTGGTGTATCAGTTAATTCCTAACTGTGTTACATGAATGGTGACGCAAACACGATTCCACACCGATTGATCTCAATTAAGCCTCATCTGATTGTTGTTTAGTTGATTGGTTGTTTGTATCAACTATTTACTAATCATTACGAAGCTCAGTTGAGTATTAGTTGTCGTTTTTACGATCACTTGGTGAAATCACAATCGTCGTGATTTGATTGAACATTTCACTCGAATTTGAATTTTACCTCAATAAGAGTGAAGTTAATGATCTTAACAAGGTTTAATTTCGGTTCATTTTAAGGTTAATTGTTATACTAATTGTCTAAGAGGTTCTCATTTCTATGTGATCTCTCATATTTTTGATTACCTTTAATTGCTACAATTTTATGTAACTTTTATTTCCTTGATTAGATGTCATTTGTGGGATTTTCGGCGTTTTAATCAGTAAAGATAATCAACTCTCTATGAAAATGATTGATTAATTTACCAAAAGTTAATCAAAATTAATTGTCTTTTCTCATGTGACATTTACTGATTTGTCAATTTTATTTTTACAATTAAAGGTCAATCTTTGCTGGAATAGTTTTTGATTGTTGATTGGAATCATATTCAATCATGATTAGGTTAAGATCAATTGAACAACGAAAACAACTTAAGGTAATTCAATACGAAAGGGAATTTAATTGCTCAATAAATAGTGAGAGTAATTTAGGTAACAACAGTTGGTCTCATTGATAAATTGCTCCTGATTGTTAACTAGATTTAAAGATAATTGTGATCGGAAAACTGGTTTAACAGGAAAATTATGTCTACCAATTGGACACAAAGTTTTGGTCAATTTTAAGTTCACTTATTAAGTAGAGGTCAAGATGACCCACCCATTAATAGATTGTAGTGATTAGTCCTCATCGAATTACAATTAATTGTAAACAAATTTATGTTTGCAGTGATTGTGAGAATCTCTTAATGAGATTCCAACGGTGTATGAAATCAATTTCAATTACAATTGAGAATTAATAGAATTTAATTTTCTAGTTAATTATTGTTTGATTGGTGAGGTGATTTATAAATGGGTTTTTGTGGAGTTATAAATATTAATAGATTGTCAATCAATCAGTGAAATTGCTTTCGTTGTGATCAAAGTGTTAATTTGATTGTTTGGTGATACACGAAATGATTAACATGATTTTGTCTCTATTTTTATAAGTTAATGACTGTGATTGTCAGTGGATGGGTTTAGAGGTGAAAGAGATTTGGAAAAGAAATGGAAAAAGGTTAAACCGCAATTAGTGGTAACTAGATTTGATTAAAATTAATTGTCTAGAATATATCACATGATTCAATTTGATAAACTGAATCAGCTATTGTTAGTCTAACGCTGGAAGAAAAAGTTAATTGTGAACAAATTGATTAAAACAAAATTAAGGTGAATTCTATGTGCAAAAGATATTGTAAGTAGTTAATTAACAAAGAGAAACCTTTGGTTAGTGTATAAAAAGAGCCTCATCATTATTGTCTATGTTTATAAAGAAATCGAAAATGATTAAAATTAATTATTAGAGCTGAGGTAAATTAGAAAGGGCTCAATTGTTGTGGGTAAGGTGGAAATGGTCAATTTGATGAAAGGTTTAACTTTGGACGGAGAAGGCTAATTAATTTAGCAGAATTTTAAATTTCTTTGTCTTTGGAAGATATTAAATTGGATAACTTGAAAACGGAGGTAAACATTTAAACCCAAACTCCGTGAGGATTTTTACTGGTTGCAACGGCGTTTTTCAATTCTCGTGGTGGGACAAACATTTTCCTTGTGCTTCCGGGTCTTTGTTGTTTGGCTTGGAATGAATTTCTATTGATTGGAAATAAGGAGGTGATTAGTTTCGATGGATTGTCAAATATGATTGTCGTATTTACCTTGCATCTGGATTAATTATTACATGACTTTGAGAAGTCTTCATTTGTGGATTGTTTTTGGAAAAAAGTTCATCTCTAGGCAGTAAATTGAGCCCCTGAAGATTAGTTTCCTTAAGATCATGAAGAATTTTTTCTATCTTTTTTATTCGCTCTTTGAGCATCTCATCGGATTCTTTAAGTTCCGAGTCCACTATTCTGAATTGTTCGGACTGTATAAAATTTTAGAAATGAAAGAATTTAATTATTAAACAATAGATTAAATAGTCGCGAGGGAAAGTTTTATTACCTGACGTTCGAATTCCATTCTTTTCTCTTTGGTCATTTCTATCAGCTGAGCTTTTATTTTCTCTTCTTCCCTTCGCTTTAACATTTCTTCTTCTTCTTTTTGGAGATTGAGTTCTGTAAATAATAGTAATACAAAGGTAGTTGTATATTAGATTATGTTTGTGGTCGACTTTTCATGAGAATACCAAATTATACTTACGGTTGATTTGATCCATAAGATGTTCAATACTGTGACGACAATCAGTAATTTGATTCTCTATTTCGGACAACTGGACTCTTAACTTACTTTTATCTATTTCTACACCTCTATTTTCAATATAAAGTCTGACCATCTCTTCCTCTTCTTCTTCATTGGTTACATCGGAAACCATGTTGTTCATTGATTCTTGCCGAATGTCTAATGATCTTTCATTGATTCTTCGGTTTTCATTCATGACATCTTGTCGATTTGGTTGAACACTAGGAGATCGATATTTAGAGTCCCAATAGCTAACTGGTGATGTTATTTCAAGTATTTGGCGATTATTGGCATTCAGTGTATCTTTTTGTAAATTTGATAATTTGACATCCGATGATTTAGTTTCGTCTGGACGATAGATTTGCTTCGTTCTAGATTCCTCAGGGTTTCGACTAAGTTTGAGGGTCCTTTGGCTAACATCTTCATCTTCACAATTTGAACATCGATTGGTTTCTTTGGAACATTTGGATAAGCTTGGAGTTTCTTCCTTCGACCACTGGTGTCCATTAAGTCCAGATGCTTCCGGACCAGATTCTGAGACAGGATCTGAAATAGATTAGACAATAAAATTGTTAAAATTGCTGAGCTATTTGTTTGAAAAATAAGATAATAGGAAACGAGTTTTACCGGAAGGTGATGATCGCAACAATGCACTTTTAGTTATAGCTTCGTAATAAGGTGGTGGATGCTTTGGTCTTTTGAGAGCTTGATTGGTACCATAGTCCGATTCAACTTCAGTTGGAAGTTCCGGTGGCATAGAATTTTGGCTTAAGGGTGTTGAGGGAATTGATTTGTTGGGCGTATTGATCAACTTGTCTTCTTGGTGGTAAACATGTTTTTGTGATAAATAAGTTCCATAGTGATCATGATTTTCCACATTTAAATTGGTTGTTGGCATCAATTGTTTACCCTCAATTCGATTGTTTTGATTGACTCTGGTTGCAATAGAATTAGAATCATTTGACTGGTATTGTCTTGATTGTTGTTGTTGTTGTTGTTGCTGCTGTTGAAGTTGAAGTTGTTGTTGGATAATTTGATTTTGTAACTGTAAATGATTTGGATTAACGGAAGTAGGTAACTTGGCATTCATCTCATTCAAAGGTTGGTCACATCTTTTCATAATAAACATTACATCAGAAGCATAATCTCCCCATTGACTTAGTAATTTAATTGGATGTTCATTAGGATTCAAAAGTCTCTCATTGTTTCTCCATCTCTCAACCAAGATAAATTTACCAAATTGTTGTGTAGATTGAGCCAAACATAAAACGATATCTTTACATGTGGTTTCAAGAGTGACACCGGAAACAATTCGCTGAGCACCATCCAGATAAACTCGAAAATCCATGGCACAGTTAAAATAAAACAAAAAGAAATTAATTTTAACCAATTAACTAATCTAATTCACCATCAACAAAGAAATTGATTAAGAAAAACAACAAAGACAAACATAGAAAAAAAAAGAAAATTGTTTCTGCGCAAACTCAATAGAGAAAAATTTCGAGCGCCATCTATTGTCTTCCAATGAAAAAGTTCCATTAAAAGTTGATTAACTTAATTATAATTTAATTCACTTTTTAACATATACAAAAGATATTTATTCTTAAATAATAACTAAAGCCCAAGTAGGAAAATTTGGATTAGTATAATAAATGATGTGTAACAATGAGAAGCAGAGAAGAAGTAAAAATAAGGTTCATTTGTTTTTCTCCTCTTTGTGTTCCTTGTTTAATTTTCTTGAATTAAATCAGAAATTGTTTCTATTAGTTTTGTTTTCAATTGTTTTCATCTAGTTTTGTTTTCTTATTGAAGAAGATTGGATGTGAGATGGATCGGACAAATTCAAACAATAATCATCGTATTATCTGATGCCCATTTGAAGCATGATAATTGGAGTTGCATTGATGCTTTAAAACGATTTAAAATTCTAGAAATTAACTTTTGGTCGGTTGATGAAGTTACAGCTCTTAATCGTGATCGAGACATTTTCATTAGTTTATCGGTTTTCGGTGTCTCAAAATGTTCAGGATTAGAGAAAACATATTCCAATGCTGTTAAATCAACTTGTGCATGAACATTTCCAGCATCGGTTAGACGATCAGAAACTGATTGGAAAAGAGTCGCCGTTTCCTCTAATGTGGCCTCGATCACTTGACTGACCATTTTACGTACTAACGAAGGTGCAATTAGAAATATTTTCGCTTGAACTTCAATTATCAATCCAATCACGTCTTTAATATAATAGTTAACCTCCGAGGGTTTTGTTGTTCCAGTGTAACATTCAATTGCCACCGTGTACATTGAAGGTTTCAATGAATTGATTACTGAATCGCATTTGGAATCAACAAATGATGAGGAAAGTTTATTTTCCAGGTCTCGATATTTATTTTGGATAACTTTTATTACCATGGTCATGTCAGGGTAATTATACTTTTCGAAACTTTCATGTAATCGAGGCATCACTTGGTTTGTGGTGAAACTACAATTACATATGACGACTAGACATCGATCTTCCTCATCGATGGTTCGTTCTTTGTCACTTGGTGACGGAGGTGTAACGGGATTTTTGTAGGTTCGTTCCAATGTCAATAAAAAGGCTTGAAGTAGATTTTGAGCAAGTTGTTTCATTCGACCCTGAACATTGATCTTACTGAAAATGTCAATTTCTTCCGGTGTACTGGTTTGAAGTATATTTTCTCGAACAAGTTGTAATATTTCAACAACTTTCGCCTCAAATAGTAGGGGAAGTTGTGTTCGAGTACCTGACGAATCGTCTGAGATTATTTTCCATGTTTCTCTGGTGTAAAGTTGTTTTACCTCTTCGGCTGCTTGATTGAATAGAGATACCAATGAATGGACTCTAAGGTCACTGATTAATTGTTGAATAGGTTGATAAACGACTGGTTGAAGATCATTTTTGGTTAAATCTTTGTAAAAATTGCAACCAACTTGTAAACATCTTGGTAACCAGACAAAGAAACTTTCATCAGCGGCAGTTGCAGGCCAAGTTTCGTAATCTGGTCCTAGACTTATAATAGATCCTGGTAAAAGGGCACTTCGGATAAGATTTACAGCTAAAGTGATTGGCTTTTGAATCATTTCATTGTTGAAGGTAGTTTCTTTTGCTTCTAATTCTCGTTGTGACTCTTTGGTATTGAAATCGCAGTTTAAATAAGCTGTGCCAAGTTTGACCAGGTCGGCGAATGAAGTAGTAAAAAGAGCGGTTAACTCTTCAATGAATTGTATGATTGGTGGTCCTTGAACATCAGAATCTCCTTCGGACAAGAAATTGGGTGAATCTTTTGATATGATTTGTGGCAATTTAGACATCTCAACGTATTTACAATGACACTCTCTCATTTTTAACAACAGTGTATCCTTTATTTTCACTATTGAGTCCCAAGCGGGATTACCAGGAGCTTCCAAACTTAAAAGATATTGGATTAATTTCTTGATTTCATCGATGTTCCTATTTTCGTGATTTGTACATCCTTTATTTAACATCTCTTGTATCTTTCCTCTAAATTTGATGATTCTTTGCTCCACCTCAGAGAAAACTCTCTTGAAAACACAAACTTGAGTGTCAGCGAATCGGGATTTAGCTCGATTGTAATCGCTAATCAAAAGTTCGTATTCACCATTAGTTATGTTACGCTCAATTGTGGCTGGTAAGTTGAATAAAAATCGATAACGTTGTAAAACGTTCAATGCATTTCTGGTCGAATCAGCAAGATCCTTGCGAGCCAACACAGAATCGAAAATAATATGAGCCTCTGATAGAGATTTTTTGATAAGTTCTTCCACCTTGTATGTTAAATCTGATCCCATGTCTTGTTTGTGTTTCTTTAAATTAATGTGAACCGTTTTCAGTGCATCCAGACACTCGATAATGGCTAATACGTTTGGCTTGAGTAACTGTAATGGACCCAGACTAGATGTTGATGGACTTTTTTGATTAACTCGAGCCTTTAATCTCTCCAAACCTTCAACCAGATCGCTGAATGAAGCGTTACTATGATTTTCCAAGAGATACCAGGCTGGAATAAAGTCGTGAGAAAAGGCATTACCGAAACCTTTTTCACTTTTATCTTGACCAAGAGCTTCTGGAAAAAATTGGCGGACAACATTTTCTCCAAGAGCACTTTTAATGGCTTCAGTTCCTTCAGGTAATAATCCCAATGGATCAGATGAATAGAGTCCAGGGATGTTGTACTTCCTAAACCATGGCTTGTTTTACCAAGGGTGAAATAATCTTCTTCGTTAATCCAAACAGAACAATCTTTTGTTGGACTAACAATATCAGGTAAACCTCTAAATTGAACAGTACAAGTTCCAGTTCCTCCGGAGGCAGTTGTAATCACAACATCTCCTAATCCATCACACCTTCCACTTCTTGTTAATATTTTACTACTGCTTTTCCATTCGGCAAACATTAAACAATCAACACCACAAATTGTCAATTCAATTAGATCATCAGGATTACGGCCAAGATTTTCTCCTCTGACAATTATCTTTGTACCAGGAATCCCTTCCTTGGGTGAAAGGCCAGTTACCTTTGGCCGGAAATTTGATCGAGAGCCTTCAGATGAAACAGACATGATACTCGGAGAATCAGGGTCAAGTCAGGCTCAGAATTTGCAAGAGAAACACCGGTTTCAAAGGTAATCCAAACAATTGTAACAAATTTTAAGTATTTTGTGACCACAGTTGATTAAGAAATAAACACTAATCACCAATGAAAGGAGTTAAAAAGCAAATAATTATCAAAAACAATACACGCCTCAATTAGTGCACAGCTGATGGAAGAGGTTGTCGCCATCTACAAGGTAACATTCAATTGTCTAAACAATTAGAAACAAAGTCTAATAGCTTATAATTAACTAAAATCGATTAATTTTATCAACAATAAATAAAAATAATCTACTAATCAGCTAATTAATTGGACGATCATCATTGAGAAACTAATAAACAGAAAATATGAAAATCATCAAGTATCTTTATTTTTAGATCGAATCTCAATTTAAGGACTAAGATTAAAGAAGAAAAAATCTACTAGTTAATTAGTTGGGAAGAATTTTTGTTTTTAAGTGATTAAAATGAAATTGTCTTAGTAATTAGATTGATAATTTGAAAGAATTTGCAATTTTTCATCAATTAATTAATTCTCATTAATTAATTTTCAGATCTTCTCAGGATCCATTCCTTTGGGGAGATTAGAAGGATTCAGATACCATCTGATTCAGCATTTTCATTTCCAAAATCAATTGTTTGTCACTTGAGAAATTTAATTTTGTTAATTTGTCGGTGTTTAATTAGATTCTCATAATGTCTATCGCTGATTACAATGGTGGGGCTATTATGGCCATGGGTGGAAAGGATTGTGTCGCTATAATTTGCGATAAACAACTTGGAGCTCGATTAACTACCATTTCTGTGAATCATAGTAAAATTTATGAAATTAATCCTTACCTTTATGTTTGTCTACCTGGACTTGCGACCGATTCATTGACTGTTTATCAGCGATTAAGATTCCGTGTCAACATGTATGAACTTAAGGAAGGTCGAAAGGTTTCACCGAAAGTATTGACCTCCATGCTTTCAAACCTTTTGTATGAACACCGATTTGGTCAATATTTCATCGGTGGTATTGTTGTCGGATTAAGTAAGTTGATTTATTTTTCCTTTGATTTACATTTTTTTTTTCTTCTCATTTTTGATTAATTGTTTTGGTTCCTAATTGTTTCATTTAGATCCAAAGACTGGTGAAACATTTATGGCAAATATGGATTGTATTGGCGCTACCACTGAATGTAATGATTTCGTTGTTGGTGGTCACTGTGAGGAACAGATTTATGGTGCTTGTGAAGCTCTTTATCGCCCGAACATGGAACCCGATGAATTATTTGAAGTGACCTCACAAGCTTTTCTATCGGCTTGTGATAGAGACGCTGGATCAGGTCATGGAGCATTTGTTTATCTCATCACCAAGAATAAGGTTACAATTAAATCATTGAAGACCAGGATGGATTAATTTGCTTCAATCGCCCTTTATGGTGTCCATAGGATTTTTTTATATTCACCTCCAATCCTTTCAATATCTTTGATTAAATGATGGATTAAATTACTGTTCTAATTTGGTTCAAATTAAAAATATCTCAAGTAAATAAACACTAATTGAATTCTAACGATTCATATATTGTAATTCGAGAATTATTGTTATCAATTTTAAACTCAAGGTACAATTTATGAATCGAACGATTAAATTGTTTACAATTTTTCTCTTTCAATTACAATTAAAATCATCTAATTCTCGTTGCAAAATGATTGAGATGAACGAAATGCAATTAAAGTCCCATCGAAGTTTAGCAAAGCAAAACACAATCACTCAAATAGTAGTTCAAACAATCAGAAAAAAAATCAACAATTAATTTCCAACCACAAGTAAATTAATCCTTAATTAATTTCCAATAACAACGATCACTTCAAACAATTAACCCAAAGAATATCAAGTCAAACTTTCGATTCTTTATCGAAAGTATCCAAATGATAAAGAAAAAAGCGCAAATTGATCATAGACCCAATATACTATTCTTGAATCGTATTGATTAGAAAATTTTATTCTAAACAATTAACTTGATTGTCATCAAATAATTGAAAAAGAAATGAAATTTACATGTTGAGCTGAAGAAATGACCCCTTAAACCTTAAACCAGAAAATTGAAAACAAATGATTAGAATTGTGTAATTATGTTATTTTAATAAACAGTGTTGGCAAATCAATTTTTATAAAATGGTAAGTCTTAATTGTGTTTAATGATCCTCCGTTAATTCAAGATTGTTAACCTGCAATCAATTTGAATGATTAGTTTTTTAGCCAATTTGATTTTCTCAAAAAAAACAGAGTCTATCATATGTCTTGAAGATTTGCTTTTCTCTATTCCCTTCATAATAAACGCCTCCGTTGTTTGACAAATTGAAGCTCTTCAGCAATTTAGCTACACCTTTTGTCTTGTATTTGTCATTGATTTGGATTATTTTTATTGATAACTGATCGATTTATCTATAAATGTCTTTCCTTTGTCCGTTCAATTGACCATAGAGTTTCCTTACATTCCGATCTGGCGCTGAAATTGACATCATTCTGGATGGAGCTGAGAATAGGAAATTGGCTGAGATAAAGTCGGAGGATGGAAAGAAAGACAGATATTACCTTTATTATGATGGAGAAACGGTCTCTGGAAAGGTGAGAGAACAATTATCCTCTTTTGGTTAAAAATCTTCTACTAATTCATTTTTCTCCAGGTTAATATAACAATGAAAAAGCCTGGAACCAAATTGGACCATTTAGGAATCAAGGTTGAATTCATTGGAGAAATTGAATTGTACGCAGACAGAGGTAATCATCATGAATTCAGTTCTCTTGTTAAAGATTTGGCTCGTCCCGGTGATTTGGTACAAAATACTAGTTATTCCTTTGAATTTGTCAATGTCGAAAAACCATATGAATCCTATACTGGAACAAATGTTCGTTTAAGGTAAAATTTACCTCGATAACCTTTTCGAGCTTATAACTAATGGATACTCTTTCTGTAGATACTTTATCCGTGTTACTATTGTCAGAAGATTATCTGACATAATCAAGGAGATGGACATAATTGTCCACACACTAGCTTCTTATCCAGAGGTCAATTCACCGATTAAGATGGAAGTCGGAATTGAAGAGTGTCTACACATCGAGTTCGAATACAATAAATCTAAGTAAGTCAACAGTTTCTTATTTAAATTGTCGCCTTTCCTCCAATTCTAACGATTATTTATACTCTCTTATTATCAGATATCATTTGAAAGATGTTATTGTTGGTAAAATATACTTTCTCCTTGTAAGAATAAAAATTAAACACATGGAAATCGCCATCATTAAAAAAGAATCTACTGGAATTGGTCAGAATACATTCAACGAGAATGAAACAATCGCTAAATATGAAATTATGGACGGAGCTCCTGTTCGTGGTGAATCAATTCCATTACGATTATTCTTAGCTGGATATGAGTTAACACCAACCATGAAAGATATTAACAAAAAGTTTTCAGTTCGATATTTTCTCAATCTAGTGCTTGTCGATGAAGAGGAACGAAGATACTTCAAGCAACAAGAGATCATTTTATGGCGAAAAGGAGAGAAAACTCGTAAACAGATTCAATCTCAAGTTCCACAGCCAAGTGAAATTAAATAATTCTCATTTGTCCCTCTTTCCAATAATCAAATCAAATCAATTTATCTCCCCCCTCTCTCTCTCTCTCTCTAAACTCTTCTCTATCAAAAATCTTTCTCTGCCTTTTCTCACTCTCAATCCTTTTCCCATCTTTTCCGTTAAATGGTTCAGCGAAACATGGGATAGATAATAATTCTAACCATAGAAATCTATTATTATTCAGATGAATCTTTTGTCTTTTATCAAACATTTTGTTGTCTTGTTTTAGGAGAAAAATTAATCACTATAATCAATTGTAAACTGGTGATTCCGTTCGAGAACAATCAATGTATTAATTTAACAATAATCAATCAATTTCACAAAATCAACTTTTTGACTTTTTTGGTCACAAACTTAAAAATAAAGCGAAAACATTAATTAAGCAGAAGGGGAAAAAATTAAATATTCTAATTGGACTGATTATGGAAATTTATCGAAAACTGATTCTCCATATTTGATTGATATTCAGATTAACAATTTAGTTTAATTGATTTTAATTTTCGAAAAATAAACAATTTTCAACAATCGGTTATTCAATGAACATGAGTTGAAGCAATTTGTCTTTGCTTTGAGCATTTCAGCAACAATTAGCTGTTTAATTACTTGTGATTATGATTAACTAATTAGATAAATTCCCCTTGGCAATTGATTCCAGGAGCCGACGACTTTGACAATCAGGAAATAATTGTAATAATTTAATACATTTGTCGGAATATAATTTAGATAAACTTTGGCATTCGTCAATTACGTTACTTTTCAATAAGATCTTTTTAACCTGACGAAAGAATCAGAGAGAAATTTAATTAGTAATGAAAAAGAATTAATTGTTAATAGTTAATTTACCTTGCTGATTGTGTCTTCTTTTTCCCAATCCAATTTGGACAAATAATCAATAAATTGTGGATCCTTTTCCATATATTTAATTATCGGCGCTGAGATTGGATTATATCGTCTACTGTTTGTATCGATAATTGTTTGAATGTCCTCTTCAAGCTGGAAACAATTAGAAAATTGTGATTAGTTAATTGAGATGATTAAAGTATTGACGAATTATAAATTTCAACTGTTAGTTGATTAGATTAATTATCTCCATTCAAACTAGACCCTTGGTGTAACAATCAAGCGAGATGATCATTTGATAATTCACTTGACTGTTGATGATTAATTTAATTGCGTTGATAATTAAAACGTTTCAATTGGTTCGGATTAAAATCAACTAAATTTAAACTTATAGTTTATTTGATTCTATTTTTAATCAACAATAAATAACTAAAATTGAGGCCATTCACATTACAATTAACAATCGGACAATCAAATTAATCAGCAACTCTCCCTTTCCAATCAAAATTAAATTTCCATCTGAAAATATGAATCAATAATTGTGAGTTTTCATCAACAATTAAGAAACTGTAATTAATCAAATTAATCAAAAGTTTCACAAAATCATTTTTCTCGTTTATCCTTTGACACAATTAACCAACAATCGGATAATTAACTGAACAATCTTGACTACCTTGGACTAACTTATTGCAACAATTAATAAACAGGGTAATTAACAAAAATTTGATTAAATTAAATTAAGGATAAGAAATGATTAAAGGTAAATAAGTCGAAACAATTTAGATGAAGGATAAATATACTTTACCTTTCAAGGATTAATCAACTTAACCTAATCACAATTAACTAAATAACATTTAATTTTTCTTCTTCTTCTTAATTGTAATACACAATTGAAAGTGAACACTAATTGTAAACTTAATCAAATCAAATTTAATTACTCGATGGTATTACTTTTAAGTTGTAAAGAGCAATTTTTAATTTTTCTCTTAACAATTTAATCAAGTAATTAGCGTTGTTGATGATGATTTAAGGCAAGGTTAATTAAGGTAAGGAGCAACGGGAGAGATTTAATTAGATTTAATTTGATTGTTTTCAGGAAAAAAATTGTAACTCTTGAAATTAATTTGATTTAATCATTGTAACTGTTACTTAGTTGATGAGGTTAAGCCATTTGATTGTTGATTCCAATCGTTATTATTTCATCATTATTACAGTTTAACTATTGATAATCAATGGTTAAGTTAATTGTGAACCATGGGATTGCTATTTTCCTTTTCATTTTAATTGTTGTTAACCAAACTAATTTAATTTCCTCACTTTGTATAACCTCAACTCCTTGTGGACGATTAACTAGATCTCGTTGTTCAGCTTTCAATTCAAATGAATCGACTTACATTTGGTCAACTTATGCTCAGACCTGTAAGTGTTGTACAACTGACCACGAAGATGACCAGTCAACTGATGACCGACCATCAACAATTAAAACCTTATTGGAAAACATTGTGACCTCAAGTAAAGTAAAAAACCAAAGGAAATGAATCAACTTAATTGTAAATTAAATCAATTCCCAAAAACAAAGATCATCAAACCAACGATTGAAGACAAACTAATCATCAACCTACTAAATGATTGTAATTTCCTTCATGATAAAACACCAATGATTTAATTAACAATTAAACAATTAGATTTACTTACATTCCATTTAAGTTTCAAATTGTATCCGAAATCAAAAGCCGATTGTTCAAATCGCTTCGACGATAAATTGGTCAGCGTTGTGATGAATTGCGCTGAATAAGCGGCTAATTTAGCTGAACAATAGCCACCATATTTTTCCCATGTTTCCATGTTCATATCTGATTTCGGTTTAATATAATTACTGATTTCTCTCTGGTAATTATCGAATTGATTAATACAGAATTCATCGATCGCAGCACCAATGAAGTCGAAAACATTGGCACGTTTAACTACACTAGCGAGTCTGATGATTCCAAATGAGAAAAGATAATCACCTCCAAGAACTGCGAGTTTATTTCCATTGTTGAGAATAGTATTGGTTTTGTTAATTGTTCCATCGATTACATTTGATTCACTTGATGATTTAACGGGTATATTGATGATCGATTGGTGGTGAATGTACATTGCTTTATCGATCATCTCATAACATTCGGCGAAAATTTTTTGCTTCTCCCAAATATTTTCACTGAAATTCGTTGATTGATGTTGTTTATTGTGATTACAATTATACGAAGGAACTGATTCAAGAGATTTAGCCAAAAGTAACAAAGTAAATCCACCCAGTGAGTTAATCCATTTTGTATCCGAATCTTGGAAAATTTCTTGAGCAACTGAGATAATCGGATGGTGAGTTGACGATAATCCAGATTGTAGAGATGAAACTTTTTCTAAAGCAAAAGCGGACAAAATTGCCTCTTCTCGAAGTAGATTACGAATATCGAAATGGTTGACCGGTGTATCGACCAATTGTCCAGCAAGTTTAAGGTCCAATGAAGTTATTGGAATCGTAGGTTGATAATCAACACGAGTCGATGTCGCTGGAGTTACAAGGGTTCGAGAAACATTTAACATTAAATTGTCACGATGTTTGGACGGTAATTTAGGTTTGATTATACTCCGAGCCAATTTCATCGAGCGGCCTGTTAACGTTGTAGACATTGTTGTTGAATTAATCAAAGTTAATTGTTGTGTAAACAATTAAGAGAAGGGAACAAAATTCACTTAAACACAAGAAAAACAAAAATTCGAGTTCTAAAAGAGGAAAAGTTTTATTTTCTCAATCTAAACGGATGTTGATTGCTTTAAGTTGTTGATGATTTAGGTTGTTGTTGTTGATGATCAACAAGATGAGGATGATGATCAGGATGATGATTAAACTGATGGACAGGTTTTCATCTTGAATGTGAGTTTGTTTATGTCACTAGTTTGCTGAAAATCTCCTTTCATCTTCCTTCTCCTTCATCATCTCCATCCTCATCTTTATCTTCATCATCTCTTCCCTCTCTTCCTCATCATCTTTCTGGATTAGTAATATTAATAAGATGAAGAAATAAAAAAGGTGGAGAGAGATGAAGATAAGAATAATTCTTATGATCTGATGAATTTGATGAATACTCGATTGTTGGAAATTTTTGATACTCGAATCATCATAATACTTCTCATTAATTGTTACCTTAATTATCCTAATCAACTACAAATCATACAAGTAAAACCTATCGACCAGTTTAGATAATCATTGGATCGATAAACATTTCCAATATATAATCTGATATTTTCAGGTCAAAATATCATGAATTTTTTTAGATAATCGAGTTTCTTGTTTCATCTTTTCGTTAACATTATCATTCTTGTTTCTCAGTTTCTTTTATCATCATCACCATCACCATCATCATCATCATCATCTTGTCCTCATTAATAAACTATCATCCCCTAGAGGCGATACTATTTCAAGCAATATCTTGATTATGATCAACTGGTCACTACTTTAAATAGTTAAGCTAAAAACAAGATTCGTCCATAAGTGAGTTTACCCTTAAGCTTAATCTCAATCTAACCCGGAATAAATTTCTTATCAATTTTAACTATTAGTTGATTAGTGGATCACTGTTATGTATGTTAATTATTGATCATGATGGTAATAATAATTTAATCCTAACCTATCATTTGTAACTGTTACACGAAAATTTAATCATTTTGATGAAAAAAAATCAAAGGATTTGATTATGATCAACACTTACCTTCATTTCTGTGTGTTAATTACTAAATTGAGGCCAATTAATAACATTATTATTATTAATAGCATCTTATTAAATTATAATCATCTGTTAATCCCTTTCGCCTTCATCTTAATCACCACAATCAACTAATCATAAAGTGGTGATACAAAACTCATTGAGCTTTCCACACGAAATTGTTAATCAAAATTTACTTTCGGATATTTAATCATCATAATAACAAGATTAACGATAAATCTGATGACCATTAACAACCCGATTGACCTTAATTTAATATCAACAATCAACTAATTTAAAAGTAAACAATTTCATTGATATAAACACAGTTAGAATTATTTTCTTAGCAATTAACTTGATCTATTGATTGTTATTTCAATCACTTTGATTTGATAATCGGAAGGAAGAAACTTTTTTTTTAATTGTTGATCTGATCAAAGATAAATTGATTTGTAAAAGTAATTAAGATGAGAAACAAGAATCTTAATCATTTGTAGTTTATTTAATTGCTCTTCCTGATCAAAAGTAATTTAAATTAATATTATGTATACATTTTGATTACCGGTTTTGTTATGGTCATTTAAATTATCATCAATCAGACAAATTGTTAAATCATTTATTCAACATCAATATTTAATCAATTCAACAATATGATTTTAATTTCACTTTCTCTTGATTGTTGACCGGCTACTTAAATTGTGATTAGTTTGTAAAACATATTAAAAGTTGATTAATATAAAAATAGATTGAAATTGATTTTCTAATCAAATTGAGTTACAACAATTCTCACGAACTTTCACCGAGTTATCACTTGGTCCAATCGAGTTCTATTGAACCTTTCGTGCTTTGTACATTAACTTCGAGCTGCTCGAAGGTCCGTCAAGGCACCGAATTGATCGTCCATCTTATTACAAAGAATTTTGAATATTAAAGTTTTCGTCAAAATTAAACCAGAATTTTTATTGAGTTTCGTATCATTTAATTTGGTCAAGTTCCCGAAGCGATATAAGTTCATCAATAATTAAGACACCAGATTGTCTTAATTATTAATGTTTTGGAAATAAAAAAAACTTATATCACATAATGTTCACTGAATAATTGAAAATTGTGATTAATGTGATTAATGTGATTAAATTGTTATTGTAAACCATTTCTTTAATTGTCTTCACAATGAAAAGGCCATTTGACTGATTGTTTGAAAAACTTGTATGATATTAACCACAATTAGATTGATGAGATTGCTGTAATTGAGTGTTGATGATTATTGATCAACTTGATGAAAGTTTGATTGTTATATAATCAATTGGAAATAATCGTGTTACGTGATTATGACATTAAGAATGTAAATCAACGATTATAATCATGATTGGTTGAGATAAATCCGTTAACAATTTAATGATCAACAATCAATATGTTGATTGTTGGTTATGATTTGGGTTTTGACAAGTAACCAATATTCAAAGAGAAATCAAAACAAATGATTGGAAATAAAAGTAACGCTGATTTATGACGATCAAAAAGAAACATCAATTGCAATCCTAATTTCTCGTTTAACTGATCGTAATGGAAAATAAATTAAAGAAATTAAGATTCTGAAAGATATTTTCAAATGAATTATCTACTTAGATAAACTTGTAGTTCACAATTACAACTATTGAAGATGCAAATTTACATGGGAAAAGTGATCTATGGATCTAAATTTAAAAAGAGTAGATTGATTTCCTTTCAACTTACACCTTCGGTGCCGAAGGATTTCTCGTCCCCATCACCAAGAAATTCACTAAAAAATACTTGGTAACGATCAACAGAGCCAATCCCATAAAAGATTGAATGAATTGAAATATTCTGATACCATTTCGATCAATTAACTTTTTTGAAAGTTCTTCTTCAGTCATTGATTCATTTATCTCTCCAACGTTGTTGGTATGAATTCCAAATATAGTGTAGAGATAAATGCCCTCGAGTGGTAATGGTCGTTCCTGTGAATAGAATAACCTTTCGAAAAGTAGTAATCATTTTGTCTTATATTGTGACAAATCGACTTTCATTTCGTTGAAAGTAATTTTCATATTTTCACTATCAAGTTGATCGAAATGTTCTCAACGATTAACAATACATTGAATGAGCTGAAATAATTGTCTAGTCAATTAGAGGTTTTGATTTAATTTACATTAAAAGTTGTAAGTGTTATTGTATTTCAAGAATTCAGTTGAGATTAATTGATAACACAAGGTCAATCATTCAGCTTTGTCCAGATAAATCTCTTGTTTTACTCTCCAATTGAATAAGACATTACCAGGAGAAAATGTTTGGAGATGAAATTATTTACAAAAAGAGAGACAATAAATGGATTAAGTTAAGCGCATTTTGAATGATAATTATTACTATTAATAAATGAACGAGAATTCAGTGAAAAGATTAATAATAAAGAGGGTAGGGCACTGAAGAATCTCTCATATCTCGAGGTGGATAAGAATCTCTCATGTCTCGACCATGGATGGGAAACGGTTGAGGTTCTCGACCTGGATAAAGAACTGAAACACCATCACGACCTGGACCCATATTCGGCCCAGCATTTGAACCAGAAACTCTCTGGACGGGAAAACCAGCACTAATACCACCGGGTTTCGATGGGCCTGTCTGAATTGGGATCAGTGAAGAGGTAGATGGATGAGGTCCAACGAGACTTTGAGCTCTCATTTGCTGTTGATAATCGTAACGTAATTTACTAGCCTCATACTCAGCGGCTTCAATTTGCTGTTGATTATCACCGTAAGGTCCTGGTGCACTTGGAAATATATGATAGGGTGTACCTTTCACCTCATACCCAAGTTGTGGAGGTGCTCCTTGAGGGTAATATAAATAGTTACCAGATTGAGTTCCTATAAAAGATAAGAAAATCAATTAGTTGTGACAAAAAGAATCAGCAATATGAATAGAATCAATTGATTAGACAAAAGAAGCCAATTGATGTCGATTCAATTACCCAATGGGTTAAAATCTCTTAGTACATTAGTTATTGAGATAATGAGCATAAAAGGTAAACCCAATTGAATCTCATTGAATACAAAACCAGGGGAGATAATTAATGATGAAAACATCGCCACTTCAATAAGCCTACAATTGTTTTCTTATCTACCTGTATGTTGAGCAATTCATTATCAATGGCGGTTAAATAATAGATAAATATGTCAACTCTTATAAAGATTATCACATGCGATAAATTGAATGAAGCCAAAGTTGAATGATGAGTCTCTTTAAACAATAAATAAGAGTAAATAAAAATGACCAATGTGTATAAGTTGATCTGGATGACCATTGGGCTATTTAGGCTTTTCAGTTTATCGATGATGATTTGGGATAAAATGATTATCATACTTGGTAAGGCTGGTGTATATGACATTGGATTCTTGTAGACCGGGAGTATTCCTGTGTAAGGCACACCGGGCGGTGACGGACTCTTCTCGTAGGACCTTTGAAGAGGCCGTTTTAATCCTTGATTAGCTGATTGGGACATTACACCGGCAACTGAATGCATGGAAACCGGTACAACTTGAGTATGATTGGTAGCAGATTGTTGAGAGATGTAATTATTAACATTATTGGAAACAATGGAGGTCATTGGAACACTAAGATTAGGATTTCTATGATACATTGGCGATTGACAATTGGCTACACTGGCCGCAGACATCATACTGGTCGGGATGTAATAGGGATGATAAACATGATTATTCAACAATTGGGGTCCAGTTACTTCGGGCTCTCTTTCCCTTGGTTTTTTACGAACGGTTGGGCCTTCATTAAGAACTTTCTTCAATTGAGAGAAAAGGTCAGTTTTCTCTTTTCTCATATCTTTCAATTTGGTCTCCAATTTATTAAGCTGATCTTTAATCTCTTCCAATGTCATGGCATCTTTTTTACGTTTAAGCTCTTGCTCCCGGCGAAGTCTTTCCTGTTCAGCATCTTGTTCTTGCTCTAGAAATTGAGACAAAAGAAAAGAAGGGAAATAAAAGAATAAATCATAAATCCAATGAAATAGTAAAAGTAGAAAAAAAATAGAAAATAGTATTCATGTAATATAATAAACAAAGAAAAACCATCAAAGTGAATGAATGACTTACCTTGTTTCCTTTTCTCTCGCTGCCTAATTATGTGAATCTTAAGCTTCTCCCACATTTCATTAGACATTTTTGACCTTTCAATTGGAATCAACGAGGGCATTTTCATTCGAATATTTAATTTAAATAAAAAGAAGAAGAAAAAAGACTAAAATATCAGCAGTAAACAAAGAAACAAACACAATGGAAACGAGTGAGAATGAGACTCAATGAGAAGTGGAAGCAAAAAAAGAAATGGAAACTCAGCTGATCCTTTTCTTCATTTTCTCTCATTCAACCTCGTGTTTACTTCCAATTCAATTCTAATTAATTTAAATTACATTTTACTTTTTATTCTTATGTTTAATTTAACCGATAAATTAATTAATCAACTAAACGTGACCTCGAGTTTATCCAGAAAAATAACTGTTTTCAATCAATTCGCCCCTGATTAAGTATCTCAACACATTCGGTTGAGTTTATTTTGCTTTCTAACATTTACTTTGTTTGTGACTCTCTTAATTTCTGGTTTTTTTGTATCTTTGTTTTCTTTATTCATATTTAATTGTTTCGAATCAAAATGGTCAAAGGTGAGAGTGATTATCTATTTTATTTCTAATCATGGGTATTATCTATCAGTTGTATTGATTGTGTTTTCTTTTCTTTTCTAGATGATGGTAAAAGGCCTAACGACTATGGCGATGAACCGGAAAAGGCGAAAAAGGTGAAAAAGGTGAAAACCGAAGGAGATAAGGACAGAATTGAGGAGAATAATAAAACTAGACCATTGGAAGATTCTCAAGATCAAAGTAAAATTGCAGCCAAAAAATCGAAATTAATTAATTGTGATTGGGGTCTAGGAAAGGGTTGGTCGAACAAGAAGATAAACAAGTATCAAATGACGAAAGAAGAGTTTTTTGATTACATTAGAAATCACAAAACTTTATCAACAACTAATCTAATTGATATTCGGGGATATGGTAACAATTATTAAGAAACGAAGATGACATTTTTCAATTTTCTGTTCAATTTCGTGTATCTAAGCCAAACCATTACTTTAATCAATTTCTTTTGGACAATCGGACATCCAACAATCACCAATAATACCAAATGAGATGAATTCGCAATACTTTTTTTATCCAAAAATTAATCAAACAATTAGTTCAGAAAATCAATTTCCTTAATTTTCTCAACCTTCATTTCCAACAATTGATTTTTCATGATCGTTGGTTCATCTGTCAATTAGAATCCAGATCTTCACTTTTCCCTTTTTACCTGAATGATGATGTTAATCAAAAACTCATTTCCATTCAAGTTGTTACAGTTAAGAAAATTCAATTAAAAATTATTCTCTGGTAATTAAGCTGTTAACAAGTTCTTTTTAGTTCCTTGTTCAGACAATTTTCGTAAATATATCTTCTAATATCTGATCTTCGGTGCCTTGAAATTTTGGGTGAGCAGCTCAAATGTCCGTCAGCTCAACATTTTCACTTGAAGCTCATTTTTTTCTCAGCTTGTAGTTACAGCTACATATGAAAATGGGCCTAATTGCTAACAAATTGTGTTTGTTTAAATTAGATTAGGTTAGGTTTTCACTCTTAAGGATCACTGTGGACAAAGGGGACCGAGGACAATCAAATCGTCACAAAATTAGTAAAAAATGTCCGCTGTCGACACCTGATAAGCTTTGCCTTTCGATGTTCAGTCAAATTCTGATGTTAAAGAGCTAGATAGACCTTAAAGTGTCGCAAATTCTTAGACTTTTTCATTAAAACACAAAATTTGTTTTAACTAATTAATTTTCGCATGAAACCGTATCCTTAAGCTGAGAGAAAAATCAGTAATAAGTTTCATTTTGTTGATCGAAATTATTTCATCTTCCTGCTAACGTAGTCAATCTTTTAATTTGAACAATCTACTTTTGGAATGGATGAAAATACATTTTTACAGTTTTTTCGAATTGACCTACAGTGATTTTCGTGGATTATGTGGTCAGAGATATTGAATTTTTCTTGATTTCTCAGCACAATCTTCGAGTCTCGTAACAATTGGAACGAGAAGCTGAATTTTTAGACCAAACAGATCTGTGATAGAAGCTACAAATCAGATTAATCTATCAACAAGATATCATGTGATTCAATTGCAAAATGAATTACCTGAAAAGAAAACAATTCACTATGATAATCGTTTAATTCACTGATCAATCAACCTTTTCTTAAATGATTCTTTCGTAACACAACTCAGCATTTTCTTACGTAACGAATTATTTCAACCAATTGATAAACGATAAGAATAGTGACCAATTTTTTTACTGATAATTGGTGAAACACTACAACATCAATCTGAACAATTAACAATCATGTTAGTTGCCAAATTTCTCACTTTGGACCTTAAGATTCCCTCGAACTTCAACCTAATACAATTGTAATTTTATTCTAAACAGTGAAACATTATATTCGCAAAGAAGATGCAATTTTTTGTCTCTGATATTTCGTTGAAATTTGAAAGTTCGAGAAACTTAATATCCACCACGAAGATGTCTGTCCAGAAAATGGCCATTAATCATTTTCGAAATGCGTAAAAATATCAATGGTGTTTATTTGTCTTGGATCATGAAGTTAATCTAAGCAAAGGAAATAAGATCCATCCTAAAACAAGGAACCAAAATTTTCTAATGAAAAATAAGAGTTTCTTTTTTTGGAACTTACAGTTAAAAGTGGAGAAAGATTTAGATATCGAACTAAAGTTAAATCACTTGTCGATATAATGGTTTGTTAACCAATCACTCCTCCCAAATGGTAACCAAATAAGGCTCATGTAAGAAAGAAGATGATGATACTCATGGAGAGAAGATGAAGATGAAGTTACTCGTTTTTCTCTTCAAAATGTTAGAAAAACGATTTTCTCTTGTAAATCCTCCTCCGCATCTCTAAATTTCCTCATCTCATTCTAGTATTAACCTCCACGTTTGGTCTCGATTGATTTCACCAACTGAGCATTTCTATCATCCAATATCTTCCGAAAGTCTCTCCTTCATCATCCTCATTTACGAATTTCAATTTTCTCATCATTTACTGAAATTAGTGGAAATTGTTCATTGGGATCCTCATACGAATCAGTGTAAACAACATCGTTCACTAAGATTATCATAACTGTCTCCGTTATAATAGTTTTAAGATTAATTTTCTATTGATTGTCCAGTTTAATCACCCTTATTATTTGTGTTTGAAACTCTAATTAAATCATCAAAATGTCGAAAACTCGAACGGACTCTTCAAAGAAACGAGCAACTCGATCAACGTCCAATGTGTTTGCAATGTTTACTCAAAATCAAATTGCTGAGTTTAAGGAGGTAAGTGTCACAATTAACTTAAACTAATCCGATGATTTGAAAAGTTAATCGTAAATTATATTCAATTATGACTCGTTTAAGCTTATGAGTTAATCTGTATGCTAAGTATGAAGAGTGGATTGTCATGACCAATACTAATCAGTGTTATCGCAATTAGATCAATTGAATTTCGCGATATTGCAAATGTTTGATTCTGTTTTTTAATCCAGATTAGTTGAGATAATTTCTTGATAAATTCATAGAATCTAAAGAGTAATAGCTTCTTATTACTCTCTGGAAGTGAAAAGAAATGGAAGCTCAGCTGATTATTGCTCTTTGATGAAATCGCTCAAAAACTATCGCATCTCAATTGTATCAGTTGATTTGATAATTGATACGATAACAAGTTGTTATCATAATCCGATTGTTGAATATTTTGTTATCATTTCAATCGTAAGTAAGACAAGTAGGATAAAGATTAGCTGTTAATCTTGCCAAGATTATCTCTCAGCTATTCTTACAATCATATAACAATCAGTGAGAAATCAGTGAGTTTGCCTTTCAATCATTTGTCAAAATTAAAGGGCAAAGACAAAATCAATCGATAACTTTGATCAACAATTTAACATTTCAACTTTGAGCGAGAATAAAATTTCCTGGATCTAATCCAAGTTGCGAGTTGAGCTGAATCAGAATTATCTAAACTACTAAACAATTAACTCTCTTTCTAATTGGCTTAGGTTTTAGTTGATTAATTTTCCTCTTGAAAAAAGCTCACCAATACCGAATATAATTAGAAATAAAAATATTCTCATTCTAAACAATCAACTAATTACTCTATTTTCCTTTCAAAGGCATTCCAATTCATCGACTCAAATAAGGACGGAATCATCGATAAAAATGATCTTAGAGCGACTTTTGATTCTCTTGGTAAATAAAATCGATCGAAAAACCTAATGATTAACTAATTGATTTTCTAACCAATTAAACAGGTCGAATGTACCCCGATGAACAATTACAATCAATGTTAGCCGAAGCTCCTGGACCATTAAACTTCACGATGTTCTTGTCAATCTTTGGTGAACGAATTGCTGGTAAGTGATCAACAATTTAATCTAATTGTTGGCAAGTTACTAATTCGTTAATGATTCCATTTAATTGTAATAGGAACTGATCGAGAAGATGTTATCCAAGCTGCTTTTAGAACCTTCGATGGCGATCAAACAGGAAAAGTCCACGAAAATGTCCTGAAAAAAGCGCTAATGACCTGGGGCGAAAAATTAACCGACGATGAGATCGAAGTAGCATTTCGAGAAGCTCCAATCGATAGTCGAGGATTTATTGACATTAACGGATTCGTCAAAACAATTAGTGGCTCTGCCGACGAGGAATAATCTTATTAATTGCCAATAATTAAAAAAAATCAACAATGAAAAAAAATTGATAATCAACAATCAACATGAAAACAATTAAGTCTCATTGTAAATTTGATCAATCAGATCAAATCAGTGAATATATTATTTCAATTTATTCGGAAATTTGATGAATTCTCTTGACAATCAATCAGATGGATAATTTATTCGTCTATTAAATTAAATTATCAATCAACTTTTCCTTTGACGATTGGATTTTTGTTAACAAAAGTAACAATCAAATCGATGTCCATTTGGGATTATTAATGTAGAAAACAATCAATCAGATTAACTGAGAGATATTAATAAATAGATTAGATTAGATTAGAAACCAATTGATCAACTAGTCAAAAATATTTTTCTAATTAAAAATTATCGATAAAACTTATCGAATGAACTTGAACTTTGGTCAATATTTCGAGTTCTGAAAAATAATATTCCAGAGAAACGATATATCGACTATCGATATCGAATTGAGTCAATGCTGAGTCAGAATATTTGTCAACAATTTGTTGTTTACTCTTTGGTGTTTCGCCTAATTCAGTTGATACATTAAATTTTTTGTTTAATTAGTGTTGATTTAGTGACTAATTGGTAGAATGAGGAAGTTAGTCTACTTATTTATTTACTTAGTGAATGCAATTCCTGGAATTGTGATGCAAACCGGTGGTGTCGATGGTGGAAAACCTGAGGTATGTTGACACGCAACTGATTTGAATTACATTTTTTAATCTCGATATGATGTTGGAGACCTTTCGAGTGTCAACTGAAGGGCACTCTGTCAAACGTATCGAAGAGTAATGGTGTGATTTAATCCAACTTTCAGGGAACTTTGTCTCTTCATAGTCGGAAAAATCATTCTACAGCTTTTATCTTTCATCTCTTTTTCAGCTTGGAGGTGGACTCGCTACTGTTAAAGTGGAAAAGGCAGAGATTGGAATTGCCGACAAAGATCAATCTGGTCCATTGAAAACGACTCCTCTTCAATTTCCTCAGTATAGTAGCAACATCTTGGAGGTCGATCAGCAACAGAAAGTGATCTTGAAATTTTCTTTGAAAGATACAAATTCAAATGAGCCTTTAACTGCCCACCAAGTTTTCGTCCAGGTTTTGAATGATGAAAGTAAAAAAGAACACGTTTATGTAGCGGAAATGGAAACTGGCACCGACACTTATAAATTTGATCTCAATTTAGCCCAACGAGGAAAAGATTTGGGCTTCAATTCTGGTCTTTATCATATCTCTTTGATCGTAGGTGATTCGATGATCAATAATCCGTTCGTTTGGAAATTAGCCTCAGCTCGAGTGACATTTACTTCTGGTCAAGCACAAGCCCTTCAAGATAAAGGTCCATGGATGAAGTCGACTTACAGTCCAAAACCAGTGATTAATCACATTTTCCGTGAACAAGACAAGCGACCGCCGACCTTTGTATCGGATACTTTCGCATTATTAACCTTAGTACCAGTTTTGATTCTGTTTGGATTATGGGCTAAACTCGGTGCGAATCTTTCTGGTTTCTCATTCTCTTTGAGTGGGTTACTTTTCCATCTCGGGTTAGGTTCAATCTTCGCCTTGTTTACATGCCTGTGGCTCCAATTGAACATGTTCACCACAATTAAATACCTTTTGGGTCTCGGGCTCATCACTTTTCTATCCGGTCACAGTTTATTAAGCAAATTGGCGAGTAAAAAGGGCGACAAATAGCTTTGTAATTAAATTAATTAGTCTTTTTTCCTCAACAATTAAAGAGTATATTTATATGACCATTTTTAACCAAACATAAATTGAATTTCATTTTACTTTCCAATTAATATTTTCGCGAGAAAATTGATTATCTCACCAATTGATCTTTTCCCAGGACAATTAGTCTAAAATTACTCAGGAAATTAAACAATCAAATTGATTATCAAATATTTGGTTACTCGAAAAGAAAAAGTAATTTGAGTTGATTGTTTCTCTCTAATTAACTACAATTAATGAGAATAATTCTTGGTCAAGTTAACTTTTCATTCGGAAGAGGGAATCGGTTGAAGGTCCATTTAAATGGAGTTCGAGTGGACTAAAAGTCGGCGTTTGTTTATATCAGTTCATTTGTACATTTGGTCTATTGAATAAAAAATGGTAAATTGAATAGAATTAAATGTTAGACTAAAATTCATTTTTAATCGTTTCTTTGACTTTCATCTCATCGATCTATGTCTTAGCCATTCTCGCCTTCGTGGTTTTCATCCCATCAAATGAGTCACACCGAATCTTAAGGAAAAAATTCGTGCACATACTAGAGAAAGATTGTAGAACTGGAAGAAATCATTTAGCCAGTCAGTTCATTTCAGAAACATTAGCTCGTTCTGACGCAAAGCTATTCCAGTGTCATGAATGTATGAAAAGATTCACATCAAAAAGTAGCCTCATTCATCATGTAGGTCTCGACATGAATACGAATCAAATAAAACATTGTTTTCAAAACAATAATCTTGTTGACTATTCAAAGTCGCTTAAAAAAGTTACAAACTTCAAGAAGATCAGATCACATCAGATAACTGTTAAATTATTATCTCCTTTGATCTATGATTTAAAGTAAAACTAAAATGTCATTTGGTGGATTATCGTGACTCGCTGATGAATTGCATGAATCACAAGATGAGGTTAATTTATATCGTCAACTTAAAATGAAAATATTTCTCAATACACAGAGGCCGCTATTCCCTTGTAAATTGATAAACTAAATGAACATTAGAAAGTAAAAATAACCTCAAAGTTTACGTAGATCGATCATCATCTTGTCTATCATCTTTGTCTTCGCCATCTTCTCCTTCATCGTGTTTATCGTCATTCGAGAAAAAGATTTATAAATGTAAATTTTGTTCTAAGGTATTTGGTCAGATGTCAAATCTTAAGTGTCACGTTCGTGCACATACTGGTGAACGACCATTTGTTTGTAGAATTTGTCAGAAATCGTTTATCTAATTAGCTCATTAGTAAAAACATCAGCTCATTCATATCGTCGAGAAGTCATTCTAATGTGACCTGTGTCTAAAACGATTCTCATCCAAAAGTAATCGCAACGATTACCATCATTCGAGAGTTCATCTTATCAATAGTTCCTATGTAGCTCACTTGTGTGACACAAGTTGTGTCGTTTGCTCCTTCATGATGGTACCTGTGAGGGGCATATATATTTCAATAAGTTGTACGATTGTTTGAATTTTTGAACAGCAAAGTAGAGAAATGTTTTAGCACAAAGATTTTTCAGTAATGATGATAATGATATCTGTTGAAGTTATCGTATAATTATTGTAGCTATCAAGAAAATTGTGCTGCGTTTATCAGTGTCGTATATGTGCTAATGTTTGTTGAAGAAGGTGAAATGATCTTTAGACTATGAAAAGAGTTCAAGTAATTTTTATGAATTGAGAGTGTTGAATGCAATTTTATTCTTAGAGGGAGTTATGATGTCAATGGAGTTGATATTAAGCATTACACAAACCATTGTATTTAGTTTTTCATTCTCTATTCAAAAAAATTCTATTTTTCAGGAAAAATTGCAGGTTCTTTTAATTGTTTAAGGTTTCTACTTTGAATCCTTTCCAATCGATTGGTAAATTGATTAACTAAATCAAAATTAAAAATTAAAAATAACCTCATAGTTTACGTAGATCGATTTCCTTTCTAATTTACTATTATAACAAAATCCTTTAAATCTCCTTTTCTGTTTGATTGTATTTCCTTTTCATAAGATAAAATTTTATATTCAGGGCTATTCAACTCCATTTTACGCATATTATTAGTTATAAGTCAAAAAATAGTGACTTTAAAAAGATCAGACCTATTACAAATGTATATCAGAACTGAAGAACTACATATAAAAAGTTTCAAGACCATGGAGGCCATTTCATGATAAAATTTCTGAGAATTTTCTGAGATTTCCATCTCCATGTAGAGGTCATTGAAGGTTTTTTGAAAAGAAGAAGAACCAGAAATTATCTCAATATTGAAGTTTCGGTGTTAAAATTAGGGTCCGTACTTTGTCTATGGAAGTTTGGACGACACTCAAAAGCCATATTTCAAGGTCATAAAGGTTATTCAGAGAATAACACATTTGAAGGTCATTTGAAGAACATTTGAAAACTAGAAATTTTTTCAAGCCCTCGGAGTCCAAATTGTTTCTCTGTTCGTTTGAAGGTTGATTAATGAAGGTTCGCTTCATTCGTCAGACCCTACAAATTGAATCGACACCTTCGTTCCAATAGTGACCTTATATTTGCGACATCGTTGGATGTTAAAAATCATTTACGTGCAAGTTTTATCTCGCCAAACATAAGAAGAGACCTCATGGTAACATTGAAATGGAAATTGAATTTCCTTCGGTTATCAGGGAGAAAAGATATAATTGTGTTAGGTTAGGTGTTGATTGTTTGAAAGAATTTGTAAGTAAATTTCTACACCTAACCTAACCTAACCGTCAACAAATGTCATATCTGTGATAAAATTTTCGTCAAAAAATGTAACCTTAAAGATCACATTAAGGCTCATAAATTCCACTGCAAAATCGAGGGATGTATCTTTCGTTCGTAAATGTCAATTGAAGGAGCACCTTGGTACAGATCACATTCTGCCGAAAGAAAGTTACAATTGCCTCAATTGTGGTACTAAATTTGACGATCAATTAATACTCGCTCAACATGTAAAGTGCCATGAAAACTTCGACTCAGAGGTAATTTCATAAATGATTAGATCCTCGATTGTCATGGTTTACGCATTTTCTCAGATTCCGGTTATTTTATCCAAGAAAATGATCTCCCCGTATTGTAAAAGTTTGGCTCAAGAATTGTCCGATTTCGAGGCCAATGAGAAAGATTTTTAAATCTGATAATCTGTGGGTTTCGATTTGAGCAAAATACTGAGAAAATCTCATGACAAATATTCATCGTTCAATTCAATTAAACTGTTGTCAACTGTCATCTATTAATTGCAATATTAATAATTCGTTCAACTGAATATTCTAAAAACTGTTAAATTATATCCTCTGATCTGTGATTTCTAACTAAAAGCTGTTCAGGTCCAGTGTCAAACGTTTTAGCTCTCCTTCCCATCCTATCGGGTTCTTATAAAATCTTTTTTTCGATCTTAAACACGATCAAGTATTTTGGCCAATCTCGAATTAAAACTAAAACTAAAACTAAAACTAAAACTAAAATGTCATTTGGTGGATTATTGTGACTCGCTGATGAATTGCGTGAATCAAAAGATGAGGTTAATTTATAACATCAACTTAAAATGAATATATTTCTCAATACACAGAGGCCGCTATTCCCTTCTCCGTGTTTACCCTCATTTGAGAGTTCATCTTGTGAGGAATCGTCTTTCTGTGGGACTAATTAACTTGAAGCACTATTAGCACTTTATGAAGCTTCTGAATCATCTTTGTCTTTACCGTCTACACTCTTCCTGAAAACTGATGGGTGAAAGATCAATAAAAAATAAAAATTCGTGTGTTGGACATATTAGTGAAATCGACCCAGAGTTGTTAAATTGTCTCTTGAACTGCAAACCGAAACACTTGAATGATGTTACATTGATGACTTCGGAGGATGTAGGCATTATACAGTTGGTGCTTTTTATTTTATTCGTTTGAGCATCTTGGTTGATAAAAGCAAATTAATAGATAAAAATGTAGATTTGGTAATTTTAAATTTATCTAATCAATCATTTTGATTAAGTTAATCTTTGCCAAAGATGCGCAAATGATTCAAAAAAAGCACTAACACAATTTTCACGGTTGTATGTACACCTACACTCCAAAATTTTAAGTAATTCTACATTCGCAAGCATGATCGTTGTTGCTCGTTATTAAGTAAATTTTAATTGTTTAAGTTTTTACTATCAATCCATTCCGATTGATTGGTAAATTGATTAACTAAATCAACATTAGAAATTAAAAATAACCTCATAGTTTACGTAGATCGATTTCCTTTCTAATTTACTAATTTAATTTACTTTCACAACAGAATCCTGGTTTTATGGTCAGTTCATCTTCTTATCAAACAATTGTGATTAACTTCGTTGCAAGATCTTGTATTTAGAATTATAGAAATTCTATACTTGTTATGAAGATTTCTGTTGATTGTTCATAAGTTAAATCCTAATTGTTCAAAGTTTCTACTTTCAATCCTCTCCTTCTTAATAAACTGTGTGTTTCGATTTGAGCAAAATACTGAAAAAATCGCATTACAAATATTAATTGGTCAGTTCAACTAAACTATTGACAACTGTCATCTAATTTGAACTTGATATTCTGAAAACTTATTATTATTTTATCCTTTGATCTATGATTTAAACTCAAACTTAATTTTGTTCCGAGGTATTTGGTCAGATGTTGAATCTTTCATGAAATTACCTTCAGATGACCTTGCAACGCTTTCTTTCATCAATGGCCTGCATGACCTTGATCTTTTAATATAACAATTGAGTATCGCTCTAACTCATAGCACTCGTTTTGAGTCTATCTGACTCATAGTTGCTGAGCAATCCACAAAAAAACCTCAGTAAAAATAGCTCTTTAGCCATAATGCAAGCAGCACAAACGTCTGAGTAAGTGTATGTTGCAAAAAGAGACTGAAAAGCGATTGAGAGAAAAAGACTGAGAAAGAGATTGAAAAAGAAAAAAGAACAGAAAGATAAACACAAAAATTCATTTACAAAAAATAAACTCATTCATACTGACGTGAAGCCATTCTAATGTGATCTATGTTCAAAACGATTCAAATTGAAAATAGCATTAACATCATTCGAGAGTTTACCTTAGTTGATAGAAAGTTTGCTTGTGCTGTTTGGAATGCGGGATGGTACCTGTGATCGGTCAATATACAAATGTGTATGTATTTTTTCTCAAGATGTATGATTGTTTTTATTTTTCGAACAGCAAGATAGCGAAAACTTTTATGATAGAAACATAGAATTTTGCAGAAATCATTTAACCAATTATCTCATTTACAGAAACATGAACTCTTTTATTAATATAATGGTGAGAAATCATTCAAATGTGAATACGAGAAAATGGAATTGATTTTGTAAGTACAGCTTATTTTTTGTTGTGGTTTATTCGTAAGATTCAATTTTTATCTTTAAATATTGGAGTAAATTTCACTGCGTTCTTTTCGTAGACGCAGATCTTAGTTAGATCGAAGTTTTTAATTAATAAAATGGATGAGACCAGCAGCATATGCGTTTGCTAGAGCGTTCTTTTTTGGATTTAGTCGGAAGATTTTCCTTGTAAGCCAACACTAATAATGGTGAGACAATTGACTCAAACCTTTAGATTTTGTCATCAAGTTGATCAAGGATCATCGAGTTTGTCCTTTGAATCCTCTGCAAACCTCTTCATAATAAACTTTTAGTTTCGATTTAAGCAACATACTTACATAAATATAGGAAAAGAGGAAATATTACAAATTGTATAATTCAGTTAAACTGTTATCAACTGTCATCTAATTTGTTTAATTGAATTTTCTATTATATATATAGTATTTTATATAACTGTCTTCTTTGATTTGTGATTTGAAATAAAGTTTTAATCCAGGATAATTAGCATTTTCTAAAACGGCTTGTTTGTAGGTGAAGCGAATTGATTGTCAATGAAAAGATGGTGATTTTAGTTATTTAGTAAATTATTGTAAAAGATAAATCGATTAATGATATTAATTAACCCATGTTAACCATTTCATTTCCAATTGATTCATTGATTCCATCAGTCCAATAACCTAACCTAGCCAAACACCTTCTCATTTGGTGGATCAAAGTTCGAAAATTCTCTTTGGAATAAGCACACAATTTTCGAAAAATATTAATTTACTTTACTACTATTACAGTAAGACAACCTAATAACACAAAGCTGCTCAGTTCCAGTATCAAACTTTTTTGGTCATCCTTCCCATCGTATCAAGTGCTTTTATAACCTTTTTCTTCGATCATAAACACGTTCAAGTATTTTGGTCACTCTCAAACTAAAACTAAAAATGTTAATAAATTGGTTGAATGTTTGAGTTGGTAAATTGTAAATTTGAAAATTAATCAAGAGAAAAAATTATTTAACTTGATTCAACGTTTGATTTTTGCCATAATTTGAGAGTTTATCTTGTGAGAAATCATCTTTCTGTGAGACTAATTAACTTGCAGCACTATTAACATTTTCTGAAGCTCTGAATCATTATCTTCCCTAGTATTTTTGTCTTCACCATCTTCCCCTCGACCTTCATCATTGTTTATTTTCATTCGAGAAAAAGATTTATAAATGTAAATTTTGTTCCAAGGTATTTGGTCAGATGTCAAATCTTAAGTGTCACGTTCGTACATATACTGGTGAACGACCATTTGTTTGTAGAATTGGTCAGAAATCGTTTATCTAATTAGCTCATTAGTAAAAACATCAGCTCGTTCATATCGTTGAGAATTCATTCCAATGTAATCTGTGTCTAAAACGATTCACATACAAAAGTAATCTTAATCATAAATATCTACATGCATACGAACCAAAGGAAGCTGAGAACAACAAAAACAACAATAACCATATTGATATCTGTAATTTACCTTGAATTTTCATGACACTGACCTGAATAGTCTATATGTACCAGACCACCCGTAATTGCCCATTGGCTACCATATTATTCTATAATCTATATACAGTAAACTCTTGGTCAATGCATAAAATTGTGGGTTAAATTGCAGTTAATTTACGCTAGACTGCGTCAGCTTTTTACGGCCTTTGTCTTTGGATTTTAGTTTCTATTCTCATGCCACCTAGTGGGAACCACAATTTTATATGTTTGTTGAGTTATGCATTAACCGAGAGTTTACTGTATAATAGTCTAAAACCTTTGCTGTTAAGGCTTGTTATCAAGTTAAACTAAAAAGCACATCTATATACATGTATATATCTATATCTTCATTTTCATTTCATCTTTTCCAGTTTGTAACATTAGTACACTGTGGTAAGAAAATTCGTGTGAAAGAGGATGGGGGTCGAACCGAATTTAGAAATGTAAATGTTTCTCTGCGCATCTCTAACCCCCATTTCCCCTCACACGAACTTTCTTACCACCCTGTACTTACTCTGACTAGAATTTTATAAATTTTAAATCGTTTGCGCACCGAATTTATTTTGATTTTACGCTTTAGCTGAACTAATGCAGTTTAAACGAGTTCCGCCCTCGAAATATGTGCATTGTGTTGATTTTTTAGATAATTCAAAGATTTGTTACCAGCTTTCAAAAGATTTAAATCAGCTGTAATTTCTACTAGGTGACTCAACATGTATAGTAGGAAAGTGCATTGCGCTTGCGAGTTTTGCAAACCGACTTACTGCTGCAACTACTGCAGAAGAAGTTCATTTCGGACCTTGGTGTCATGAACTTGTATATTTGAGCTAATCATAATAAGCTGGGCCAAGTTTGTAAATAAACCAGTCTCGAGAAATATTAAATTACTTTCCTACTATTCCCGTTGGGAAACCTATTAACTTAAGGCTGTACAGCACCAGTATCAAACTTTTTTGGTCATCCTTCCTATCTTTTCAAGTCATTTTATAATCTTTTGCGATAATAAACACGATCAAGTATTTTGGCCACTCTCAAACTAAAACTAAAACAAAACACAATTATATCAATACATGTATATTATACAGCCATGAAAATTGAGTTTGTTTTCTTTTAGATGTTCGGTGGCTAAAGAATCATTCAGAACTTCATGTAGAGTGTGAATTTTGCAAAGTTGAAATTGTCGATCTAATTGAACGACTTCATCCTGCAATTTTTTTGGGGAAGAGATTTTACAAAAACTTGAGATAAGCCGACATCCACAAGCTTGATTTATAAATAGGATTTTTATTGTTATTGATGATGTCGACCACACGCACGAATCTATTTTCTAATTTATTATTTATTCAACTATTCAAAAAAAACTTCATAAAAAACTTGAATGATCAAGATACTAACAAAGGTCAATTTAACTTGCAGGATCTAGAAACAGAATATAACTTGACCAATATTGTGATTAAAATATTACAAACAAACTTAGATAGTATCGAATAACACTACCAATCGATTCATCTTATTTACCTTTTTGCTCTTTCAGCTCAAAGAGAAGTTGATGGTTGTTTTCATTTATTATCTTTTCGACATTCAGCATATCCAGGTGCTGATATAGAATATTGTTAAGCCAATCACAGGCGTTCCACGCGCACTGACCATTTCTTTATAAACCTGAACTAAGTGTAAAGTTGGGTCACTTCTCTTAAGACTCTTGAGTGATACTTTACCCTTAGGTCATAGATTGTACCCTTAACAATAAACCAATTTTCACATTTACAACCCCATTGAGTTCTCGTTGGGTCAGTTTACCCTTCAACCTTTATTTTTACTCGTTAGTACTAAACTTGTACTTAACAATATTCGACCGGAAATACACCTTTTGTACATTTATAATGAGAGGCTAATTCCATCATCTGTAAATGTCAGTGTTGATGATCGCGTGATCGTTCAAAATGATATTTAGTGATGGCGTTATACAGCTATGGACACTAAGTTTCGTACACTTTCAATAACTGTTGCATAGAGTTGATTCTTCAATCAATTTACTTTCTATTATAACATTGTGCTAAAAATCGAGTAAGTTTATCGTGTTAATTCTGTGAAACCGATTTATTTCGTGACTGTGTACTTCAAGTGATCTTGCCAAGTTACTCATTTGAGAGAGAGAGAGAGTCAAGAAACTTCAACACTGAACTATCCCTAATTAAACTGTGAAAAGACACTAGAATTGAACAATCTTGAAGACATTGTTTCAATTTACCAAACCAGAAAGAAGAAAAATACGTTGAGCTAATCAGACCCATTGTATAACCAAAGGAGAGACCAACCAAGAACCCCGAATTAAAGTAAGATTGTTCCTTGATTAATTTACATTTGAATTTTGATTTAAAACTTAAGATGAGCGATAACGAAGAAATTTTAGACGAGCACCAGCTCAATCGTTTGAGTATGGATATTTCAAGCAACTTGATGAGCTCAAGCTTATATACGGTCCCCACCTTTCGTGGTGATGATAATTCCAATGCTAAAGCATGGATGAAAAAGTTTGAGACTATCTCTGAACACTTTGAATGGTCTGATGATCAAAAAAGATTGAGGTTCAAGAGCCATTTAGCTGGGCCTGCCGCTAATTGGTATTATTTGCGAGTTGAACAAGCAGAGATAACTGAGTTTAGTTCTATAAAAGAACGATTTATTGGTGATTTTACTGGCGAAGATCAGTTGGAAAAAATGAAAAGAAGAAAATTGAATAAATTTGAGAAGATACAATCATACGTTTATGATAAAGTTGGACTTTGCAAAGAAGTCAATAAGAACATGACAGAGGATGAAATTTTGAATTATATTTATGAAGGAATGCCAGTGAAATTGAGAAATGCTATTTGTATTGCTGGGCCAAAAGATTATTATGAATTAATAAACATTGGGAAGCGATTGGAAAATGTTCCCGTTTATACTCAAGAAGAGGAGAAAGTAGAAGAGAAAAAGGTTTCTGAGAATCCTACGATGAAAATGCTTGAACAATTAATGATGGAGGTTAATAATTTGAAATTATCCTCGACAAATTACCCACGAAGACCACAAGGTTATGGTCAAAACAACAATTATCAAGGTAATCGAAATTATGGAAATCGACCACGATTCCCAAGAAATCATGATGGTGAAGTAATGTGTTACACTTGTGGAAGAAAAGGGCATGTTACTAGATTTTGCCCCCTTAATGGTCAAACTCATTTGCCCAGAAATCATCATAATTCCGGTAATTATAATAATAATTACCAGAATCGAAGATACAATAGAGAGGGCAATAATAATCAGGTAGATAGACGAATCCCTTTCATCCCTCAGAATAATCAAAACCAGAATCAACAGATGAATACTAGTAATCAACCCGTGAGCTTCATCAAAGAAGAAAATAGAATAATTGTCTCGTTGGAGATCCATAATAAGAAATTTGATGCTATAATCGATACCGGTGCTGAGAACTCATTTATCACAACTAATTGTTACTCAGCATTAAACTGTGAACTAAAACCTTGGACAGGTGGAAGTATTAAAGGAATAAATGGTTCATTAAAAATACCAATTGGTGAGGTAAAAGTTCCTGCGATTATGAAACAAGATGAACGAAAAACTAAAGTTAATTTTGAGGCTCGGGTATTGGAATACCTGCCTTATGATATTATTATTGGGATGTCAACGATGAAAGAAGCAAAGGCTTTAATTGACCCCGTTGAAAACAAAATATTCTTCAGAGAAGAAATAGAAAAAGAAAAACAAACAGTAATGCCAATAAATGAAATTGAAAAGCATGAAACAAATAACGCAAATGGATTCATAGTGAATCAAACTGGAATAATTGTTCCTCCTAAAAGTTCAGTTATAATCAAAGTGCAAGCTCAACCAATGAAAAACTTTAACGAAAAAGTAATTATAACCCCGGCCCCTAAATTTAATAATAGCGCCAGGTTAAAGTTTAGCCTAAATGAAATTGAATTCAAGAAAGGTTTGAGCGAAGCTACAATTTGTAATACAGAGGATTTCAGTTTTTACATTAAATCAAATGAGACAATCGGCCAAATCAAGAAAATTTGTAAATCCCGAGAATCAGTTTTTACTGCTCTAGAAAGCAACCATGAGCTAGATGAAATAAATGCAGCTCAAGATGAGATGGAAAATGAGGTGGAACAAAACGAAATCAATGACGCTGTTAAAACTGAATTACAAAATCTTTGTTTGAGCAAAGGTACAGTTTCCATCGGTGCCTCATTAAATCACGATCGTAGAAATCAATTAGCTGAGACTTTAGAAAAGTATATTGATCGGTTCGCATTTGCTCAAAATCAACTTGGAAAGACAAGCTGTTGTCAACATCAGATAGACACCGGCAAAAATCGACCCTTTTCTTTGGCGCCTTATGGTTGCTCATTATCTGAGAGATTGGCGATAAAAACTGAAATAAATAGAATGAAAAGCCTTGGGGTAATTGTTGAGTCAACTTCCCCTTATTCATCACCAGTGATAATAGTGGGCAAAAAAGATGGTGGAGTAAGAATCTGTGGAGATTTTCGACGACTAAACAAGGACACAGTTCCAGATGTTTATCCCCTACCGAGTGTTCAAGATGCTCTTGATTGTGTCAGTGGTTGTAAATATTTCTCGTTAATTGATCTAAAGTCTGGTTATTGGCAGATAGAAATTGACCCCAGAGATAGAGAAAAGACAGCGATAATAACAAGAGATGGATTGTTTGAGTTTATTGTCATGCCATTTGGCCTCCGAAATGCCCCTGCCACTTTCCAGCGACTAATGGATTCTGTTTTGGCCGATCTAAAATGGATAATTTGCATCCCTTATCTGGATGATATTCTTATTTTCTCGAAAACTTTTAAAGAGCATCTTTCTCATATTGATAAAGTAATGGACAGATTAAGACTGGCCAATTTACTTATTCAACCGCCAAAAGTAGCTTTCGCAGTAAATGCAATAAATTATTTGGGCCATACACTAACAGCCGAAGGAATTTCGCCGCAACAAGATAAAATCAAAGCAGTCTTAGAAGTCGAAAGACCGTCTAATGTAGATAAACTAAGACAGTTTTTAGGTTTAGCGTCCTATCATCGAAGATTTATCAAAGATTTTTCAATAATTGCTAAGCCATTATCATCATTAACAAAGAAAGACACTCCCTATGAATGGAAAGAGGAACAACAAAAAGCATTTGATGACTTAAAACAAGCACTAATCTCTCATCCAATACTAGCTCATTTTGACATCAAATTACCCGTGGAAGTTAGATGTGATGGGTCATCAATTGGACTTGGAGCCATTTTGATTCAATTACACCCCGATGGTGATAAAGTTGTTGCTTACGCGTCTCGAATGACCTCAAAGCCTGAGAAAAACTATGCCATTAGTGAACTTGAAGCATTAGCTATCGTTTATGCTTTGGAAAAGTTTAGATCCTATTTAATTGGCATCAAGTTCAAGGTTGTTACTGACCACTGTAGCCTCTGTTGGATGTTTTCTAAAAGAAAATTAACACCAAGACTCACCCGCTGGGCTCTTTCTCTTCAAGAATTCGACTTTGAAGTTGTTTACAAAAGTGGTAAACATCATAAAGATACTGATTGTTTATCTAGAAACCCAGTTGACGAGCCAAACGAACCAAGAATAGAAAGAGATTTAAATTTATTAGCCATCACTGAAAGAATCAACGATTTAGAATCAGAGCAAAGAAGGAATAAAAGGCTAAACCAAATTATCGAAATGCTCGAAGGCAAGATAATTATCACACAAAAAGAAAGAAGAAAAGTTGGAAAGTTTACGATGGTAAACAACATTTTGAATAGATGTGTATTCACTAGAACCGGACCTAAATTAGTTCCAGTCATCCCATCCTCGTTAAGACGAGAAATAATGTACTCAATGCACGATGATCCTTTATCGGGACACCTGGGTCAACAAAAGACTCTTGAAAGAGTGAGATCTAGGTTTTATTTCCCTCAGATGAGAAAGTATGTAAACAATTACGTTAAGACTTGTGATGAATGTCAAACGAGGAAAAGATCTTATCTTACACCAGCGGGACTTTTACAACCCATTACTGTTGGTGGAGTAGCTGAAAGGTTTGGCATCGATATTTTAGGGCCGTTCCCAAAATCATTTAAAGAAAATAAATACATTGTAGTTTCGACTGAATATTTCACTAGATTCGCCATCGTTAAAGCTTTGCCTGAAGCAACAACAGCTCAAATTGCCATTTTTATTGTCGAAAATATAGTTTGCCAATTTGGAAGCCCAAAAGAGATTCTCTCAGACAGAGGATCGCAATTTAGATCAAAATTAATGGCTGAATTAACAGGCCTAATGCAAACCAAACATAAGTTCACGACGGCTTATCACCCTCAATGTAATGGTCTAACAGAACGATTCAACGCTACTTTAGCAAATATGATGAGTATGTACGTTGACAACGCCCATAAAACTTGGGACAGAGCTCTTCACTTTGTTGCTTTCGCTTATAACTCAGCAATAAACTCATCAACAGGCTTCTCTCCATTTTATCTTATGTATGGACGAGACCCTGTCTTTCCGCTTGAAAGATTTATTCAATCCTCAACTCAAGGATTATCAGGTCATAATCATCATAGTTATGCTGAGTCATTAACTGAACACCTGCACAACATAAGAAAAATTGCCCAAGATAATTTGAAAAATAGCCAATATCGAGGTAAAGTATTTTATGACCAAAATAGATTAGACAAAAGATTAACAGTGGGAACCAAAGTTTTAGTATTTACCCCACAGCGAAAAGTAGGAAAATCAGATAAACTGATGCACAATTGGCTGGGCCCATATAAAATAATTGAAGTAATGTCCCCTCTTGTTTACAAAGTGGAACATACACTAAAGGAAAATAAAATAGAAATTGTAAATATTTCAAGGTTAAAAATATATCACGAAAGAAAAGTATCGGATGATGAAACCACCGATGATGAAGAAACTGAAATTTTAGATAATAACGAAAGATACAATCTGGATTTACCCACTCAAATAATCAACCCGACAACAGGAGAGACTGTGTCAAATTCTAAATCAAAATCTAATTCCAATCTCGACCAAGAGATTGATGATAATGATAACAATTCATTAGTAGTAAATAAATCTGATGATGAAACAATTGTTTACAATCCTGATTATGAAGTAGATACTGAAGTGAGTCAGCATGATAATGAAGAGGAAGATGAAATGTTAAATAATAATCAACCTTTAGAAAGATATCAAAGGGCTAGACGACCACCAGCTAAATTAGCAAATTATTTTCTTTTCGGATTATTTTTATTTTGTTTTAGCGGATTCTCTCATGAAAGTTTCATTAAAAATAACCCAATAATCTGGAAAGAAAGAAAAGTTTTTATCGTTAAAGGTATTCAACCCGTGATTGTCAAGGTAAAATATGAATCACCTTGTCATTTGTTAGACGATAAAGAACTCCAATCAATTAGCTATCTTAAACCCATCATGAAATGGTGTAAACAAAGTTTTGAGAATGATTTTATAGAACCAGTGAAAAGTCTATGCCAAGAACCTAAAGTTAATAAAAGAGAAATCAAAGAGAGATCGAAAAGAGCGATCATATCAGGATTGTTAACACTGGGAACTATTGTAATCAGTTCATTTCTAAGTGTAGGAATAGGTGCCATCACTATGACGAAAGAAATGAAACTTGAAACAAAATTTGATGAATTACATTTAGTTCAAGATCAACTGCTTAAAGAAACAGAGAAAATAGCCCAAAATCAGATAACCACTAAAAAGGCTTTACAAGCGATGCAAATTAGCATTAAAAATGTAACCAAACAGATTTCAGATTTTCATAATAGAATTAACCAATTTGAAGCAGCTTTTCCTCAAACACTTTATGTTGTTTCTCATTTAACGTCAAAATTCATGCAAACGAAAAACATCTTATTAAATACCGAAAGAAAAATGAAGAATGATGAGTTTGAACCAAGACTCATGGAAATTCTAAATATAACATTACCATGTAAAAATAATTGCCCCGTTGAACTCATTGAACCTAATGAGTGTTATTTAGATCAAGATAATCAAGAAATTCACTTTAATTTCGATGCAAAAATTATCTCCCCTAGCAGCCACCTCTTAGTGGCTGATCCATTTCAATTGATAACAGTTAATAATAATTCTCATTTCTGTCAAGTTACTTATCAGGGCCCACAAGAAGTATTGTATAATACTGATAAAGATTGCATTACCCAAATTAGAAATATGGTAGAAACAAACATTAATCAAATTCATATACAATATAACCGACAAATTTGTATATTCAATAGTTTTAACCTCTCAATGGACAATTTATGGTCACCCGAAAATTGTCATCATAAACCAACATCACAAGAAGCAGAGATAGTTCAGATTAAATTCACTAAAAATAATAACTTCATTTATTGCCCTTCAAAAGAAATTGAACTTTTTAATAAAACACATGCTTGCCCGAACTTTGTTTTTGATGTTCCCGCTAATATAACTTTTAAAATTAATAATATTTTGTACCATCCAACCGCCATGAAGATTACGAACAATCTCAAGTTTATCGAAGATTGGAATTTTAGAATCAACATGCATTTTAACCCTCATTCTTTAGACCCTCTAATAATTAATCTAAACAAAACCGATCAACTAATTGATCAAATAGATACTCCATTATTCAACAAGATAAGAACAGGTACTACCACCTATGTTTTTATAATATTAACTATCATTTTTGGAATATTAATTCTGAATTTAACGTTCACCATCGTTTATTTGGTGATGAAGAATAAAAAGAAGAAAACAAATGTAGCTGAACCACAGGTAGAAAATTCTACTGAAAAAAAGGTTAGACGACCTTTATTAAGAAGACAAAAAATTTAATTCAGAAAAAAAAGAGACAAATAAAAAAAAATCGTCTAAACAACTCTATTATAAACACGATTAGCACTTTCTTTTCTACTTACAATTTGCGTTTGGTGTCTCTTATCGCCCATCGTAAATATAATTATCTTTTTTTTGTAATGATGTGCAGTTTTTATTCTGTTGTTAGGATAACAACATTGGTAGCGTGTTGAGAGAGAGAAGGAGGAGAGAGAGAAAGAGAAAGAGAGAGAGAAACGGACATTTAATTGAATCATTTCCTTTTTATAAAAGAAAATATTGCTTACATTTGATTGATACACGAAACATGGATTTAAGAGGTAATATGATGAAGATAGACATCCTTTAGATCAACACTGTAAGGGGATAAACCTTCACGGACCATATTCAATAAATCAGAACATTTACGGCTCTCATTACCATGATTTCCACCGCACTGAGTGCATTTTCTTTTACGTGAGCAATTGAGAGTATGAAAAGGTTGAGCACAATTGTTGCAGATATAAGCGCGAGAACAAAAATGATCCAAACCAGTGTAACGCTTACGACAATATTGACATTGAATTAAACCAGTGTTATCAAAAATAGATGAACTTTCCTTGATAAGTAGTTACCATTTTTGATTGATGAAGAAATCGGTAAGTCTGAACATTGCAACTAACTATTATAAGTTCACCGATAGAATAAATCCTTGAGCCTTCGTAACAAAGACTATTAGAACGAAGACCAATAGAAGCACAAAGATGAGATAAGAAGGAATTAGAGAAAGTCGAATCACTTGGTTGGAAAAAACAGACTTCGTGTCGTCTATATGGTATCTCATCAACAGTTAAGATAGCTGGCTCTTCTTTTAATAAATTGACCAAAGTAACAGCATTAGAAGAATACAAATTTACACCAAATGAATCGTCTGGATACATCTTGATAAGATCAGCTCGAGAAAACAAATCTTTTAATCGCACAAATTCATTGCCAATATCAACCAGATTAATGTTATCATTGAACAAAACCTTCCAATATCTGTATGGACAAAAAAAAGTCGAAATCTACTTGAAGTGAAGAATTGATTACAGACATTGATTAAAAATTGATATTAAAAGCTGATAGATAACAATGTTAGAATAAAAAAGACAAAAATTAGAAGGTTAAAAGTTGAAGATCAACACAAAAGAATTATCCTTTTATCTACAAAAAACCCCTGAATGAAACCTATCAATATGCCCTTTACACAAAAAAAACTACACTTGAATTGCCCTCCGAACAAAAAAAATCACCCTCAATAAGCAGATCAGAAAAATCACCCTCAATGTAAAATCAAAAAAGCACCCGCAATGTGAAATCAACAATGACCCTCACTGAGCAGATCAAAAAAAAAGAAAATCGCCCTCAATGAGTAGATCAAAAAAATTACCCTCAATGGACGGAGACAAATCACCCTCAATAAGACAATCAAAAAAAAAATTGCCCTCAATGAGCAAATCAAAAATTGCCCTCAATGTAAAATCAACAATCAACATCAATGAGCAGATGAAAAATCACCCGCAATGGACGGAGAAAAATCGCTCTCAATGGGAAGGAGAAATCGCCCTTAATGCAAAGATAAAAAAACACCCTCAATAAGCAGATCAAAAATGACTCCCAATGTACAAAAAAATCACTCGCAATGTAAACAGGACATCAGACATAACAAATTTCCCTGAATGATCGACGTTAAAATTACTCTTAATGAACGAATTACCCTCAACACACAAAAAATAACAAAAATGACAAAGTGTCGAACTCAAAATTACCTTAATGATAAAATGCAGGTGCATTTTAAACCCAGAGACCCGGAAAATGTTAAACCAATCAACCAATGTTAAACCAATTGTACCCAGAAAAATCACCCTCAATGTAAACAGCATAAATCACCCTGAATGTCATCATATAAGTAACCCGAACAAAAAAATCACCCTTAAATGAAAAAATCCAGAATCACCCTAAATGGCAACATGAAGTACCCTGAATCTGAAACAAAATCATCCTCAATTAACAGATCAAGAATCACTCTCAAAATACATAAATTGCCCTCAATGAGCAGATCCGAAAATCAACCTCAATGTACAGAGAAAAATCGCTCCAATATAAACAGCAGAAATCTCCCCTAATGATAACGTGAATTACCCTGAACCAGAAACAAAATCACCTTTAATATTAACAGTAAATCGCCCTCAACAAATCGTCATGTATGATTGACGCCAAAATTACTCTTAATGAATGAATTACCGTCAACACAAAAAAGGAAGAACTTAAGACAATATAAAATAGGAAGAGAAACAAAATTAATGAAAAATTTCGAACTCAAATTGACCTTACAATAAAATGCAGGAGCATTTTAACCCAGAGACCCGGAAAATGTTAAGCCAATCACAGGCGTTCCACGCCCACTGACCATTTCTTTATAAACCTGAACTAAGTGTAAAGTTGGGTCACTTCTCTTAAGACTCTTGAGTGATACTTTACCCTTAGGTCATAGATTGTACCCTTAACAATAAACCAATTTTCACATTTACAACCCCATTGAGTTCTCGTTGGGTCAGTTTACCCTTCAACCTTTATTTTTACTCGTTAGTACTAAACTTGTACTTAACAATATTCGACCGGAAATACACCTTTTGTACATTTATAATGAGAGGCTAATTCCATCATCTGTAAATGTCAGTGTTGATGATCGCGTGATCGTTCAAAATGATATTTAGTGATGGCGTTATACAGCTATGGACACTAAGTTTCGTACACTTTCAATAACTGTTGCATAGAGTTGATTCTTCAATCAATTTACTTTAGAAAAGCAACTCTATTTGCAACTTAATTGAAAGTGTACGAAATTTAATGTCCGCGGCTGCATAATCTGCATTTGTAAGTCTATTGAAAATTACATTTAGTATCTATAATAAGTTTCTCTTTTTCAACAAGCTCAGAGCAGCGCATGTGAAGGTTAAAAGCGAAAAACGATTCCTTCAATAGCTAAAAGTTTATAAGCAAAGATAGGCGGAATCCTTAGCCGATGACCCACTGTTTGCAACAATTTCTTCATATTTTAAAAATGTAATAAATCAGTGTCAAAAAAGAAAAGTCACTAGACTAATACTGAATAAAATAGTCCATAGAAAAGTCAAAAGTTGATAAAAACAACAACTTGCACTATGGATGCTTTGAAATAGATGACCAGCCAGCAATTAGTCAACGATGCTCACCAAATATGAGAACTTTAGTTTTATTGAAAATCCCATAGCTTAAATTTAGTCACTCACTCTTAGGTTTATAGGTACAGTACCAAACTTTATTGGTGTTCCCGTATCGTATATAAAGTTTGGCTCGAGAATTGTCAGGTTTCGAGGCCGATGAGAAAGATAACAAGAAAGATTTCCAAGTGCAAGATCACCACCGAAATTCACCGTAAGAAAAGCTATCTCCATGCCCATGCATTCACAAATTTAATTCTAAGGCAAGGTGCTTGCAAAGCGTGCGTTGTTAACTTGTTGGCTCACTCTTTCACAGGATTGCGCTTGAAAAGAATGATGCAATTATTTAAAAAACACATGCCAACAACATATTTAAATTCGAAACCAAAAAAGCGTTTTACAGTCTTTGAACTTAAAAGAAGGTAAAATTTAAAAATTGATTATTTCACATGCGCACAATAAATGGAAAAGAAAACTGTAGACCTTTTTTCCTCTGTTTACATCGCATAAAAAAATAATGATAATTTTTACGGAGGTTTGGGCATGAAAAAAATTAGCGTACTAGCTAATTCCCTAACAATTTCCCTAACCACTAACGTCTGGTTGGCAATCTAAAGCACCGGGTAAAAACTTGTATTCAACACACATTTGCCCTTCAATCCGCTCTCTCTTTCACTCTACTCTTTGAACATCCAAATCCGCTCTCTTGTTATTACTCTCTTACCAGTCAAGACTCAATTGTTGATTCTTAACATGGTTTACAGGGCGTAACGTTAATCGTGGAAAGTTTTTTCCCTGCGCAGTAAACAGAAACTAATTTGATGCCAAATTGATTAAGAGACAATTAAATCAAGCAACGAATATTTGAGCTGATTAGTCTCCTCCTACTAACGTTATTTATTTAAATAATCTATTTTTAGACGCAGAATTTAGTCGATGTGAGTGAGCTGCCTGAGGCATAACTGCTTGAGAAAAAAGATTATTACCTTAGTCGGCTTGAAGTGACTCACTCACTAAGCTGATTATTTCGACTCAAAAATGAAAATAGTCCCAAATTTAAATACTTTCATGGAAATGAAGAAAAAGAGAGTGAGTTGAAAAGAGTATAAAAAGCAATGCAAATATCTTATTCAATTGATTAGTTGTTTTTCATTTTACGAGTTTAAATATGTCTCAAGAAAAGGTAAGTGATGACCGCTATCCTAAACAAATTTATTGTATTTTAACCAATTTTTTTTTCTTTTCGCAGGCTAAATATTCCAAAATCGAATGGCCGGTAAAAAGTGACCACAATACAATGATAAAAGGCCGCACTGATTGTACGAGATGTATTACTGATCTGGCCAGATCGAAAAGCAGCCTGGCCAAAGCTTTATGAGCTTTCCAAGGCAGTACTGTGCATTCCCACTACTAGTGTTCCTGTTGAGAGGCTTTTCTCAACTGCTGGATTAACTCTCACCAAGAAAAGAAGTCAACTTGATCCAGATAAAGTCAACAAGAAAGTTTGTTCCTCTGAAGACCAGCCCGCTCAGATGCACAATAAGTGAATTTGATTGTTGACATTTTCGTTCATAAATAATTAGATTGATTTCTATTTTTTAAATTAAGCGCTTGTAACAAACGCATTTTAAGCCTCACCCCGAGGAATAAACTTTCTTACCACCCTGTAGTGGTTTGTACAAATTAATTTGTGTCTTTTAGGTCCGTATTCACCAACCGTAATTAAATTTGAGTCTAGGGTTAAAGCAGCTGAGCACAGCTTTTGTGTTTCACCAACTATGA